GACCACTTGGTAAGCTGTTGCAAGAAGATTGCACAGACTGATTACAAGCAGCGGCATGACAAAGTAGCAACAATGGTGCATTGGAAGATCTGCAAAAAATATCATTTGCCTGTAAGCAAAAACTGGTGGGATCATAAAATAGAGAAAGTCATAGAAAATGATAAAATTAAACTGCTCTGGGACTTCAGAATTCAAACAGACAAGCACCTGCAACATAACACCCCAGACTTAACAATTGTCGATAAGAAAGACAAAAAAGTCTGGATAGTGGACGTGGCAGTGCCTGGAGACAGCAGAATAGAAGAGAAAGAACTGGAGAAGATAACAAAATACAAAGACCTACAAATAGAAATAGAAAGACTGTGGCAAAAGCAAGCAAGGGTAGTACCAATAGTCATAGGCTCCTTGGGTGCAATCCCAAAACAACTGGAGCACCACTTGAACACCATTGGCATTGACAAATTCGCTATTAGTCAATTGCAAAAGGCGGCCTTATTAGGAACTGCTTCCATCCTGCGACGATATCTGTAATACCATCAAACATCCACATCTGCCTATCCCAGGTCCTGGGTAAGGACTCGATAGGTAGACAAAATGCCAAATCCAGTCTGAACATCTGGCTGACTGTGCGATGATCCATAATAATAATAATAATAGTAATAATAATAGTAATAATAATAAAGCTGGAAGGGATCTTGGAGGTCATCTAGTCCAACCCCCTGCTCAGGCAGGAAACCCTATACAGATGCAAAAAACGCGTTAAATAGTTCTGCTTTCTCCCTGTTGCTTGTCACTTTCTTGCCACTTTCCTCCACTAATGGACCAATCATTCCCTTTATTTTTTTTCTTGTTTTTTTACATGTTGAAAGAAGCTTTTTTTTTTTTACTTTGGTCGCAAGCCTTAGTTCATTTTGAGCCTTAGCTTTCCTCCATCTTTGCAGACTTCGGGCTATTTGCTGATATTCTGCCTCAATTATATTCTTGGATGAGAAGCAAAACGTTTTCAAGGGAAAAAAACTAAGAAAGTCCAATTGCCTTTTTGGCGGGGGGGGAAAGCACCTTTGGGTTAATACTCAGAAGATCCTCTTTGTAAAGCAGGCCAAGATTCTGTCTCTGAACAGGGCATCTGCAACCTCTGGACGCGGATCTCCAGCGATCCTATCAAGCAGGATTTGAATGCGCTTCATTCTTCCTTGGGCATCTGACCTTTCAGACTTTGGGGCTCTTTTTGCTGTTACTAGTTTGGGAAGGAGCAGGGATTTCCCAGAATTGGGATCCAGGATTTTCCAGCAGTGCTGAGGTAGCCTACTTCTGAAGAACCGGGTGGCTGAGTTTACACAATGCCCTCGGCTGGGTTGTGATGGGCTTGGCTAGTGTGTGATTCAGCCGACGGTGGGAACCACGCCTTCATTCTGAGCCGTAATGGGTTTGCTTGGGCGTGCTACTGCGCCTCCGGAGCAGAGCAGCCGGGCTGCTTAAATCCGACTTTAGGATTTGATGTGCTGGTGGCTTTAGACAGAGAGACGGTGTTGAGCTGGAGATGATGGTAATGATAATAATGGTAATGTAATAATAATAATAATAATAATAATAATAATAATAATAATAATGCTTCTTGTCCTGCCTTCAGGCGCTTTAGAGAAGAGATTAGCAGAATAATAGAATAACAGAATTGGAAGGGACCTTGGAGGTCATCTAGTCCAACTCCCTGCTCAAGGCAGGAAACCCTATACCATTTCGGACAAATGGCTGTCCAGTCTCTTCTTAAAAACCTCCAGTGTTGGAGCATCCACAACTTCTGGAGGCAGGCTGTTCCACTGATTAATTGTTCTCACTGTCAGGAAGTTTCTCCTTAATTCCAGGTTGCTTCTCTCCTTGATTGGTTTCCATCCGTTGCTTCTTGTCCTGCCTTCTGGTGCTTTGGAGAATAGCTTGACTCCCTCTCCTCTCTTCCCTGTGGCAGCGCCTCAAATACTGGAATACGGCTATCATGAATTGATATATGTGTCAATAATAATAATAATAACAATAACAATAATAATATTAATAATAATAATAAAGTTGGAAGGGACCTTGGAGGTCATCAAGTCCAACCCCCTACTCAGGCAGGAAACCCTAGACCATTTCGGACAAATGGCTGTCCAGTCTCTTCTTAAAAACTTCCAGTGTTGGAGCATTTACAGCTTCTGGAGGCAGGTGGTTCCACTGGTTAATTGTCCTCACTGTCAGGAAGTTTCTCCTTAGTTCTAGGTTGCTTCTCTCCTTGGTGAGTTTCCACCCATTGCTTCTTGTCCTGCCTTCAGGCGCTTTGGAGAAGAGCTTGACTCCCTCTTCTTTGGGGCATCCCCTGAGAGACTGGAAGACTGCTATCCTGTCCCTCCTCGTCCTTCTCTTCATTAAACTAGACATCCCCAATTCCAGCCACCATTCCTTGTGTGTTTTAGCCTCCTGTCCCCTGATCCTCTTTGTTGCTCTTCTCTACGCTCTTTCTAGAGTCTCAACATCTTTTTTACATCATGCTGACCAAAACTGGATGCCGTATTCCAAGTGTGGCCTTACCAAGGCCTTGTAAAGTGGTATTAACGCTTCACGTGATCTTGATTCTAGGCGACTGGCAGAGGATGGTTTCCTGCTTCACAGTCACGTTACTTCTCTCTTCCTCGCCTCTTTTCTACTCCTGGTCTTCGTGTGGCTGATTTTAACCAGGGCCTGCTGGCTCCCTGCTCTGGAGAGGAGTAACAGAATAGCAGAGTTGGAAGGGACCTTGCCAGTCTTCTAGTCCAACCCCTGCCCACGGTAGAGGACCCTCTACCAGGAGTCCCCAACAGTTAGGACAGTGGAACAGCTTGCCTCCAGACATTATAGGTGCTTCATCACTGGAGACTGGACAGCCACTTGTCTGATATGGTATAGGTCAGGGGTGGGAAACTTGGGCTCTTTCATGACTTGTGGACTTCAACTCCCAGAATTCTTCAGTCAGCATGGGGGAACTATGGCCTCTTCATGACTCGTGGACTTCCAACTCCCAGAATTCCTGAGCCAGTCATGCTGAGGGGAAAGGGAAAGATTTCCAAGCTGAGCCAGGCTGGCTCAGGAATTCTGGGAGTTGAAGTGCACGAGTCATAAAGCGGCCTAGGCCAGAGGTAGGTAACCTTGGCCCTTTTATGACTCTTGGATTTCAACTCCCAGAATCCCTGAGCCAGCCATGCTGAGGGGAAAGGGAGAGGTTTCCAAGCTGAGCCAGGCTGGCTCAGGAATTCTGGGAATTGAAGTCTTTCAGTCATAACAGAGCCAAGGTTGCCTACCCCTGTCCTAAACGGTGAGCCTCCTAGACCAGGGGTAGGCAACCTTGGCCCCTTCATGACTTGTGGACTTCAACTCCCAGAATTCCTGAGCCAGCATGAGGGAACTATGGCCCCCTCATGACTCCTGGACTTCAACTCCCAGAATTCCTGAGCCAGCCATGCTGAGGGGAAAGGGAGAGGTTTCCAAGCTGAGCCAGGCTGGCTCAGGAATTCTGGGAATTGAAGTCCTTCAGTCATAAAAGAGCCAAGGTTGCCTAGCCCTGTCCTAAGTCCTAAACGGTGAGCCTCCTAGACCAGGGGTAGGCAACCTTGGCCCCTTCATGACTTGTGGACTTCAACTCCCAGAATTCCTGAGCCAGCCACGCTGAGGGGAAAGGGAGAGGTTCCCAAGCTGAGCCAGGCTGGCTGAGGAATTCTGGGAGTTGAAGTCCACAAGCCATGAAGGGGCCAAGGTTTCCCTCATGCTGGCTCAGGAATTCTGGGAGTTGAAGTCCACAGATCATAAGGGAGCCACAGTTCCCTATACTGGCTCAGGAAGTCATAAAAGAGCCAAGGTTCCCCACCCCTGTATAGGTTCTCCTGCTTGAGCAGGAGGCTGGACTAGAACGGGTCCCCAACCCCTGGGCCGTGGACTGGTACCAGGCCATGGCATGCCAGCCGCCAGTCCGCACACACAAGCAAAGCCCCATCCGTAGGATGCAGGCAGCACATAAAACCACACACTCTCCGGTCTACAGAAAAAATTCTCTCCATGGAACCGGTCCCTGGTGCCCAAAAGGTTGGGGGCCTCTGCCCTATATCAGTTCAGGCAAGTGGTTGTCCAGTCTCTTCTTGAAAACCTCCAGTGATGGAGCACCCACAACTTCTGGTGGCAAGGAGTTCCACTGGTTCATTGTTCTCAGGAGGGGGAGGAGGAGGAGGGGAAAGAAGAAAGATAACGTAAAGAGGGAAAAGAGAACAAAAAAAAGCGCCAACTTCTGACAGTTACAATCTCCAACTGTTTGCTTTTACACAACAGCGCGTGCAAACCATTTCTGTTAACAATAAACCTATGCGATTGGCAAAAACAAAGCAAATCAAGATTTCGTTTTTCCTTGCCAGCACCAAATCCGGAAGCCTTTTCAAAATAGAAATGGGACTGGATAGAGCAGAGGTCTTCCAACTTGGCCCTTTGATGACTCGTGGACTTCAACTCCCAGAATTCCTCAGCCAGCGTGCCTGGCTGAGGAATTCTGGGAGTTGAAGTCCACGAGTCATCAAAGGGCCAAGTTTGAAGACCCCGACATAGACTTTAAGAGGAGTGGACTTCAACTCCCAGAATTCCTCAATCAACGTGCCTGGCTGAGGATCTGGGAGTTGAAGTCCACGAGTCATCAAAGGGCCAAGTTGGAAGACCCCGGATATAGACTTTAAGAGGAGTGGACTTCAACTCCCAGAATTCCTCAATCAACGTGCCTGGCTGAGGGATTCTGGGAGTTGAAGTCCACGAGTCATCAAAGGGCCAAGTTGGAAGACCCCTGAGATGGAATCTCTTCTTTGGACAAAAGGATCCATTTAACTGCCTCGGCTTCCCTTTGCACCAGTGAACAGCGGATAGTTTTACTGGGATGCCCGTCTTGAAGCTGGCCAGCCGGTGGCCGGAGACACCTCTGATGAACCTCTTTTCTGACTCTCAGCTTCTCCCCCCCCCCCCAGGTGGAGGAGGAACTTCAGGAGCAGGAGTTCCTGGACCGTTGCTTCCAGGAGATGCTGGACGAAGAAGACCAGGAGTGGTTCATTCCATCCCGCGACTTGCCTCAGGGCCTGGGGCAGCTCCAGCAGCAGCTGAACGGACTCTCGGTCAGCGAGAACCCCCACGGCCACATCACGGAGGACATTCTGGTAAGGGGGGGGGAACACACCCCAAACAACCACTTCGTCAGCGGCGCTTCAGCATTTAAAACAAGAAGAAAAAAAATCCGTAGTATTTTCATTTTTATTCTTCTCTCCTGGCTGGGGGGGACGGCTGCCTGCAGTTTGGCAGTTCGATTCCGACCAGCTCCCGGTGGGCTCAGCCTTCCGTCCTTCCCAGGTCAGGAAAATGAGGACCCAGATTGTTGGGAAGGGTGTACTGACTCTGTAAAGCGCCCAGAGAGGGCTGTGAAGCGGTATATAAGTGCTAATGGAGGGAGGGAAACAAGGAGAAGCCCTGATGGCTGAGTGGCTAGAGCGTCATATCGCAGGCTGATTCTGCCCACAGCCATGAAGTTCGATCCTGACCGCCTCAAGGTGGACTCAGCCTTCCTTCCTTCCTTCCTTCCTTCCCTCCCTCCCTCCCTCCCTCCCTCCCTCTCCTTCCTCCCTCCCTCCCTTCCTTTTCTCCCCTCCATCTTCCTTCGTTCCTTCTCTCCCTTCTTTTCCTCCCTTCCCTCCCTCCATCTCATTCCTCCGTCCCTCCCTCCCTTTCCTCCCCTCCCTCCCTCCATCTTCCTTCCTTCCCTTCTTTTCCTTCCTTCCTTCCTTCGTTCCTTCCTCTTCCTCCTCCCTTCCCTCCCATCTCATTCCTCCATCCCTCCCTCCCTTCCTTTCCTCCCCTCCCTCCCTCCATCTTCCTTCCTTCCCTTCTTTTCCTTCCTTCCTTCCTTCCTCTTCCTCCTCCCCTCCCTCCATCTCATTCCTCCCTCCCTCCCTTCCTTTCCTCCCCTCCCTCCCTCCCTCCATCTTCCTTCCCTTCTTTTCCTCCCTCCCTCCCTCCCTTCCTTCCTTCCTTCCTTCCTTCCTCTTCCTCCTCCTCCTCCTTCTCCCTTCCCTCCCTCCATCTCATTCCTCCCTCCCTCCCTTCCTTTCCTCCCCTCCCTCCCTCCATCTTCCTTCCCTTCTTTTCTTCCCTCCCTCCCCTCCCTCCATCTTCCTTCCTTCCTTCCTTCCTAGGTCGGTAAAATGAGAACCCAGATTATTGGGGACAATAGGCTGACTCTGTAAACCGCCCAGAGAGGGCTGTGAAGCACTGCGAAGCGGTATATAAGTCTTAAGCGCTATTGCTATTTGGATACCGGCAGGTCACCTTAACCCTCGGCCTTCTTGGCCGACAGCCTAGGCGGAAGAGGCCTGGAGGAGGCGATCCGGGGAGTGGCAAACGTCTCCTGACCTCAGGCGCGGTTCCTCTCGCCCGGAAAAGAAGCACCGGCACCCTCTTTTGGGACCGTCCCAAAACGTTTTCTGGAATTGCTCCTGCAATAGCAGATGTTGGGAAACTGCCAGGCCGGAATGGGAGGAGGAGTCAAGCCAGGGCCTAGCTCAGAGTCCTTGCGCAGCCACAAGCAGATTGCCTTTGCGCTCTCCCAAGACCTTATCTCCTCGTTCCCAGGGGAAGGCGAGCAGCCTGGGGCAGAGCCTCCTCACGTGGGCGGGAGGCAGGAAAGCCACAGCTGGCACATCCGGTTTGACGTCCTATTTCAATGCAGAAATTCCTGAAGCGCAACACAGCAGCGGTGGGCCGCCGCCTTTGCCGGTGTGTCGTTCGTAGCCGAACGGTCGCTAAACGAAGCCAAGGCGCACCCGTGCTGGGCTCCTCCTGAGGTTAACCCTCTTGTAATTCTAATCTCTCTCTCTCTTTTCTTTCTCCCACCCCCCCTTGTCCCCCCCCCCCGTTTGCAGAGCAAAAGCACCTTAAATCCGGACGCCAAGGAGTTTGTCCCTGGGGTGAAATACTGAGCCGTCCGGCGAACCTCCTTCAAAAGACTCTTTTTTTTTTCCTGCCCTGGATGGGTGTGGGGATGGGGTGGGGGGGGGAGCGGGGCCCACTACTAGCAGTGGTGGGAAAGAGACTCTTTGCCGGCCAATTGGGGGCCCTCTCTGGCTTCTTTAACCCCTTCTTGTCTTGCTGCCTTGGGACATTTGGCAAACCAAGGGGAGAACCAAGACGCGCTCGCCGTGGGATGGCGCCTCCGGATGGGCCCACCCCCCCCCCCAGCCCCTCTGCTTCCGGTTAAACCCGCGCCCAGCCTCGCCTGACCCACCAGCAGCGTCTCCTGCTCGTCCCCCTCTCCCTCCCCCTGGTTAGCTGCCCCTCCAGGGGGGATTCGGGAGTTTGCCACGGGGTAGGCGAAGGGGCTCCCCTCCTCCGTGGACGTTCGCCAGCACAACAACCTCCTGCCTCTGCAGCTTTGGGGCAGCCCCTTCCTCTCTTTGCGTTCGGCCAGGGTGGGGCAGGGGCTTCGGTGGGAGCTGGGCCCCCAGCCCCTCTTGGCGTTTCGGGGCAGGGAGGCTGGGCGTTTCGTGGGCTGGGCTGGATGCCCCTTCCCTCCGGTTGCCAGCTGCCGTTCAGAGGAGCGAGGGCGGTGCTGCGTTTTGAGAGGAGTGAAGTGGTGCTGGGCCTTTCCTGGCCTTCCGTCTCTTCTCCCATTCCCTCTCCCGATCCAAAGCAAGCCCTGAAACACGGAAGTGTCCAATCTTTGGCCCTTTGGAAGACCTGTGGACTTCAACTCCCAGAATTCCCCGGCCTGGGGGGATTCTGGGAGTTGAAGTCCACAGGTCTTCAAAGCGGCCTACGTCAGACATCCCTGCCCTAAAAACACAGGGCCGGCAGCTACCGATGGCTCCTCCGCCGTAGGTGTCCCTCCGCTTTCCCGCCAGGCGTCTGAATCCTCACGGAGGCCGCTGGCTCTCTTCCGGCCCACCAGCACAACTTCCTCCAGTGAACGGGACAATCTGGTGCCCGTCCGTCGGGCACAAGGCTCCCCAAGGCCCAGACCTGGAGGGGGAGGGAAAGGGAGCAAGTGGCAGCTGTCTCCGTTACTCCTGGAGCAAAGCGTGACCCTTTATGGACCCTCGCCCCAAACCCTCCCGCTTTGTAGAGCTGCTGAGCGGGAACTTTTAAGAACAGGTTGCCGTTCTTCAGCAGAAGGGGAGCTCCTACAAGCCGGACGGGTCTCCAGCGGGCCACCCCGAGGAAGGCAGTCCAACCCAAGGAGAGCTTTTGGGGGACAGCTTTTGGGGGACCCCTTTGACGAGCAGAGGCACTTCTGCAATCCAAGTTGGGGCAACCCCTAAATTCTGCCTCTAGCCAGGCCGGGGGGAACTTGAGAGTGGTTTTTCCTGCTGTTTGTTCCTCAGCCTTTTCTTTGGGACAAACTGGGCCGCTGTTAAGACTTGTGGACGTCCAACTCCCAGAATTCCCCTGGCCGGGGAATTCTGGGAGTTGGAAGTCCACAAGTCTTCAAGGTTGCCCCTGATCATCCTAACAGCCAGCCACTCCGACCGGATTCTGAGGACCTCTTTGTAGGAGATAAGCTGCTTATCAGGATGGGGGGAAGAAGACCACCTCTTCCTCCTTTGCTTAATACTGTGGCTGCTCTCCCCCCTCCCCTTCAATCGGGTGGGGAACTCCGGCTCTTTGATGACTGGTGGACTGCAACTCCCAGAATTCCTAGCTCAGGAATTCTGGGAGTTGCAGTCCACCAGTCATCGAAAGGGCTGTAGTCCCCCCCCCCACCCTAACTTTTCACTGAAGCCAGTCTTTCTCCATCTGCTCCCTTCTCAATAGCCATCCTCCCCTACCAGCATGGTGCCTGGCATGATGGGGTTTGTAGTAGTGCCATCAGGTTGAGCCTTGGTGCTGCTCGGAAGGGACCCTGCTTGCCCCTTCCTTCCTTCCTTCCGATTCCTTTCTTCCTCCTCTTCAATTCCCTTCCTTCCTTCCTAACTCCTTTCTTTCTTCTTCTCTCTTGATTCCTTCCTTCCTTCCTTCCTTCCAGGACAGGGCAGCTTGTAGAGCTGGGCCAACATCAGCATCTTCCTCCCTGACTCTTCCAAGGAAACATTGACATAGGAAGCCCAGCGGGCACTGCCAATGGGAGCAGAAAAGCTCCAATTTCTCCCCCCCCGGGGGGGCTGGGTGTTTTTTCTTTGGGGGGGGGACACAGGAATGGCTCCGGATTCTGGCTTTGAAGCTTTGCTTAAAAGGTGGCGAGGGGCCGATATAGCTATCTCTCTGCCGTGGCGCCTTTGGGGTGAGAAGCGATGGGTAGGATGGTGCAAGGGCCCCTCCCCTCCCCTCTTCCCCAGAAGCCTTTGCAATGATGCGCTGCCCATTTTTACAATAATGCATTCTTCAATAAATGGATTTTGAGCTGGGTGTGGTGCCGAGGGTCTTTTTAGGATCTGGACGCCGTCGACTCGGCTGCAACCCCCCCCCCCGGATGTCAGCCTGGATTTGGGGGGGGGGTGTCAGCAGAAATGCAGGGACAGCACGATGGCAGTTAACTGGGATAAACCAGGACAAACCAGCCTATGAGGCAAGGCCCTTTTGCAAAGCTTTTGATCTAAATCACGGGTCTTCCAACTTGGCTGCTTTAAGACTTGTGGACTTCGACTCCCAGAATTCCTCAGCCAGGCACGCTGGCTGAGGAATTCTGGGAGTCGAAGTCCACTCGTTTTAAAGTCTATCTCAGGGGTCTCCAAACTTGGCCCTTTCATGACTTGTGGACTTTGACTCCCAGAATTCCTCAGCCAGGCACGGCTCAGCCTCGCTGGACTCTATGAACCGTGGTGGGGGATTGGGACGGCTGCCTGGCACAAATGAGAGGGTGGTGGGTGGTGACATCAGGGGCTAAATCCAGCCCTGAGAAGTCCAGAATGACAAGAGTTGGAAGGGACCTTGGAGGTCCTCTAGTCCAACCCCCTGCTCAAGCAGGAGACCCGATACCATTTTGTTGTGAGATACACAATGACAACAGAGCAGGGGCCTTCAAACTTGGCCACTTTAAGACTTGTGGACTTCGACTCCCAGAATTCCTCAGCCAGGCACGCGTCCACAAGTCATCAAAGGGCCAAGTTGGAAGACCCCTGATATAAATGTTAATCAAGCTTTACTCCATGGGAGATCTTTGCTTCAGGTCAGGACTGTTGATAGTTTGTTGATTCTCCAGCTGGTAACAGCCCCACAGCTGAAGGGCCGCTAAGCCCCCCTGGGGGGGTCCCCTTTGCCCATGAGAAGCAGGGCATGAGGAAAAAGGGGCCAGGCGCCCTCCCCATTGCCAGCAGGAACGAAAGCTCGCCAGCCCCCCCAAAAGCTCACAGGACAGATAGACCCACAATTCCCGTTGCTATGTGAGACGGTTGTTAACTAAGTTTTGCCCATTTTGCGACCTTTTCCTGCCGGTCCTTAAATGAATCGCTTGAGTTGTGAAGCGAGTCGCACAGTTGCTGAACAAATCCGGCTTCCCCTACGGGCTTTGCTAATCAGAAGGTTTGCAAGGGGGGGGGGTCACGTGACCCTGGGACGCTGCGACCGTCATAAATAGGAGCGTCTGGATTTCGATCACGCGACCACATTTTTGCAAGTGCGGTAAAAGGATCGTCGGTCGCTTTTTTGGAACTTGGGACGGTCGCTAAACGAATGATGGTTAAGTCAAGGGCTCAGCGTATCCAGGCACTCTGGCGTGTGGTTTTGCCACCGAGACCATGCCACTTTTTTTTTATTAAGCAACATTGTGTGTGTGTGTGTGTGTTTGTCAACTGCTCATACAAGGGGGGAGGCTCCCAAAGCAGCAAAGGGAAGCCAGACTTTGGAGCCCCCACCCCCAAGGACCCCAAGGATGGCCGGGAGCTGCCTGGCGCCCGACTCTAGGCGAAGGACTGGGTGTAGAAGACATCCACGTTGGCCGCGTAATCCAGAGGGAGGGGCTGACCGATGTGCCTGGCCCCCAGGCTGGCCCCCCCCAGGGCCGAGGACTGCTTCAGCTTCAGCAGGCTGAACCGGGAGAAGGCGCCGTGGAGCTGCCGGCTGTGCGCCTGGCCCAGGACCCGGACGAATCCTGAAAGAGGAGACAGGAGCCGGTGGGTGCTTCCCATCGGACACCCTCCTGCCCCCCACCCAAGCGGGGCTCCTGGCCTTGGACAGCTCAAGCCCCATTCTCCTTGTAGAAAGGAAGGCCACCCATTGCATTGCCTAAGGCAGTCCTCAACTTAGCAGGCACAAAGGAGCCCAAAATTGCAAATTGCTAAGCGAGATGGCTGAGTTTTGCCCCCTTTTATGACCTTTCCTGCCACAGTTGTCAAGTGGATCACTGCAAGTATTCAGCTATTGACATCATTGTTAAGGTTAATCTGCCTTCCCCGTTGACTTCGCCAGCCGGTCAGAGGGTGGCCAAAGGGGACCGCCTGACCTGACCGTGGGACTCGGCCACCGTTGTCAACAGGAATTGAGGGCCGAGCGTCTGAATTTTGATCAGGGCTATGGGGACGCTGCAACGGTCATAAGTGTGACAGATGGTCGTAAATCACTTTTTCCAGTGCCACTGTAACTTCGAACAGTCACTAAATGAACTGTCGTAAGTTGAGGACTGCCTGTGCTTCATGGGCGGCCGAGATCTTTTAAGCCCTCCTTTTCATTTGACTGTGGCAGGGGGTCTCCAACCTTGGCAGCTTTAAGATGGGTGGAATACAACTCCCAGAATCCCCTAGCCAGCTTGCTTTAAGACGGGAGGATTTCAGCTCCCAGAATCCTCCAGCCAGCTTGCTTTAAGATGGGGGGGACTACAACTCTCATAATCCCCCAGCCAGCTTGCTTTAAGATGGGAGGACTACAATTTCCAGAATCCCCCAGCCAGCTTGCTTTAAGATGGGAGGACTACAACTCCCAGAATCCCCCAGCCAGCTTGCTTTATGACGGGACTACAACTCCTACAATCTCCTAGCCAGCTTGCTTTAAGAAGGGGAGACTACAACTCCCAGAATCCCCCAGCCAGCTTGCTTTAAGACGGGGGACTACAACTCCCAGAATCCCCCAGCCAGCCACTTTAACACTGGTGGACTTCAACTCCCTGGCTGAGGAATTCTGGGAGTTGAAGTCCAGCCATCTTAAAGAGACCCCTGCTCTGGGGGCATCTGACCCGGAAGCAGATTTGCCTTTGCCGCTGAGGTCCTCACCTTCCCGCATCATCTCCCAGCTCTTCCACACGGATCCGACGCAGACGATGGGCAGTCCCAGATGCCCTTGTAGCAAGATCTGCAGGGAAACAAACGCCCGCCAAGGTCTGTGGGTCCCCCGCTGCCCAGGAGGCAGTCCAGGACACAGAGAGCCCTCGGCTTCGGATCACAAATGGGCCCAAAAATTTCCGTGGCTAAGTGAGGCAGTTGTTAGCTGAGATTTGCCCCATTGCTAAGTCAGGGGTAGGCAACCTTGGCTCTTTTACGACTCGTGGACTTCAACTCCCAGAATTTCTGAGCCAACATGGGGGAACTATGGCCCCCTCATGACTGGTGGACTTCAACTCCCAGAATTCCTGAGCCAGCCTGGCTCAGCTTGGAAACCTCTCCCTTTCCCCTCAGCTTGGCTGGCTCAGGAATTCTGGGAGTTGAAGTCCACCAGTCATAAAAGAGCCAAGGTGGCCTAAGGCCTAGGCCGCTTTATGACTTGTGGACTTCAACTCCCAGAATTCCTGAGCCAACATACCTCAGCTTGGAAACCTCTCCCTTTCCCCTCAGCTTGGCTGGCTCAGGAATTCTGGGAGTTGAAGTACACGAGTCGTAAAAGAGCCAAAGTTGCCTACCTCTGCCCTAGGCCGCTTTATGACTCGTGGACTTTAACTCCCAGAATTCCTGAGCCAGAATGGCTCAGATTGGAAACCTCTCCCTTTCCCCTCAGTATGGCTGGCTCAGGAATTCTGGGAGTTGAAATCCACCAGTCATAAAAGAGCCAAGGTGGCCTACCCCTGGCCTAGGCCTAGGCCGCTTTATGACTCGTGGACTTCAACTCCCAGAATTCCTGAGCCAGCCTGGTTCAGATTGGAAACCTTTCCTTTTCCCCTCAGCATGGCTGGCTCAGGAATTCTGGGAATTGAAGTTCACCAGTCATAAAAGAGCCAAGGTGGCCTACCCCTGGCCTAGGCCGCTTTATGACTCATGGACTTTAACTCCCAGAATTCCTGAGCCAGCATGGCTCAGCTTGGAAACCTCTCCCTTCCCCTCAGCATGGCTGGCCCAGGAATTCTGGGAGTTGAAGTCCACGAGTCGTAAAAGAGCCAAGGTTGCCTACCCCTGTGCTAAGTTAGTAACCCGGTCGTTAAGCGGATCTGGCTTCCGTCCCTTGCCTCTGCTTGTCAGTGGCTCACAAAAGGGGACCGCATGACCCCAGGACACGGCAAAACCGTCCTAAGTACATGCCAGTTGCAAGCAGCTGAATTTTAATCGCGTGACCGTGGGGATGCTACAAAGGTAACTGAAAAACAGTCCCGGGTCACTCTTTCCAGCGCCGTTGTACCTTTGAACGGTCCCTAAACGCACTTGTAACTTGAGAACTACCTGTACTACAGCCCCACTACTACATGGTTAGTAATATACTTAAGACAATAGACAGCATTGTAAGAGTCCGATGTTGGGCAGAGTGATGGCACAAGGGAAGAAACCGGGTCTGGTTAGTTTAGCCCGCCAGGCCCTCTAGCGCCATCTGGAGGGGAGGAGTTGAAACAGATGATGTCCAGGATGGGAGGGGGTCTGCAAGTGTCTTCTCAGCCTCCCCCCCCCCTCCTGACCCACACAAGGTTACAATTGTTCTTTCCGCAGTCCTAACTATCCACTGGAGTCTGTAGCTTGCACTGCAAGACAGAACAATTGTCCTTTTTCTTGGTTCCTAAACCAGGGTTTATCAAACAAGCCAGGGGTCCCCAACCCCCGAGCTGCAGCCTGTTTGAAACCTGGCTGTGGGAAAAATGGGCAAGCACTCATGCACGCACCTGCCACTCACGTGTCCCACCCCATCCCGCGCCGGCTCGGGCCTCCGAGTTGGAAAGATTGGGGACCCCTGAAATAAGCCACCATTGGCTGGATTCATACCAGGTGCCAAACCATACTGTGGCTTAGGGCAAAGGAGGAGGAGGTGCTTCCCTCTAGGACAGCGGTTCTCAACCTGGGGGTCGGGACCCCATTTGGGGTCGAACGACCATTTCACGGGAGTCGCCAAACGCAGTCCGCCATTTCCCCCCCCCCCCTTTTCCTTAGCTGTGCTACTCCCTTTTATTCTACTGGCTTTTGAAAGCCAATAGAAGAGACTCTCTTGAACAGAGTCTAATTCTATTGGCTTTCAAAAGCCAATAGGAATTGTCCAGGCTCTGTCTGCCCTGCTGAGCCCGCCAAAAGCCCCATTCTGCAAACGGTGCTGCACCAGTTGAGTAGTCCTCGACTTACGACCGGTTGGGGGTTGCAGCATTAAAAAGGTTGAGAACCACTGCTCTAGAAGCCAGCTTGGATCCAGATCAACAAAGGAAGAGCCCCCTTCTTAGGGGGGGCCCTGAACCTCGCTCCCCCCAATTATGTTCCAGAGTTAGCCTCAATATGGCTGCTTCATAAGCCCCAATTAACTCTGGGAGGTGGGCCAGGGAAAGGAAGCAGCCACCGTCCTCAATCCTGCAACTTTTCTGCCACCGTCCATCCTGGGCTAAGTTACCTGGTCAATTTTGGGCAGCACAGCCACGATATGCCGCGCCAGGACTTCTCCGGCCCTGTTGAAAACGTAGCGGCACAGGGGATCCCCAGCCTGGGCACCTGCATAAGAGACGGGGAACCAGGTTTACCCTTTCATTTCGCCCCTCCCAGACCAGCTTTCTCCAACCTGGGGCGCCCGGGGTCTGAAGACAGAATCCCCCAGCCAGCATGCTTTAAGACAGGGGTCTTCAAACTTGGCCCTTTGATGACTTCTGGACTTCAACTCCCAGAATTCCTCAGCCAGCATGCCTGGCTGAGGAATTCTGGCAGTTGAAGTCCACAAGTTATGAAAGGGCCAAGTTTGAAGACCCCTGCTTTAAGATGAGTGGACCAACTCCCAGAATCCCCCAGCCAGCATGCTTTAAGTTGAGTGGACTTCAACTCCCAGAATCCCCCAGCCACCATGTTTTAAGATGTGTGAACTTCAACTCCCATAATCCCCCAGCATGTTTTAAGATCTGTGGACTTCAACTCCCATAATCCCCCAGCCAGCATGCTTTAAGATGAGTGAACTTCAACTCCCATAATCCCCCAGCCAGCATGCTTTAAGTTGAGTGGACTTCAATTCCCAGAATCCCCCAGCCAGCATGTTTTAAGATGTGTGGACTTCAACTCCCAGCATTCCCCAGCCAGCAAGCCTTAAGATGGGTGGACTTCACCTCCCAGAATCCCCCAGCCATTTATAGCTGATCGTGCCTGGTGATGTCTAAATCCGTGTCTCTCAACCTTGCAACTTTTAAGGTGGGTGGACTTGGGCTCCCAGAATCCCCCAGCTGCAACCATCTAATGTGAAAGCCCAAACTGTCCCATGCTGACTTAGCACAGTCCAAGAACTGGATTAAGTGTCTGCCTGAGCGAGAATCCCAGAGTTTTTTTTCCTGGCATCCCCAAAAGACCCACCCCCCTCGAGCGATGTGCCCACACCTTCAGCCAGCTTCTGGCAGAAGCCTGCAAATTTAGACTTTTCAAAGGTCGTGTAGAGGTGAGTCAGGAGCCCCATCCGGTCGGAAACCTGTCGGAAAACAGGTGAAAATGTAAAGGAAGGAGAAAACAAACTTATTGGTGTGAAGACAGGACAATGGGACATGGGACGAGGTGCTGTTAAAACCAGAGACTTGGATTATTTTAATAAACTATGCTGAAGTTAGTTGAGGGTTTACATCACTGTTTCCCAAACTTGACAATTTTAAGGCATGAGGACTTTAACTCCCAGAATTCCACAGCCAGCAACGCTGGCTGTGGAATTCTGGGAGTTGAAGTCCTCATGCCTTAAAATTGTCAAGTTTGGGAAACACTGGTTTACATGAACACATATACTTTCCTTTCCTTTTCTTTTCTTTCTTTTTCTTCTTCTTCTCTCTCCTTCACTAGATTCCCTTTCCTTTCCTTTCCTTTCCTTCCTTCCCTCCCTCCCTTCTCCAACACTGGAAGTTTTTAAGAAGAGACTGGACAGCCACTTGTCTGAAATGGTCTAAGCTCTCCTGCTTGAGCAGGGGGTTGGACTAGAAGACCTCCATGGTCCCTTTCATCTGTTTTCCTTCCTTCCTTCCTTCCTTCCTTCCTTCCTTCCTTCCTTCCTTCCTTCCTTCCTTCCTCCCTTATGCTACCTTGAACACCGTCAAATAACCACAACTGCCTATCCCAAGTGCCTGGGAAGGCCTCGATAGGTGGATAAAAATGCCAAATCTAGTCTGAACATCTGGTTGTGTGACCAAACATAATCCCGAATTGTACACTGAGTTGCAAAGTGCTTTTGTCTCTGGCGTTAGAGATTAGCCTCCAGAGGTGCTCAGAAGCTTCCAAGTCTTTCCTTGGCGTACAGAAACCCTACAGGGGGGTCCCCACCCCAATGCCTGTCTCCCCCGGAGTCGGAAGCAGAGTAAGAGGTAGGTCCAGCGGTTCCTTGAGCATCTCTTAGCAGGAATGCCTCCTCATAAGGCTCACAGCACAACATCACCTTTGGGACATCTACAGCCTTCCCAATGGGAGACTTTCTGCTTTCCTACATATTTTGGCTGAACTCTGACCTCAGTCTGCTCTCCCCCTCCCACAGATGCAAGTCCCCCGTCCCCAGAAGAGGGCAATAGTGAAGGTCTGGTTCGGAGTGGACCAGCCGCTTACCTGGAAGTAGTCAAACATGGCCTGCTTGACGTAGCCGATGTCATGTGGTGGGACCTCCAGGTTGTCCAGGCCATCAAACACCATCTTCACAGCCTGGTGGGCAATCCAGTAAGCTGACAGCAAAAGAGAGGGTCAGCCTGGGGACTGGACTTGGATCCCCCATCCATACAATACATAAAACCCCACGGGCCAAATTCTTCAGCTCTGACTGGACAGTGGGGAATGGAAGGATTTATATATTTATATTGTGGTGGGAGTTAGTTAGGCACAACAATAGTGTTCCAGTGTGTGAATTCAGAGCTTGAAATAAGAGATGCTAAGAATTGGCGGGTGAGAGAACAGGAGGGAAAGCCTGCGTTTCAAGCGAATCGGAGAAGGTGATTTGTGACTGTTAATTGGAGGAGGGCATTGTGCTTTGAGACTAAGGAAGGAATTCAGATTTCGGCTTCCACCATGGACCTGCCGACGCCGTGCAGCTCGAATAAAGATTCTTTAAGATAAACAATGCCTCAAAGTTCTTTGAAGAGTTTCACCTGTCGGAACCATGACGTGCATATTGATATTTATAAATCCTTCCCTTCCCCACCGTCCAGTCAGAGCTGGAGAAGCTCCTGGGATAAGAAGTAAAACATCTTCAAGTCCAGTTGCCTCCTGAAAAAAAGCACCTTTGGGACATCAAGAGAGAAGTGGCCAGGATTACAGAAGCCAGCCTGCTGGAGAAAGCTGGATATTGGAGAAGTTCTCAAGAAGTTCTCTGAAGGCCCAAGAGTGTTTGTCCACCGCAAAATTCTGGCCATGTCAGAGAACTAGGATAGGACTTGCAATCTCCCACAGCCGTCTGCAAACTTATCCGTTAGGAAGATCCTGATTTCCTCACCTGATCCTTCATCCCCCATCATGTGGCCCCATCCTCCACAGCTGATCTGAGAGCCATCAGGGTTGATCAGCTTGCAGTTGGAGCCGGTTCCTGAGATAAGCACCACCCCACCTGGAAAGAAATGACTGTCAAGGACAGGGGTAGGCAACCTTGGCTCTTTTATGACTCGTGGACTTCAACTCCCAGAATTCCTGAGCCAGCCACGCTGAGGGGAAAGGGAGAGGTTTCCAAGCTGAGCCATGCTGGCTCAGGAATTCTGGGAGTTGAAGTCCCCGAATCATGAAGGGGCTTTAGTTCCCCCACGCTGGCACAGGAATTCTGGGAGTTGAAGTCCACCAGTCATAAAGCGGCCTAGGCCTAGTCAGGGGTAGACAACCTTGGCTCTTTTATGACTGGTGGACTTCATCTCCCAGAATTCCTGAGCCAGCCATGCTGAGGGGAAAGGGAGAGTTTCCAAGCTGAGCCGTGCTGGCTCAGGAATTCTGGGAGTTGAAGTCCACGAGTCATAAAGCGGCCTAGGCCTAGGCCAGGGGTAGGCCACCTTGGCTCTTTTATGACTCGTGGACTTCAACTCCCAGAATTCCTGAGCCAGCTACGCTGAGGGGAAAGGGAGAGGTTTCCATGTTCAGCCATGCTGGCTCAGGAATTCTGGGAGTTGAAGTCCACGAGTCATAAAAGAGCCCAGCTTGCCTACCCCTGGTCAAGGGGGTCAGGACCGCCATCTTGCTACGCTACGCGTTGCCTGCTGGCAGTCCACCCTGCTTCCATGGGAGGGAGAGCTGGGGGGGGATTAAGGAGGGGGTCCGCATGTGGGAGGAGTCAAAACGACACATCGTCCCGTCCCAGGAGAACCGCAGCCCGTTCCAGAGTCACACACTGCGGGATGCAGAACCAACCAGCCGGCGAAGACGGGAACCGTTACCCCCAAAATAGCAGTAGCCCTTAGACTTATAAACCGCTTTACGTTGCTTTCCAGCCCTCTCTAAGCGGTTCTCAGAGTCGGGATCTCACCCCCAACCATCTGGGTCCTCATTTTACCGACCTGGGAAGGACGGAAGGCTGAATCAACCCTGAGCCGGTCAGGATCGAACTGCCGGCAACGGGCAGAGTCAGCCTGCAGTGTTGCATTCTCGCCACTGCACCGCCACATCTCTTAACTGTTAACAATTCGTTAACACCTAACTGGACTCTCGCAGAATTCCTGGCAACCTGCCCCTTGGGACAAGTCAGTCATCAATAGGCACATAAAAATAAACCACGTTTACGGGCCATTCAAAAGAGACAATGAAAAAGCTAAGAAGGAAACCCAAACAGACCAGGAGACGCCCTGACTGGCAGCCAACACCCAGATAAGCAGGGATTAACACCAGAGAAGCAATCAAGCAGAAAACCATAATCAAGGAACTGTCAAAGGGAAAACCACAACCCTGACAGCAAGCGACTGTATATAAACCGGGAGCAAAAGCTCACATTTCCTTGCACTGGTGCTGTGACCTAATTGGGTAATGAAGTATCTACTAATAAACCAACAAACAAGGTCAGAGAGCACCAAGACAAGGAAGGGAAGGAGGGAAGGAGGGACAAAAGGAAGGAAGGGAGGGAGCGAGGGAGGGAGGGAGGGAGGGAAGGGTGAAGGGACAAAAGGAAGGAAGGAGGGAGTCAAAAGAAAGGGAGGGAGGAAGGGAGGAAGGGACAAAAGGAAGGAAGGGAAGGAAGAGAAGGAGGGAGGGACAAAAGGGAGGGAGGGAGGAAGGAAGGGAAGGAGGAAGGAAGGGAAGGAGGAAGGGAGAAAAGGAAGGAAGGGAAGGAGGAAAGGACAAAAGGAAGGGAGGGAGGAAGGAAGGGAAGAAGGGACAAAAGGAAGAGATGGAGGAAGGAAGGAAAGGAGGGACAAAAGGAAGGAAAAAAGGGAGGGAGGAAGGAAGGAGGGACGAACAAAAAGGAAGGAAGGGAGGGAAGGAAGAGAAGGAGGGAGGGATAAAAGGAAGGAAGGGGAGAAAGGAAGGAACGAACAAATGAACTGAGAAAGGGAGAGAAGGAGAGAATAACAGAAGGACTGAAGAAGGCAGGAAGAGAGGGAGGGAGGGACGGACAAAAGGAAGAAAAGGGAGGAAGGAAGGAAAGAAAGAAGGGAGGGAGGGAGGGAAGAAGGAAAGGGAAGGAAGGAAGGAAAGAAAGGAGGGAAGGAAGGAAGGAAGGAAGGAAGGAAGGAAGGAAGGAAGGAAGGAAGGAAGGAAGGAAGACGTACCGGTGTTGGTCGCAGTGGCGATGGCCCCAACGGCATCGGTAGTGATAAAGTAATTCTCGCTCAGATGTGGGAAGCGGGTCTTCATGTCCTCAATGAGCTTCTTGATGGCTTCCTTCTGCTCCCCTCCACTCAGGGAGAGACCCTGCAGTCACAGGCAGCCACACTGTAAGCCCCCAGCCCCCATCCGACAGAACTCCCCCCCCCAAAAAAAAGTTTCTGCATGAGACGGCCCCAAAATATACAATATACACCAGGGGGAAAATCATGGCAGAAGGTAGCAGGAGGACCTCCACTGACCTTCCGTGTCGTGGAGATCTTCAGGGGTCACGGACTCCCTACATGGGTGTCTAGAGCCGGGCTCCCACCCCTGGAACCTCTGGCTGGAGAAGCTCTCTTAAACCTTTTCCAATCAACCCCCTGGGCTCCTGGGGCTGGGGATTCAGAAAGGATGCCGTTCCTCCAAGGTCCTTTCACCTTTCACCTGAGGACCACCGGTGGGGTTGAGCTCCTCCCTAGCAAAGGTGGTCAACTCCTTCCAGCCCCCAAGGGAAGGCCAAGCATGCAAAGAACGCTGGCAGGGATTGGGTAGGGCCAGTCTAGGGAAAAAAAGGACCAGGGGAGGACAGGATAGCAGCGTTCCCGTATTTGAGAGGCTGCCCCAAAGAAGAGGAGGGGGTCCACCTAGTCTCGAAAGCACCTGGACAAGAAGCAACGGATGGAAACTAATCAAGGAGAAAAGCAACCTGGAACTAAGGAGAAACTCCCTAACACTGAGGACGATTAACCAGTGGAACAGCTTGCCACTAGAAGTTGTGGGTGCTTCATCACTGGAGGTTTTTAAGAAGAGACTGGACAATCACCTGTCTGAGATGATATAGGGCAGTGATGGTGAACCTTTCAGAGACCGAGTGCCGAAACTGCAACCCAAAACCCACTTATGTATCATCGGGTGCCGGGTGGGCGTGGCCCATCGGTGGGTGTGGCCCATTGGGTGGGTGTGGTCCCATTGCGTGGGCATGGCTGCGGTGGTAACGGCAGACCGGGTGGGACTAAAAAGTTCAGTCAATCAGTTCCAACTTTGCGAGATCTTTTTTTTCCCGCGAGAAGTTGAAATTGATTGATTGATTGAACCTTTTTTTTTTTTTTGCACACGGCGGCAGAGGCCTAAAGCGAAAAAGTTTTATAAAACCCAGCTGAAGGTGTAGGACTGAGGCGACGGCGCGTGTGCCCACAGAGAGGGCTCTGAGTGCCGCCTCTGGCACCCGTGCCATAGGTTCGCCACCATGGGTATAGGTTCTCCTGCTTGAGCAGGGGGATGGACTAGAAGACCTCCAAGGTCCCTTCCAGCTCTCTTATTCTGTTACCCTGGGCTAGCAGCATCCCCAGCAAAGCAGGATGAGGCCAAAATATTGACTGGCAGATGGCATCATCCCCAAAACACCGCCACAGCATGTCCCATGCATGGTGACATCAAGGTCCTTGACTTCTTTGCCCCCACCTGCCCTGGGCATTTCCCTAAAGGCCGTGACTGGCTGCAAAGGGACAACCTGGGGGGAGGATTGGGGATGTGGGGGGGGGACTTTCCTGGAAAGAGGGCGGGAGACTCACCAGCGAACGAAGCGGAGTGTGTGGATCGCCCCCCGCCTTCCTTTTAGCATCTCGGACCATGGCGTCGATCCGGTCCAGGCACGTGTCCGAGCCAACCAGCTGCTTGCCCAGAGGGGGGGGTGGAGAGAGAGAGAGAGACACCCTTCAACTTGCACACTTTTTATTTTTGGAAAGTTTTATTGATTTTCCAATATTACATTTATATCTTTGAAAAACGACGTGGTTGACTGAGTTACCATAATTCAACTACATCCAAATATCATTAGAATGAATCCCACACTATTACAGTAAGTATATCCTCTCTTTTCCCTTAATGTGGACGGTCTCATATTTAAATTAATACACTTCTGATTCTATCCATCAAATAAAAAACAACTGTCTTACGTTTATCAATAGTTTCTAGTTTGTATACACCAGCGGTTCTCAACCTGTGGGTCGGGACCCCATTTGGGGTCGAACGACCATTTCACGGGGGTCGCCAAACAACGCAGTCCGCCATTTTTTTCCCCTTTTCCTTAGCTGTGCTACTCCCTTTTATTCTATTGGCTTTGAAAGCCAATAGAATAGACTCTCTTGAATAGAGTCTAATTCTATTGGCTTTCAAAAGCCAATAGGAATTGTCCAGGCTGTCTCTGCCCTGCTGAGCCCGCCAAAAGTCCCATTCTGCAAACGGGGCTGCAAGTTGTCTGCAGCGAAGGCGAGCTGTCTGGAAGTTTCCACCCCTCCCTGCTGAGCAACTACTAAAAATATTAAGTAAAAGAGGGCCAGGGGTGGGAGGTGGGAGGCCGGCGGGCGCAGGGAGGGTTGCTGGCGCGCGTGGGGCCCGATGGGTGCCTTACCTCCCTTGGGCTGGGCCAGCTGGTGGCCCAGCCGGTGGTCGCCCTGCACCGTCTCTGCCGCTTGCCAGCTACGCCTCAGCCGGCGCAGGAGGCGGCACCACGCATGCGCGGCGCTCCCGGGCAGGGAAAGTCCTCGACTTACGACCGGTTGGGTAGTCCTCGACTTATGACCGGTTGGGGGGGGTCGCGACATTAAAAAGGTTGAGAACCACTGGTATATACCTTCCTCGTTTTTAACGTTCGATCTTTGAGACCATCAATGTCCTGGTAAATTTCTTCCCAGTTTTCATTTTGCATGAATGATTTAAAGTTAACGTTTATTACTTATCATTTCCAAGTTTTAAAGGTTCCCCGTTCCCTTTTATCACAATTCCTCACAAAATCTGGCACACGTCTCATCCATTTCAATTCTCACCATCCATATCGACGAATTAAGAATACAATAAAATATTCTCATTTTCTAATCGTTTCCAAATATCTTCAACCTAGTAACCCAAATTTCTTTTGCACGCTTAAGGTACAGGCCCCCAACCTTTTGGGCACCAGGGACCGCTTCCGTGGAGACAGGTTTTTCCGTGAACCGGAGGGTGTGTTGTTTTTGTTTCCCCCCCCCCAGATGTCCCTGGAAAAAATGAAAGCAAGCACCTCCCCCTACTCACTTTTTCCCCTGCCTCCAGAAGCAGTAAATGCTCCAACACTGGAAGTTTTTAAGAAGAGACTGGACAGCCATTTGTCCGAAATGGTGTAAGGTTTCCTGCCTGAGCAGGGGGTTGGACTAGATGACCTCCAAGGTCCCTTCCAACTTTACTACTATTAATATTACTATTACTTACCCAGTGGTTGGTGCAGGGCCCCTCGGCCTCGGCCAGGATCTTGCCATCTTCGGAGAGCAGCACCGCCTTGGAGTGGGTCCCCCCCCTGCAGAGGAAGACAGAGGCCATTTGAGGGGCTGTAGGGGGGGATTCTGCTTCCCAGCCTGGCGGGGGGTCAGTCCAGGAGGCTCGTGTGAAAATCCCAGGGGGAAATTAAGGAAAGAAAACAGCAACAAGAGGAGAAAATCTCTGTCGCTCAGGGTTGAAATGAGGGGGTCCTGGGTGCTCTCTGAGCTGCGTTGATTGTCTGCAGATGTTTCATGACCTAACTAGGTAACAGCATCAGTGCTAGAAGGGAAGGAGGAGGAGGAGGAGGAGGAGGAGGAGGACTGTGGGGTCCTTGCTGCTCTCTGAGCTGGGTGGTTTCCTTGCAGGCGTTTCGTGACCCAACTAGCTAACGTCATCAGTGCTAGGAGGAAGGGGGGGGGTCTGCTCTCTGTTTCTATACAAGATTGGTGGGAGTGTCCTTGGTGGCTCCTCAAATAGGTTGTTATTTATTGTTAGATTGTGCGTCTCAGTTGGTGGTTCCTCGATTGGGTAACGTTTCCTGTCTGACTGTTGGTCTAAATCAGTGGTTCTCAACCTGTGGGTCGGGACCCCATTTGGGGTCGAACGACCATTTCACGGGGGTCGCCAAACAACGCAGTCCGCCATTTTTTTCCCCCCTTTTCCTTAGCTGTGCTCCTCCCTTTTCTTCTATTGGCTTTTGAAAGCCAATAGAAGAGACTCTCTTGAATAGAGTCTAATTCTATTGGCTTTCAAAAGCCAACAGGAATTGTCCAGGCTGTCTCTGCCCTGCTGAGCCCGCCCAAAGTCCCAGTCTGCAAACGGTGCTGCACCAGTGGAGTAGTCCTCGACTTACGACCGGTTGAGTAGTCCTCAACTTACGACCGGTTGGGGGTCGCGGCATTAAAAAGGTTGAGAACCACTGGTCTAAATGCTCATCTTGGGGTGGATCTCAGCTTCTCTGGGTGCTGAACCACCAAGGCCACGCCCACCAACACTGTCTTGCTGGCTGGGGAATTCTGGGAGTTGAAGTCCACAAGTCATCAAAGGGCCAAGTTAAAACCCCTGGTTTTAACCCTGTCCTCTCCCCAAGCCACACAAACCACAATCTGCAGACTAGTTATGCCGGTTTCCAGTTTCCCTTCCACCAAAGCCGGCCAAGAACTGGCCAAGCCAGAAGCCACTTGGCCCCGCCAGATCACAGCTTTGAAATGCTTTGCATGCAAGAATCCCTTCCTTCCTTCCTTCCTCCTCGCCTTTCAGCCCTGCCCAGCCACATGGAACCTCAGCCGCTTTGCAATCTGGGAAACGTTCCTCTTTCCACCCAGGCCTAGTGCAAGAAGGCTATTTGGGGGGGGGGCAGGGAAAAACATCTGTGAATAATAAAAGAATGGGTATTTTGAAACGCAAGAGGGATCCAACGCCCCTCCGACAAGTTTCTCTCTCCGATTTCTGGGGGAGTCGAGGCAGGTAGAAGCCCCGATGACGTCACCCAGCCTGCACAGCACAGGGATTCCCCCCGGGGAGGGTTGTGGGCATCCTCCAGCCAGACGCCCGCGGGCGCCACGTTGGGGAAGGCTGCTTGTTGCAGGGAGCCTTCAACGGGCCCAGAGGGGGCAGGAGCCCCCCCAACCCCGATCTCCCCCTCTTCTCTCAATGCACACGTGCAACGCAAGTCGACACGCGTTCGCACGATGCCAGCATCAAGAAAGCCGGGCGGCGGTGGGGCTGCAAAGTTGCAACCCGCAAAAGGACGCGGGGGTCCCTCCGAGCCCCCACCCCCCACTTTGGGAAGGGCCCCCCCGAGCCGCTCCAAAGAGGAGCCCCCAGAGCAGAGTCTCCCCCCCCACACTGCCTATCCCGGGCGGGCGGGGGAGGGAGGGGAGGCGAGTCCCAGCCAAACCCGTCTCCCTGGGGGGGGGGTCGTGCCTCTCCCCCGCCGCCCCCTCCCCGGGATGGGGCTCCCCCGCCCGAGCGCAGCCCCCCCGCGCCGGCATCGCCTCGCCCGGCGCCCCTGGAGCCTCACCTGGCTGCTCAGGTGAGGCGCCAGGTGAGCTGGAGAAGGTGATGCGAGCGCTGGGGGGGGGCTGCAAGCCTCCCCCGGCTGCTCCCCTGGCGGGGCCGCCCGGCTCACCCCTCCACCCCGCCGTAGACCGCGGCCATGCAGCTCCGCCCGTCCTTCCTTCCTTCCTTCGACCGGCCCGGGCGGGCTTCCCACGTCGGGGCGGGTTGCGGAAGTCAGACACGGGTTCCCAGCCCCGCTCCGCCCCTTTCACCGGGACACGTGTCCTAGGGACCTCCCTCCCACACACACACACACACACACACACACACACACATACACGCACCGCCCTGGCTTTCAGCCGGAGCAGGCAGGTGCCCGGCAGGTGGAGCCGCCTCTCCGGCTATAGCCCACCCCGCAGGGTCGGCCAGGCAGGGGCTGCCCCCTCCCGGGAAGAGAGGAAAGAGAAGGGGGCAGCGTCCCCCTCCCCAAAAGGGAAAGGGCTCCCCCTGGTGGTTGCACCATCGTCTAGTCCCCCACTAAAAGTGGCCAGGTCTAGGGACCCCAGCGCCAATGGGGGGGGGCTGCTTATATCTCCCCCCCCCCAACCAGGAGGAAATAGCCCAGCCAATTCCCTTCCACACAGCCCATCGGCTGGACCTGGGCTCCACTGCTTGTTCTTCAGCCTCCCCCGCTCCTGGTTTAAATAATAATAATAATAACACAACACTCCAGATTTAACAATTGTCGATAAGAAAGACAAAAAAGTCTGGATAGCGGACGTGGCAGTGCCTGGAGACAGCAGAATAGACGAGAAAGAACTGGAGAAGATTACAAAATACAAAGACTTACAAATAGAAATAGAAAGACTGTGGCAAAAGCAAGCAAGGGTAGTACCAATAGGCATAGGCTCCTTGGGCGCAATCCCAAAACAACTGGAGCACCACTTGAACACCATTGGCATTGACAAATTCGCTATTAGTCAATTGCAAAAGGCGGCCTTATTAGGAACTGCTTCCATTCTGCGATGATACCTGTAATACCATCAAGCATCCACATCTGCCTGGGTAAGGACTCGATAGGTAGACAAAATGCCAAATCCAGTCTGAACATCTGGCTGACTGTGCGATGATCAATAATAATAATAATAATAATAATAATAATGATGATGATGATGATGATGATAATGATTTAAAAATTAAAAAATAGCTGGGAAAGCAGATAATAACAAGACCTGGCAATGGCTAAGAGCAGGAAAATTGAAGAAAGAGACTGAGGGACTAATTCTGGCTGCACAAGACCAAGCCTTAAGGACAAAGGCATACAAAGTCAAAATTAAGAAGACAGCAACAGACAGTAAGTGCCGCCTGTGCAAAGAAGCTGAAGAAACAGTGGACCACTTGGTAAGCTGTTGCAAGAAGATTGCACAGACTGATTACAAGCAGCGGCATGACAAAGTAGCAACAATGGTCCATAGGAAGATCTGCAAAAAATATCATTTGCCTGTAAGCAAAAACTGGTGGGATCATAAAATAGAGAAAGTCATAGAAAATGATAAAATTAAACTGCTCTGGGACTTCAGAGGGCGGGCTGAGGAATTCTGGGAGTTGAAGTCCACAAGTCTTAAAGTGGCCAAGTTGGAAGATCCCTGCTTTATTGTCATTGCGTATTTCCCAACAAAATGGTCCCGGCTCTCCTGCTTGAGCAGGGGGTTGGACTAGAGGACCTCCAAGGTCCCTTCCAACTGTCATTCTGGCCTTCTCAGGGCTGGATTGAGCCCCTGGCTGGCCCGTGATCCCACCACCCACCACCCCTGTCGTTTGTGCCAGGCGGCGGCCGGCTCACGTGTCCCAATCCCCCACCGCGGGTCACTCACGGTTCATGGAATCCAGCGAGGCTGAGCCGAAGTGACAGAGAAACCTTTAGCGGAACAAACGGGAATATAGTATCAGGCAAGGCTGACCGAGCCACGAACCGTGGCACGAACCACCGAGCAAATTAGCATCGACGGAAATAGCAGGCCGTTCAGATCACTCGTGCGCCGAGCAGCAAATGCAGCTCCCGTGTCACCCAGCATCAGGGCAGGGAGGCATAAAGGACGGCTGCCCGGTGCTTCCCCCCCCTCCCAACTCGGCCCGTTGGCCAGAAATGGCACACCCAGGTCCAGGGTCTCCTAGTGGAAGGGGAGAGGGGGGTGCTTGTCAGAAAAGCCAAAGGTTCCCATGTGAAAACATGGTGGGCCTTTGATTGCCTGGGGTGGCCACTTCTTGACTTCCTTAAGTGAGTCAAGCTATTTAAATATAAGCTATTTAAATAGGAGCCAGCCGTGTGCTGCAGCTGCCAAAAAAAAGCCAACATAGAGCTGGGCTGCATGAACAGAGGGATAGAATCAAGATCACGTGAAGGGTTAATACCACTTTACAAGGCCTTGGTAAGGCCACACTTGGAATACGGCATCCAGTTTTGGTCACCACGATATAAAAAAGATGTTGAGACTCTGGAAAGAGTGCAGAGAAGAGCAACAAAGAAGATCAGGGGACAGGAGGCTAAAACATACAAGGAACGGTTGCTGGAATTGGGTATGTCTAGTTCACAGGTCGGCAACCTGCGGCTCCGGAGCCGCATGCGGCTCTTTGAGCCTTCCCCTGTGGCTCCCAGCCTCCTCTGCCTTTGCAGAGAGAGACAGAGACAGAGAGAGTCAATTGCACTTCCCTGCTTCTCTCTCTCTCTCTCTCTCTCTCTCTCTCTCTCTCTCTCTCTCTCTCTCTCTGTGTGTGTGTGTGTGTGTGTGTGTGTGTATAAAAAAAGAGAGTGCACTCACAGTGTTCTCCGAGGAGCTGAAAAGCTTACTGGGCGGAGCTCCTCCCTTCGCTGCGTCTCTGCAGGAAGCAGGAAGGGCAGGAGAGAGCTAGCTAGCCCAGCTAGGCTGACTCAGGAATTCTGGGAGTTGAAGTCCAGGAGTCATAAAAGAGACGAGGTTGCTTACCCCTGAGCTTGTTGGACAACAGCTTGAAGCTTGCCAGGTGAGCAGCAGATAGGAGGGGGGAAGAAAAAGAGAGAGAGAAAGAGAGAGAGAGGGAGAGAGAGAGAGTGGGGGAAGAGGAGTGGCAGACCAAGGGCAGATAGAGAGGGAGGGAGAGAGAGACCCTTTTGACATCTAAAATGAAGATAAACTGCATATATCCTTTTTTTACCTTTGTGTGTATGTACTTTTATTCTCTTAAAGCATTCTCTTGGTGATCATTGTTTTAATAGTATGGATATTCCCAAGAGTCATATTTTTACTTTTATTTTTAATGTGTATATGTGTGTGTGTGTGTGTCTGTGTATGTGTGTGTGTGTGTATACACACACATTTACACATACACACACACACACACATACACATACATATACCTATAATAAAGGTAAAAAAGGATATATGCAGTGTTATCTTCATTTTAGATATCAAAAGGGTTTTGCGGCTCCCAGTGTTTTGTTTTTGGTGGGAAACGGGTCCAAGTGGCTCTTTGAGTGTTTTGGGTTGCCTACCCCTGGTCTAGTTTAACAAAGAGAACAGTGTTCCAATATCTCAGGGGCTGCCCCAAAGAAGAGGGAGTCAAGTTATTCTCCAAAGCACCTGAAGGCAGGACAAGAAGCAATGGGTGGAAACTAATCAAGGAGAGAAGCAACCTGGAACTAAGGAGAAACTTCCTGACAGGGAGAACAATTAACCAGTGGAACGACCTGCCTCCATAAGTGGTGAATGCTCTAACACTGGAAGTTTTTAAGAAGAAACTGGACAGCCATTTGCCCAAAATGGTATAGGGTTTCCTGGCTGAGCAGGGGGTTGGACTAGATGACCTCCAAGGTCCCTTCCAACTTTATCATCATAATCATCATCATCATTATTATGCAAAGGACCTGGAGGCCGGACAAGAAGCAAAGTGTCAATGTTGCTAGCATCAAATGTTTTTCCTTTGACAACAAATGCAACCATTTTCTTCTTATGTTTTGCTCTTAGAGTTACAATTAAACAATGCTGGGGGGAGGAATGTGCCTGAGAGTTCAGCCAGACATAACAATACTGGACCCAGTGCAAGAACCAAGGTTATTGAAATAAGAGATGATACAAAGCCATAAATAAGAGATGATACGAAGCCCTCTTTCTTTCTTTCTTTCTTTCTTTCTTTCTTTCTTTCTTTCTTTCTTTCTTTCTTTCTTTCTTTCTTTCTTTCCCCCTTCCCTCCCTCCCCCTCCTTCCTTCCTCCTTCCCTCTCTCCCTCCCCTTCCTTCCTTCCTTCCTTCCTTCCTCCTTCCCTCCGTCCCTCCCTCCGTCCCTCCCTCACCTTTCTTTCTTTCTTTCTTTTCTTTCTTTCTTTCTTTCCCCCTTCCCTCCCTCCCCCTCCTTCCTTCCTCCTTCCCTCTCTCCCTCCCCTTCCTTCCTTCCTTCCTTCCTCCTTCCCTCCGTCCCTCCCTCCATTCCTCCCTCCCCTTTCTTTCTTTCTTTATTTATTTATTTTTTTCTTTCTTTCCTCCTTCCCTCCCTCCCCCTCCTTCCTTCCTCCTTCCCTCCCTCCCTCCCCTTCCTTCCTCCTTCCCTCTGTCCCTCCCTCCATCCCTCCCTCCCCTCTTTCTTTCTTTCTTTCTTTCTTTCTTTCTTTCTTTCTTTCTTTCTCCAATTTGCTGCAGGGTCTGGGGCCTTTGCTGCAAAAGAGCCATCTTCTTCAGCTCGGCTGGAGTTCTCCCACCCCTCCTCGCCCATCCCTGGGGGACCCCCTTCCCCCCTTCCCTGCCCATTTTCTCCTCCGAAACCGATTCCGCTCGACTTCTTCTTCTCCTTGTAGCCAAGGAAGGCAGCAGTGCCCGCCAGGGACCATCCCCAGCCGCTGTTTTCCGGAGCCGAGAAGAGGAACGAAGCAACTCTGCAGATGGAGAAGTGCTGTTTCCCAGACGAACTTACTTCACACCTGTGATTTCAGCCTCACTCCCCTCTTGATTGGCACAATGGGGTGAGGGGCCTCTGGGGAGCCCCCCGCCTCCTTTGCCCTCCCATCAGCAGCTCTGGAGAAAGGGGGGGGCTCCTTGCTTCCCGCTCAGAAATGGGAAGAGGGCAGTGGGCTTCGTTCTCCTGCAGCCAGGACCCCCAAGATGGGCCCAGTTTTCTTTGGGGTTCAGCTCTGCCATCCATGCCTCAGCCGGCCTCGCCTCCTTTGGGCCTTGGCCTCCAGAGGGCGAAGGGGCTTGTGGTAGGACCCTCCTGGCATTTAGGCAGGAAAAATCAAAGGTTTAAGGACAGACTGGGCAAGATCTGGCTTAAAAACAGCAACTGTGAGAGGGACCTTGGAGTCCTAGTGGACGATCCCTTGACCGTGAGCCAGCCGTGTGCAGCCGCAGCCAAAAAAGCGAATACAATCCTGGGCTTGTATAAACAGAGGCATAGAATCAAGATCACACGAAGTATTAGTACCGCTTTATGAAGCCCTAGTAAGGCCACACCTGGAATACTGCAGCCAATTTTGGTCACCCTATCACAAAAAAGATGTGGAGAGTTTGGAAAAAATCCATAGAAGAGGAACTAAGATGATCCAAGGCCTGGAGACTAAAACATACGAAGAACGGCTGCGGGAGTTGGGTTTGGCTAGTCTAGAGCAGTGTTTCTCAACCTTGACAATTTTAAGGCATGTGGACTTCAACTCTCAGAATTCCACAGCCAGCTGGCTGTGGAATTCTGGGAGTTGAAGTCCGCATGCCTTAAAATTGTCAAGGTTGAGAAACACTGCTCTAGAGAAAAGAAGAAATAGGGGGGACATGATAGCAGAGTTCCAGTATTTGGGGGGCTGCCACAAAAAAGAGGAGGGGGTCAAACTATTCTCCAGAGCACCAGAGGGAAGGACAAGAAACAATGGATGGAAACTGACCAAAGAGAGAAGCAACCTAACAGTGAGGACAATTAACCAGTGGAACAGCTTGCCTCCAGAAATCATGGGTGCTCCATCACTGGAGATTTTTAAGAGGCTAGATGGGATAGATTCTCCTGCTTGAGCGGGTGGCTGGACTAGAAGACCTCCAAGGTCTATTCTTTTCTTTTCTTTTCTATTCTATTCTATTCTATTCCATTCCATTCCATTCCATATTCTATTCTATTCTATATTCCAATATTTATTCTATTCTATTCTATTCTATTCTATTCTATTCTATTCTATATTCCAATATCTATTCTATTCTATTCTATTCTATTCTATTCTATTCTATTTTATTCTATTCTCATTGTCCAAAGCACCTGAAGGCCGGACAAGAAACAATGGATGGAAAATAAGGAGAGAAGCAACCTGGAACTAAAAGGAAACTTCCTGAGGACAATTAACCAGTGGAACAGCTTGCCACCAGAAATCATGGGTGCTCCATCACTGGAGGTTTTGAACAAGAGACTGGACAGTCACTTGTTTGACATGGTGTCAGGTCTCCTGCTTGAGCAGGGGGCTGGACTAGAAGACCTCCAAGGTCCCTTCCAGCTCTGCCATTCTGAAGCGAGGACTGCCCAGAGCTGAGGGCAGAGAAGAGGCAGCTCAGGATGGCTGCAGGAACAAATGTGCCCTCAAAGAGGGTGGTTGGCATCCTTCTCCAAAGCCAACCGCCAGGCACAGGTGAATTCTCCAAATGTGCTTTTCTTGCCACCTACGTGCCCCTGGCGGTGTGCCACAGGGTGCAAGGGGTGTGCCCTTGCTGCTCCCTCCGCCCACAGCCTGAAGGTCAGGCCGCCATCAGCGCGCATAGAGAGGGAGGCGCCTGGCTGATGCTTCGGACACATCTCCTGGCTTGGCATCAGCTGCTTCTTCCGATGCCCCAGAGCTGCCCACGGGGCCGGGGACGAGAGTCCTCCTTAGTCTCCGGCTGCCGTGTAGGTACAAAGTCCGCAGGGTCAGCGCACGGTCAGCGAGCAGCAGCATCAGGCCAGCCTCTGTGTGGTAAGTGCCAGACTCCATTAGTGCAAGAGAGTGTAATTGCGACAATCCTCACCCGGGCTTTTTCCCACCCACCCACCCATCCACCCACGAGGGCTTCAGTTGCAACCTCTTTCTCCAGTGGGCTGCCCCACCAAGGCTGAACCCCTTCCTGCAGCCCAAGGCAGTCAGTCCTTCCAAGGCACACACAGAACCAAACCCCCTTGGAGTGACCCATGGCACAGCGCGCTTCCACAAGACGCAGCGGTTGCCCGTTTGCTTCCGGGTGCAGTTCACATTTAACCCATTAACCCAGTAACAGAATTGGAAGGGACCTTGGAGGTCATCTAGTCCAACCCCCTGCTCAAGCAGGAGACCCTCCACCACGTCAGACAAGTAGCTGTCCAGTCTCTTCTTAAAAACCTCCAGGGATGGAGCACCCACACAACCTCTGGAGGCAATTTCTGGTTTTTCTCCACCCTGCTCACCTTTCGTTTTCACCTTGAGGTATGGCAGAATAACAGAGTCATAAGGGACCTTGGAGGTCATCCAGTCCAACCCCCTGCTCAAGCAGGAGAACTTATACCTTTTTGGACAAGGGGCTGTCTAGTCTCTTCTTAAAAATCTCCAGTGGTGGAGCGTCCAGGATTTCTGGAGACAAGCTGTTCCACTGGTTAATTGTTCTCAGTGTTAGGAAGTTTCTCCTTAATTCCAGGTTGCTTCTCTCTTTGTTCAGTTTCCATCCGTTGTCCTGCCTTCAGGTGCTTTGGAGAACAGGTTGACCCCCTCCTCCTCTTTGTGGCAGCCCCTCAAATATTGGAGCACGGCTATCATGTCCCCCCTCATCCTTCTGTTCATTAAACTAGACATCCCCAATTCCAGCAACCACTCTTCATATGTTTTGGCCTCCAGTCTCCTAATCATCTTTGTTGCTCTTCTCTGCTTTCTAGAGCTTCAATGCCTTTTTGATATCGTGGCAATCAAAACCGGATGCACTATTCCAAGGTGGTGGTTATCACCTTGGAAGCCTTGCCTGGCATGGGTCTCATCCCATTGGGACCGGCCTGCCTCACCTCTGCACGTAGAGGACGAGGGATGCTGCGGGCCCCGTCAATCAAGGAATTCCAGCTGGACGGGTCCAGAACGGCCTTCTGCTGCCAAGCCTTGTGCCCTCTGGAACATCTTATCTCCCCCCCCCCCCAAGTGAGAGCTCTCCCACCCTTCTGATCTTCCTGGTTCTTCGGCCAGTTGTCTTGGGGCCCCAATGACGGAGCATCACACCGGAGGCAATTGATCAACTAATAGCAGTTCCCACGTCCCCTCCTGTATATTCTCTTTCGTCCCTCCCCATCTTTGGCAATAACGCGTCTTTTATTGCAGTGTTAATGTGACTTTATACATTTTTTCATATATTTATGGTTTCACGAAGGATGGCGAATCGACCTGTCCCAGGATAATGTTGCAAGAGCTAATATGGGTCGGACACCAGGATCGGAGGTTTTAGTCTTCCGAGTTGACGGATTTGTGCTGGTACCCCATCCTCAGGGAATTGTCTCTCACTCCTGGAATATTTATGGCTTCGTTTCAATGTTATAATCCAGCCCGAGGCAGCCTTTTGACGAAACGGGCGGCCAATCAATTTAATAAGTACAATAAATAAAATATTTTAACATTTAATAATGATCGTCCATGTTTTCATAACGATTGTTTTTATCCCTTTTTCTTTACCACGGTAGTTTGTTTAAACGTGTTTATTTGATTGTTATACACTAGCCGCAACCAACCAACCAATAAACAAACATGCAAGGACTGGTGGTTCTGGAAACACACACACACACACACACACACACACACACACACACACACACACACACACACACCATGGAGAAATGTCCTTGCAACTGATTCTGGATTTTCTCCCTGAATGAAAGTGGTTCCATGAACTTTTAAGAAAGAGATGGGGAACTATGGCCCTTTTATGACTTGTGGACTTCAACTCCCAGAATTCTTCAGCCAGCCCGTCCAAGCAGCAGTCATCCAAGCACCATTGTTCCCCACCACTGCTCGGGAATTCTGGGAGTCAGAGTCCACTGGTCATCCAAGGGTCATGGTTCCCCATGCTGGCTGGGAATTCTGGAAGTAAGAGTCCACCAGTCCTCCAAGGGCCATCATTCCCCATGCTGGCTGGGAATTCTGGGAGTCGGAGTCCACCAGTCCTCCAAGGACCATCGTTCCCCATGCTGCTCGGGAATTCTGGGAGTCAGAGTCCAGCAATCATTCAAGCGCCATCGTTCCCCATGCTGGCTGAGGAATTCTGGGAGTCGGAGTCCATCAGTCACCCAAGGGCCACAGTTCCCCCATGATGACTGAGGAATTCTGGGAGTTGGAGTCCAGCCGTCATTCAAGCGCCACCGTTCCCCATGCTGGCTGAGGAATTCTGGGAGTTGGAGTCCATCAGTCACCCAAGGGCCATCATTCCCCACCGCTGCTCCGCGCGCGGCCCCCTCCCTGCCCCGGCCCGCCTTGCTGTGTAGGCAGGGGAGGCGCTTTCTCGAGGACGCCCGCGGGCGCCCGGCTGGGAGAGCGAGGCGAGCGCCTCCCTGCCACGCCGCCTCCGGCCGCCTGGGGGCGCTGTGGGGGACAAGGGGGCGTTAGCGACGTCGGCCGCGGCCTCGGTGCTCCAACCACTTCCGGCCGTCCCGGAAGTGCCGGGCGGAGCCATCGCGGCTAGCCACCGCCGGGCGAGGCGCGGGGCGCGGGCGACGATGTGGTTCATGTACGCGCTGAGCTGGGTCGCGCTCCTCGTCCAGGCCGCCTTCGTCACCCTCGGCATCGGTGAGAGCGCCCCGGGAGCGCGGCGGCCCCGCCCACCCGCCGTGGAGCCTCTCCGTCCAGGAGCAGTCTACCCCCGCCGCCGCCCCGCCCCCCCGCCCCCGGGCTGGTTCGTGGGAGAAGGGGGCAGCAGGAGCAGGAGGAGCCAGCCCTCAAGGGACCCGGCCGGGCTTTGGGGGCGGCTGTGCCCGGGCAGAGAAGGCAGGCCGGCCTACCTCGCAGGGTCGTTGTTGTAAAGGGGAAAAGAGGCGGGAGGATTGGCTTTTCTCTCTCTTTCTTCTTCTTTCCTTTCTCTCTCTCTTCTCTTCCCCCCCCCCACGGTTGCTTGCTTCCAATTTCTTTGATTCCCTCCAATTTCCTTCCTTCCTCTGTCTCCCTCCCTCCATCCCTCTTTTTTCTTTTCTCCCTTTTCCTCCTTCCATCCCTCCTCCTTTCCTCACCTCCTTCCTTCCTTCTCTTGTCCTTCCTTCCCTCCTTCCCTGTTCTTTCATTCCTTCCCTAGTCCTTCCCTCCCTCCCCCTTCCTTTCTTCCTTCTCTTTCATTCCTTCTCTTGTCCTTCCTTCTTTCCCTCCTTCCCTATTCTTTCATTCCTTCCCTAGTCCTTCTCTCCCTCCCCCTTCCTTCCTTCCTTCCTTCCTTCCTTCCTTCCTTCCTTCCTTCCTTCCTTCCTTCCTTCCTATTTCTTTGATTCCTTCCTCCCCCCCCCTCTTTCTCTCACACAGACATGTACCTTTATTTATTTATTAAATTTAAATGCCGCCCATCTCGCTCTCCAGAGAGATGGTGGGCGGCTTACAATAGAAATACAAAAAATATATTAAAAAATTACAAGTATAAGAACATTTAAAGTTACAAGAATTTTTTCCACATGCGTGTAAGTCTTTGCAATGTTATAGTTACAGACCTATAGTTATGTAATAATAGAACTTTACTCTGCCTCTTTCTCTTTCCTTCTCTCTATTTCAGTGTTTCCCAAACTTGACAATTTTAAGGCATGAGAACTTCAACTCCCAGAGTTCCACACTCAGCAACGCTGGTTATGGAATTCTGGGAGTTGAAGTCCACATGCCTTAAAATTGTCAAGGTTGAGAAACACTGCTCTATTTAATCAGTCTTCTCTCTATTCTATCATCTATCTGACTGTCTATCTATCTAATCTCTCTTTCTCATATACACACATACACATATAGACATATATATACATACATACGTATATGTATGTATATGTGTGAGTATATGTATGTATATGTGTGTGTAACACACAAAATTCCCAGCATAGGTTGAGCACCTCTTATCTATCGTATCTGTCCATCCATCCATCCATCTCGATCAATCTAATCTATCCTCTCTGTCTGTCTCTCTCTCTGCCTCTCCCTTTTCATCTATCTACTGCTGATATCTGAATGGGAAAACAAATCTAACCCTAATAAAAGTGCGTGGTTGTCGTGCCTGGGAAGAGGCAGTGAGTTTCTCCATTTGCTCCTGCTCTGCAGCTGAGGTTGAAGGTCGGAGGGGCAGGTTGGCCCTATCCGAGGATGTTCCACCTGTTCAGCCAGGGGTGTGGGGTAGAAGTTGGACCTTGGCCTCCCCTGCAGGGGCAGCGGCTGCACTGATTGTGGGTAGGCAGTGTAGCAGTGTGACCTAATGCTTGGCTGTTTCTTTCCCTCCCTCCCTCCCTCCCTCCCTCCCTCCCTCCCTCCCAGCGGCTGGATTGTACTACCTGGCGGAGCTGATAGAAGAATACACAGTGGCCACAAGCCGGATCATCAAATACATGATCTGGGTAAGCATCGACCTGCCTTCCACCCGGGTTTTCCGGGGTGTGTGTGTGTCTCTCTGGCCTGGGCTCAGAGGGAGCAGGAAATGGGGAGCTTAGGGGGGGGGTGACTGGGAAGCCTCTTTGAAGCTCAGCTGGGCTTCCAAACCTGGGAGAGCACCCGCTTCCTGGGTTGCCTTTGGCGGCCTGTCTCCCCTTTCCAGGGCAAAACATTTACAGGTAGTGCTCAGTTTACAGCTGTTCACTTAGTGCCAACTCAAAGTTACGACAGCATTGAAAAAAGGCAACATACTTGTGACATATTTTCACACTGATGACCGTCGCAGCGTCCATCACGGTCCCGTGATCAAAATTCGGACGCTCGGCAACTGACTTCACATTCATGATGGTCGCAGCATCCCTGGGGCTGGGTGGGTTTCCTAACAGCGAGGACAATTAACCAGTGGAACAGCTTGCCACCAGAAGTTGTGGGTGCTCCATCACTGGAGCTTTTTCAGAAAGAGATTGAACCGCTGTTTCTCTGGAATGGGATAGGGCCTCGTGCTTGAGCAGGGGGTTGGACTAGAAGACCTCTGAGGTCCCTTCCCGCTCTTATCCTGATTGAAACGTCTTAACGACCAGAAACGAGTCCCGTTGCCAGGATTCAGACCCCTTTGCCTGGATGACTTGAGACTCCGCCTTGACCTGCTTCTCTCTCCTAGTTCTCCACGGCTGTGCTGGTCGGCCTGTATCTCTTTGAGCGCTTCCCGGGTCTCCTGGTGGGCGTGGGTCTCTTCACCAACCTGGTCTACTTCGGATTGCTGCAGACCTTTCCCTTCATCATGCTGACCTCCCCCAATTTCATCCTCTCCTGTGGTGAGTGCCTCCCTCGGCGTCTTCATCTGCGACTTCGTCAAACGCTGCGGTTGCGTCCCTGGGCTTGTGGCACCGTAGCCTCGTGTGGGACAGATGTGGGGTTTGCCCCCCACCACACTCATCTCCACCCCCAGGAAATGGCTCTTACTCCTCAGTTCCGTTGTGGGTTTAGATCAGGGGTCTCCAACCTTGGCCACTTGTAAGACTCGTGGACTTCAACTCCCAGAATTCCTGAGGCAGCCATGCTGAGGGGACAGGGAGAGGTTTCCAAGCTGAGCCATGCTGGCTCAGGAATTCTGGGAGTTGAAGTCCACCATAAAGCGGCCTAGGCCTAGGCCAGGGGTAGGCAACCTTGGCTCTTATGACTGGTGGACTTCAACTCCCAGAATTCCTGAGCCAGCCTGGTTCAGCTTGGAAACCTCTCCCTTTCCCCTCAGCATGGCTGGCTCAGGAATTCTGGGAGTTGAAGTCCACGAGTCATGAAGGGGCCATAGTTCCCCCATGCTGGCTCAGGAATTCTGGGAGTTGAAGTCCAGGAGTCATAAAAGAGCCAAGGTTGGAGAGCCCTGTTCTAGATTAGGAGAGGAAGTCAGCTCTTGATTCATTCTGCAGTCTTGCTTGAGACATAAAGCGTGGATTTATGGGGGGGGTCCCCATAAGGTGTGTCACTATTCAGAAGGCAGGTAAGGCAAGGACTAGCTAGGTGCACTTCCATTTTTCCTTCGCCATCCAGATTTAGACCGGGAGGTGCTTGGAGTAAGGACTGTCTCTTTCTCTGTCCGTCTGTCTGTCGGTCTGTTTGTATCTTAAGAATAATCAGAATAATCAATAGAGCTGGAGGGGACCTTGGAGTTCTTCAGCCCCCTGCTCAAGCAGGAATCCCTCAAATAAGGGGCTGTCCAGTGTCTTCTTAAAAGCCTCCAGGGATGAAGCACCCACAACGTCATCTGTCTATCTGTCCATCCATCTGTCTATCCATCTATCTTTCCATCTAATCTATCTACCTACCTTGTCTGTCTATCTTTCCATCCATCCATCCCTATCTATCCATCCATCCATCCATCCATCTCCCTATCTATCTTGTCTGTCTGTCTGTCTTTCCATCCACCCACCCACCTACCTGTCTGTCTGTCTCTTTCCATCTAATCTATCCATCCATCCATCCATCTCCCTATCTATCCTGTCTGTCTGTCTGTCTTTCCATCCACCTACCTACCTGTCTGTCTGTCTGTCTCTTTCCATCTAATCTATCCATCCATCCATCCATCCATCCATCCATCTACCTACCTACTTGTCTGCCTGTCTCTTTCCATCTATCTATCTATCTATCTATCTATCTATCTATCTATCTATCTATCTATCCATCCATCCACCTACCTATCTTGTCTGTCTCTTTCCATCCATCTATCTACCTACCTACTTGTCTGCCTGTCTCTTTCCATCTAATTATCTATCTATCTATCTATCTATCTATCTATCTATCTATCTATCTATCTATCTATCTCTATCCTCCCTCTCTCCCTCTCTCTCCCCTCCCTCTCTCTTGCTCCCCTCCCTCCCTCCCCCCCCTCTCTCAACCCCCCCTCTCCCTTAGTTCTATAAATCTCAGGCTTATCGTAAGCAGGAACCTGTTTCAGGTCTCTGAGTCATTCTTCGCTTTGCTTCGTTTCACCTTCCGATTTTCTTTTCTTTTTCATTTTTTTCCTCTTCCTCAATCCTGCTTCAGAGATTTTGTAAGGTTGCAACGTCAGCCACGTTTCGCAACGTTCCTGGGGCTTGTCCAAGACTCAAGGTTAATAGGGAAGGCAGAGAAAGTGGATCTGGCCGAAATGGCAAATGTTCACTCGCAGTCAGAGCTAGGAACACACTTTTTTTTTTTTGTCAAAGAGGGCAGAGACTCTTTGAAATTTGAAGGCGGAGGGGGGGTTGGGGGGGGCCTTTTCCCACGAACAAACACGGTTTACGAGGCTTAAACTTTTGGGAGCTGCCGATCTTTGGCTGTCGCAGCCTGCGGTCTCCGTGGGGAGGGGGTGTCTCTCTTCCTGCAGTGTTTGGGCCCTAAGGGAGACCTTGGACTCCACGCTGGCTGAGCGAAGCACCCCAGAATTGTAAGCACCTCCTCTTTCTCCCCCCCCCCATCCTCTTTTGCAGTGCTGGTTATGTTGAACCACTACCTGGCCTTTCAATATTTCGCAGAGGAATATTATCCCTTCTCAGAGGTAAGTGGGGTCTGGGGAGGGGGTTACTATAAAACCACGAGACCCTGCTGTGCCTTCCTCTCTGCAGTGCTATCTTTTTCTCCCCCCCCCCTTTTTTTTTTCCTTCCCTTTTCCCTCCCCTCTCTCTCCTATCATTCCAGTGGTTCTCCACCTGTGGGTCGGGACCCCATTTGGGGTCGAACGACCATTTCACGGGGGTCGCCAAACAACGCAGTCCACCATTTTTCCCCCCTTTTCCTGAGCTGTGCTACTCCCTTTTATTCTATTGGCTTTTGAAAGCCAATAGAATAGACTCTCTTGAATAGAGTCTAATTCTATTGGCTTTCCAAAGCCAATAGGAATTGTCCAGGCTGTCTCTGCCCTGCTGAGCCCGCCAAAAGCCCCATTCTGCAAACTGGGCTGCACCAGTTGAGTAGTCCTCGACTTACGACCGGTTGAGTAGTCCTCGACTTACGACCGGTTGGGGGTCGTGACATTAAAAAGGTTGAGAACCCCTGTATTATTCCCTTTCGCACGTTTGTATCCTAGATAATATCATTACTCAAATAATAATAAAGAAAGAAATTTGGGGGATCGGCGGGGATCGTAAGTCAGGGATGGGTCAGCTGGAGAGGGGGCAGGCTTGGATGATGATCTGGGGGTTCCGTGTCCCCCACCTTTGGCTCGTTGGACGTGCCCCATCCAGGTCACCTGCAGAGGAGGCCAAATGGAGCTGGTCAGGTTCCTGGCTCCCCAGCGAGAACGGATAGAACAGTGGTTTTCAACCTTTTTAATGCCCTGACCCCCAACCGGTCTTAAGTCGAGGACTACTCAACTGGGGCAGCACCGTTTGCAGAATGGGACTTTTGGTGGGTTCAGCAGGGCAGAGACAGCCTGGACAATTCCTATTGGCTTTTGAAAGCCAATAGAATTAGACTCTATGCAAGAGAGTCTGTTCTATTGGCTTTCAAAAGCCAATAGAATAAAAGGGAGTAGCACAGCTAAGGAAAAGGGGGGAAAAAAATGGCGGACTGCGTTGTTTGGCGACCCCGGTGAAATGGTCGTTCGACCCCAAATGGGGTCCCGACCCACAGGTGGAGAACCACTGGGATAGAATGTCTTTTATTGTCGTTGTGTAACTCACAACGAAATGAAGTTCGCCATGAAATTAGGTATTAATAAATTAAATGCGCGGGTCGTAGGGGCTTTGGGCCTGCAGGGGGCGCTCCGGGACCACGGCTGGGCTTGCTGGGACGGTTTTGTGGGGACTGGCTGGGGCTTGTCTGATGCTCTTTTTCTCCTGCCCCCCCCCCCTGCAGGTCCTGGCCTATTTCACCTTCTGCCTCTGGCTCATCCCCTTCGCCTTCTTCGTGTCTCTGTCGGCTGGCGAAAACGTCTTGCCGTCCACCGTCCAGCCTGGAGGTCAGTTCTCTAGCCAGACCCCCTTGTGCCCAGGGAGGGAGAAAACAACCCCCCCACCACCACCAGAATTCACACCCAGCCCAAATCTGCAGCAATGTTACGTATTGCTCGATTCACGCTGGGTGTCTCCCCCCCAAAAAAAGGGGGGGTGGGAGGGAGCGATGGCTGGCCTCAAGGAACCGTTGACGTGGGCTCCCTGGTGCTTCTCTGAGCTGGGCTGTTTCTTTGCAGACCTCTCATGACCCAGCTAGGTAACGCCGTCAGTGCGGAAAAGGAGGGGGGTTTGAGGAAGAGGATTGTGGGTCCTGGGGGCTCTCTTGAGACGTTTCATTACCCAACAAGGGAACATCATCATCGTTGCTGGAAGGTGGGGGGGGGATTGCTCTCCGTTTATATATGGTGGGAATGTTCCTGGTCGTTCCTTAACTAGGTTGTTGTTCACTGTTGGACTGAATAGAATAGAATAATAACAAGAGTTGGAAGGGACCTTGGAGGTCGTCTAGTCCCACCCCCTGCTTAGGAGATTGTTTCCGTTGATAGTAGTTCCTTGATTGGGGTTAGGGTTTACTTGCTGATTGTTGTTCCAGTACTTATCTCTGCCTACCTGGGTGTTGATTGCTGGTGAGGAATAGAATGGAATGAAATAGAAATAGGATAAGATAATAAAGAATAGAATAATAGAATAAGAATAGAATAGAATAGAATAGAATAGAATAGAATAGAATAGAATAGAATAGAATAGAATAAATATTGGACTATAGAATGGAATGGTATGGAATAATAAGAATAGAATAGAATGGAAGAGAAATAAGAATGGAATAGAATAAGAATAGAATAGAAAAGACGAATAGAATAGTGTAAGAAATAGGAATGGAAGAATAGAAAAGAATAGAATATGGAATGGAATTGAATGAAATGGAATATAGAATAGAATAGGAATAGAATAGAATAGAATATAGAATAGAATATAGAATAGAACAGAATAGAGTAGAATAGAATAGGAATAGAATCTAGAATAGAGTGCAGAATAGAATGCAGAAGAGAATGGAATAGAATATAGAATAGAATAGAATATAGAATAGAAAATAGAATAGAAATAAGAATGAATAGAATAGAATAGAAGAACAGAACAGAATATAGAATAGAATAAATAGAATGCAGAATAAAATAGAATGCAGAATAGAATAGAATGCAGAATAGAATAGAATAGAAATAAGAATGAATAGAATAGAAATAGGAATAAGAATGAATAGAATAGGAATAGGAATAGAATAGAATAATAACTTTATTGTCACTTTGAATGTACACTAACCGGCATACATTAAAATGAAATTCCGTTGCATTCAGCTCTCTAAGGAAGCGTTTGAGTCTTTTTGCTTCCTTTCTGGCTACTTGCTGGTCTCCCTTGAACGCTGTGCAAACGTCACTTACCTCCATGTGCCTGTGGATGGCCGATCGGTCCAAGCGCCCGGCCTCCAGGAATTCTCTAGTGTTTTTGGACTTGGTCTACGACGCTCACCGTTTCCCAGCTGGCACGTAGGGCGAAGTCTGCCCGTGTGTTGTGCAGTTATGAAAATTGAGGGGTTTTCCTCCCAAGGTGTGGGCGAGCCATCAGCCCGATCAAGGAACCACCAAGAACGTCCCAGCTGCGCTTGACAGGACAAGGCTTGTGCATAAACAGAGTGCAAAGCTGCCCCCCCCCCGGTTCAGCCCTGAGCTGCAGATACAGGCAGTCCTCCGCTTTGCTTAGTGACCGTTTGAAGTTATTACAGCACTGGAAAAAAAGAGACTTAGGATCATTTTTCACACTTACGCCCATCGTAGCCTCCCCCGGGGGGGTGTGTCACGCGATTTACATTTGGGTGCGTGACGTTTATGGCGGGTTGCCGTGTCGCCTGACCCCAGCAAAACTCCCTGAGGGAAGCCGGATTCACTTAACAACCGTGCTGCTGATTTAACAGCCGCAGGGATCCGCTTAGCGAGGGTGGCAAGGGCCGTCGTAAAACGAGGCAAAACTCCCTGAGCCGTCTCGCTTAGCAGCGGAAATCTTGGACTCGCTTAACAAACGGTGGCGAGGAAAGTTGTAAAATGGGAGCGAAGCCCCCTCAGCCAATTTCTCCCTGGGCGAGCTTAAATCTGGGGCCCTAAGCCGAGGACCACCTGTGTATAAGCGGGGGGCAAAGCCCCCTCCCCCAGTCTGCCATTCCTCTCTTCTAACTCTTGATGCGTTCGGCTCTCACCCGCCCGGCAGCTTTCTACGTCTCCCTTCGGCTGGGTCAGGTGTGTGTGTGGGGGGGGGAGCAGTGTTTTCTTCACAAGTGGGCAGAGCCAGCCCTGGAAGGTGAGTGTGCGGGACCCTGCCCCTTTTTAAATCCGATTTGTCTCTTTTGTGCTCAGACGATGTGGTCTCCAACTACTTCACCAAAGGGAAGCGAGGGAAGCGTTCGGGGATCCTCCTGGTCTTCTCCTTCATCAAGGAAGCCATCTTGCCCAGCCGACAGAAGATGTACTGATGCCCCCCCCCACCGCTGGCACCCCCCCCCCCGTTTTTTTTTTCTCCCCCTGGCCAGTACAGAAACCTGCCTGCCTGCCCCAAAAGGCGGACCTCTCGCCCGCCCCCCCTTTTCCTTACGTCGATCCCTTTGGGGTGAACGAACCAGGTCCAGAGGCCTCCAGATCCCTCTCTTTCTTGTAGATGGCTGGTGGAGGGCACAGGGCCGAGGAAGGGGATCCCTCCCCCCTCTCGCCCCCCCCTCAATGAGACCCCCCTCCCCGATGAACTCTTGGCGTGCTTCTAAGCCGGGCACGTCACCTCTTCGCGGTAGGAAGGGGTGCAACGTTTCACCAGCTGCCCACTGCCGGACTTCTTCCAGATTTTGAGAGGAATCTGCCGAGAGAGCCCAGGCGGAGTGGATTCCTTAAAGACGTAATTGCTGAGCTGACCCAGGCTGTCCAGCCAGGAATTAAAGAGGCTTCCTGCATTTGGCTGGGAGAATTCCTCTCCAGGAGGCTGCAGAGACACGGACCAACTTTGGTTCAAAAAAGAAAGGAACCGAGAACAAGGGTTCACACAAACGTCCCGGGTCAGCTTTTCGGGGCGCGTCAAAAAGGAGACGTGTGTTCAGCCCCAAAGACTGCCGGCATCCCGCCCCGAAGCTTCAGGGACTTAAACCGGGGTGGGTGAAAACCGGATTGGTCGGGGAAGGAACCGAGATTGTCGTGCAAAGAATTGGCGAGGCGATGCCTGGAATGTGGGAAGCCAGAGACGACGACGCTGCTCCTTCAGCTGGGGTAGCCTCGGACTCCGCTCTGGCGATTGTCAGGCTGCCGAGCCCGTCCGGAGGACCTCAGAGGCTCCCAGCTGTCGCTTAGTTCTTGGCTGAGGTCGAAGGGTGCCTCTTTCAGCGCACGGCCCGCGTTCACAATAAAGGTGTTCGGTCGCGTGCTTGACCACAGAACGAGCACACAGCCCTCCATTTCTCCTTTCCCTTCAGCGACCGTCGTGATTGTCGGCATCGGTTTTATTGGGACCCAGCCGAGCCTCTACTTAACAAGCACTCATTCAGTGACCGTTCAAAATGACGACGGCACTGAGGGAAAAAAAAAACACGACCTAGGACCGTTTGTCACACTTAGGACCGTTGCAGCATCCCCCCCCCCCCAGGGTCACGTGGTCAAAATTCAAAATTCCCAGGGGGGGGGGTTGTGTGTCATGTGATCCCCTTTTGCGACCTTTTGACAAGGGGAGGGCAGAGTCACTCAGCAACCTTGTCCCAGACTTAAACAACCGCAGCCGTTCGCTTAACCAACCGTGGCCCAAAAGGTCGTAAAACGGGGCAAAACCCACTTAAGAACGGTCTCGCTTAGCAACAGAAACTTTAGCCGTAGGTTGAGGACTACCTGTATTTTGCAGCCCCCGCTTTGTAAATTGAGGACTGACGGACGCAGAACTGCCCTAGTGCCCTTTTATTACTATTAAATGTCTCTTGAGCGTTGCAGGTTCATCCCTATTGGATGCTTTAGGAGGGGGGGTATTTGGGGAGGGGTATCCCTGCCCCTTTGCCCTCTGGGGCAGGGCAGGAGGGCCCCCCTGCGAGGATCCCTCCTACGGGTCGGCCAATTCACCCTAGACGGAGGGGGTCTCCTTGGAGGACTCGGAGCTCGCCGTCCTTGGACTCAGAAGTTCAGCGCTTCCGTAGGCGTCGACGTGGGTCCGGAGGGTGCTCAGGAAGACGGGGTCCAGGGTGACCCGCAGGCTGAGGGCCATTTGGTCAGTCCACCAATGCTCGGGCCCCGGGGGACGTCGGTGCTTCAGGTTGAAGATCTGCACCGGCCGGAGTCCCCTGGGCACCTCCATGCGGGGGGTCCAGCTGTGCGGGTAGAGGCTCCGGTGCAGGACCTCGTAGGGCAGGTCGGGCACGCTGCTCACCCGGCCGATGTTGTCGATCTGGATCACCGGCTGGCCGAAAGGGTCCTTGAAGAGGAAGAGGAAGGAGGTGAAGTCGTGGGGCGGCTGCTTCTCGGCCTCCACGCCCAGCCGGATGAGCTGCGGGCGGGAGATGAAGGTGGCCGGCTCGGAGTCCAGGTTGGTGCTGAGGGTCCAGGGCTTCTGACGCCGGTACCGGCGTTGCATGCTGAGGATGGAGTCGGAGCGCTCGCCCCTCAGCAGCGTGGCCAGGGAGGGGACCGGGCTGGCTATCTGGCCGGCCACCTTGCGGAGGGTCAGCGAGTGGCGCTGGACCTGCGCCAGGCCTAAGAGGGTGCCGGTAGGCAACGGCAGGCCCTTCTTCACCAGCCAGTTCTCGAAGGCCATCATGTTGCAGATGTTCAGCTCCCTCTGTTAACCGAAAAGTAAAGGCATTGAGACCTGCTCCCGGGCCTTGGGAAGAGCATCCCCCCTCCTCAATACGAGAGGACACCCCTCCACCACCCTCTTGGCCTAGGGCAGTGGTTCTCAACCTTTTTAATGCTGCGACCCCAACCGGTCGTAAGTCGAGGACTACTCAATTGGTCGTAAGTCGAGGACTACTCAACTGGTGCAGCACCGTTTGCAGAATGGGGCTTTTGGCGGGCTCAGCAGGGCAGAGACAGCCTGGACAATTCCTATTGGCTTTTGAAAGCCAATAGAATTAGACTCTATTCAAGAGGAGTCTATTCTATTGGCTTTCAAAAGCCAATAGAATAAAAGGGAGTAGCACAGCTAAGGAAAAGGGGGGGAAAAATGGCGGACTGCGTTGTTTGGCGACCCCCGTGAAATGGTCGTTCGACCCCAAATGGGGTCCCGATCCAAAGGTTGAGAACCGCTGTCCTAGGGCCAGAAAGATCTGCTCTTGCCACCCAGAGTCGTGAACCTGAGATGGCTGGTTATAGGAATTGAAATCAACAAATATGCCTATCGTAGAGGAGACTGTGAGTTCTAGTTTCATCTTAGCTATGAAAACCAGCTGGGTGATTTTGGGCCAATCGCCAGGAGGTGGCGAGTTCTAGTCCTGCCTTAGGCACGAAAGCTTACTGGATGGCTTTGGACCAATCACTCGGGGCCTTACGAGTTCTAATCCTGCCTTAGCCTTGAATGCCAGCTGGGTGACTTTGGGTCAATTACCAGGAGACGGTGAGTTCTAGTCCTGCCTTAGGCGTGAACACCAGCTGGGTGATTTTGGGCAGTCACTTCTTAAAAGCCTCCAGGGTTGAAACGCCCACCACGTCTAGTGGCAAGCCGTTCCACCGGTGATTTGTCCTCACTGTCAAGAAATTTCTCCTGACTTCCAGCTTGCTTCTCTCCTTGATCCGTTTCCATCCCTCACTTCTTGTCCTGCCTTCCAGCTCTTTTTGAGAGGAAATTGACCCCCTCCTCTTCTTTGGGGCAGCCCCTCAAATACTAGAAGGCTGCTGTCATGTACACACACACACACACACACACAGAGAGAGAGAGAGAGAGAGAGCTCCTTTTCATTAAATTAGACCAGGGGTAGGCAACGTTGGCTCTTTTATGTCATGTACACACACACACATACACACACACACACACACACACACACACACACACACACACACACACAGCTCCTTTTCATTAAATTAGACCAGGGGTAGGCAACCTTGGCTCTTTGGGTAGGCAACCTTGGCTCTTTTATGTCATGTACACACACACACACAGCTCCTTTTCATTAAATTAGACCAGGGGTAGGCAACCTTGGCTCTTTTATGTCATGTCCACACACACACACACACACACAGAGAGAGAGAGAGAGCTCCTTTTCATTAAATTAGACCAGGGGTAGGCAACCTTGGCTCTTTTATGTCATGTCCACACACACACACACACACAGAGAGACAGAGAGACAACCTTGGCTCTTTTATGTCATGTCCACACACACACACACACACACACACACAGCTCCTTTTCATTAAACTAGGCCAGGGGTAGGCAACCTTGGCTCTTTTATGACTTGTGGACCAACTCCCAGACGTTCCTAATTCCTGTTTAGGAGTGGGAGATACACAGCCGCTACCTGCTCTCTTTGAAGGAACTGCCGTTGCTTCATCTCACACTCGGCTTTGATGGAGTCCAGCTTGCACATCTGCCTCAGCTGGTGCTTCTTGTCCGCCTTCCACATGGCGTGGGAGAGACGCCTGGGGGGGGGACAGCAGAGCGGTTAAGCATCCTCATCCTCATCGCCTCCCTTGCAGCGACCCCTCTCCTTGCCCCATGGGAGGGGGGAGTTTACATTTTGGACATGGAATTGTCCTACATTTTAAAGAAAAGCCACTTGTCTGGAATGGTCTAGGTCACAGGTCGGCAACCTGCGGCTCCGGAGCTGCATGCGGCTCTTTGAGCCTTCCCCTGCGGCTCCCAGCCTCCTCTGCCATTTGCAGAGACAGACAGAGACAGAGAGAGGAATTGCGCTTCTCTCTCTCTCTCTCTCTCTCTCTCTCTCTCTGTGTGTTTTTTTTTTTTGTGTGTGTGTGTGTGTAAAAAAGAAAGTGCACTCACGGTGTTCTCCGAGGAGCTGAAAAGCTTACTGGGCTCCTCCCTTTGCTGCGTCTCTGCAGGAAGCAGGAAGGGCAGGAGAGAGCTAGCTAGCCCAGCTAGGCTGACTCAGGAATTCTGGGAGTTGAAGTCCATGAGTCATAAAAGAGCCGAGGTTGCCTACCCCCGAGCTTGTTGGACAACAGCTTGAAGCTTGTCAGGTGAGCAGCAGATGGGAGAGGGGGGGGAGAAAGAGAGAGAGAGAAAGAGAGAGGGGGAGAGAGAGAGGGACAGAGAGAGAGAGAGGAAAGAGAGAGAGAGAGAAAGAAAGAGAGCGGGGGAAGAGGAGTGGCAGGCAGACCAAGGGCAGATAGAGAGGGAGGAGGGAGAGAGACAGAGAGAGAGAGAGACCCTTTTGACATCTAAAATGAAGATAACACTGCATATATCCTTTTTTTACCTGTGTGTGTATGTGTGTGTGTGTGTGTGTGTGTGTGTGTGTATATATATACATACATACCTATACATATATACACACACACACACACACATACATACACACAAACACACACACACACAAACACACCTATAATAAAGGTAAAAAAGGATATATGCAGTGTTATCTTCATTTTAGATATCAAAATGGTTTTGCGGCTCCCAGTGTTTTGTTTTTGGTGGGAAACGGGTCCAAGTGGCTCTTTAAGTGTTTTGGATTGCCTACCCCTGGCCTAGGTCTCCTGCTTGAGCAGGGGGCTGGACTAGAAGACCTCCATGGTACCTTTCATCTGTTTTCCTTCCTTCCTTCCTTCCTTCCTCCCCTATGCTACCTTGAACACTGTCAAATAACCACAACTGCCTATCCCAAGTGCCTGGGAAGGACACGATAGGTAGATAAAAATGCCAAATCTAGTCTGAACATCTGGCTGTGTGACCAAACATAATAATCCTGAATTGTACACTGAGTTGCAAAGTGGTTTTGTCTCTGGCGTTAGAGATTTCATCTGTTTTCCTTCCTTCCTTCCTTCCTTCCTTCCTTCCTTCCTTCCTTCCTTCCTTCCTTCCTTCCTCCCTCCCTCCCTTCCTCCCTTCCTCCCTCCCTTCTCCAACACTGGAAGTTTTTAAAGAAGAGACTGGACAATCACTTGTCTCAATAGGTCTCCTGCTTGAGCAGGGGGTTGGACTAGATGACCTCCGTGGTCCCTTCCAACTCGGCTCTTCTGTTCCCGATAGTCCTCAACTTACAACAGTTAAGTCAGCGGCCGTTCAAACTTAAAACAGCCCTGAAAAAAAGGGACTAGCACCGTTTTTCACACAACTGTTGCAGCATCCCCGGAGTCAGGTGATCAAAATTCAAACGCTCGGCAACCGACTCACACTTACGATGGTCGCAGTGTCCCGGGATCAAATGATCTCTTTTGCAACCTTCAGTGGGGAAGCTGGGTTCACTTAACAACCGTGTCACTAACTTAACAACGGCAATGATTCCCCCTAATGACTGTGGTGAGAACAGTCGTAAAATGAGGCAAAACTTATTTAATTGTCTCGTTTAGAAACTTTTGTGCCTAAGGCAGGACTAGAATTCACCGTCTCCTGGGGATTGGCCCAAAGTCACCACCCAGCTGGCTTTCCTAGCTAAGGTGGGATTTGAACTCACGGTCTCTTGCAGGGGTCTTCCAACTTGGCCCTTTGATGACGTGTGGATTTCAACTCCCAGAATTCCTCAGCCAGGCACGCTGTATGAGGAATTCTGGGAGTTGAAGTCCACTTCTCTTAAAGTCTGTATCAGGGGTCTTCCAACTTGGCCCTTTGATGACTTGTGGACTTCAACTCCCAGAATTCCTCAGCCAGGCTTTCTAGTCTGGTGACAACTTCTAGACCAAACGGTCAAGTTATAGATTCTCAGCCTTGGGCCAAGGCTGGAGTAGATGATCTCCAGGGGCCCCCTCTGAACTGGACACTCTGTGGTGCCCTTCCACCCTGCTTCGCAGCGACCTACTCACTTGGCGCAGCTTCTGTGGCCCCACATTTTGCACAGGTCGATGGGTTTCTGTCCCTCGTTGTCCTGGCTGTGGACGTTGGCCCCAGCGTCAATCAAAGCCTGGAGACAGTTCTCGCGCCCCTCGCTGGCTGCCTTGTGGAGGGGAGACACCCCGTTGAAATTCTGCCTGGGGAGCCAGAATGGGGGAGGGGTTAGGAGAGTCCTAAAGTTGGGTGAAAAGTCCCCCCGGATGCTCTCCCGAGGTAACTTGTAAGCGACTGGGGCAGGATGGTGGTCAAGGGATGACCCCAACCCCCTCCAACCGCAAGGCCTCAAGCTCTGAGATTGGGGGGGCGAGGCTGCCAGACCCGCAGAGTTCAGCCAGGGAGGATGGGACTGTGGGTCTTTGGGGCTTGGCTGCTTTTTTGGCAGACGTTTCGTGACCCAACTAGGTAGCATCATCAGGGCTAGAAGGGAGGAGATAGTTGAGCAAAGGTCAAGATCTCGTTGGGTCATGAAACAGTCTTCAAGAAAACCACCAAGTTCAGAGAGCACCAAGAACCCCACTGTCTTCTCCTCCTCCTCCTCCTCCTCCTCTTCCTCCCCCTCCTTCTCCTCCTCTTCCTCCTCCTTCTCCACCTTCTCCTCCTCCTCCTTCTCCTCCTCTTCCTTTTCCTCCTCTTCCTCCTCCTCCTCCTCCTCTTCCTCCTCCTTCTCCACCTTCTCCTCCTCGTCCTCCTCTTCCTTCTCCTCCTCTTCCTCCTCCTCCTCCTTCTCCTCCACCTTCTCCTCCTCCTCCTTCTCCTCCTCTTCCTTTTCCTCCTCTTCCTCCTCCTCTTCCTCCTCCTCCTCCTCTTCCTCCTCCTTCTCCACCTTCTCCTCCTCCTCCTTCTCCTCCTCTTCCTTCTCCTCCTCTTCCTCCTCCTCCCCTTCTTTTCCTCCTCTTCCTCTTCCTTCTCCACCTTCTCTTCCTCCTCCTTCTTCTCCTCCTCCTCCTCCTCCTCCTCCTCCCCCTCTTCCTTTTCCTCCTCTTCCTCCTCCTCCTCCTCCTCTTCCTCCTCCTTCTCCACCTTCTCCTCCTCCTCGTCCTCCTCTTCCTTCTCCTCCTCTTCCTCCCTCCTCCTTCTCCTCCACCTTCTCCTCCTCCTCCTTCTCCTCCTCTTCCTTTTCCTCCTCTTCCTCCTCCTCTTCCTCCTCCTCCTCCTCTTCCTCCTCCTTCTCCACCTTCTCCTCCTCCTCCTTCTCCTCCTCTTCCTTCTCCTCCTCTTCCTCCTCCTCCCCTTCTTTTCCTCCTCTTCCTCTTCCTTCTCCACCTTCTCTTCCTCCTCCTTCTTCTCCTCCTCCTCCTCCTCCTCCTCCTCCTCCCATTGAACACATTACCTACTTGGGTAATGAAACATCTGCAAGAAAACCACCAAGGTCCAAGGACCCCACAGTCTTTCCTCCTCCCCCTCCTCCCCCCCTCCTCCTCCTCCTCCTCCCCCCCACAGTTTGACCCTGAGCTCCAGAGATCCTCTCCTGTGGATTATGTTACAGAAAGGACAGACTAAACCCTTCGGTGGCTTTATGGGAACCAATCCTGGCTTGACCTTTGCCCTTTGAGAAAATTCACGTCTGCTGATGGTTTAAGCCATTCAATTTCCAATTTTTAAGACACAAAAGGTGAACGGTGCAGCACCCCCCTGGCTTTCTACCTGGCCAGCTGGGGACCTGGGCGGGGGGGGGGGAACCTTCGATCAAGCCAAGAAGAAAAACCAGCGGCCTTTTAGCTTTCCGAGCGAGAAAGGCACGCTTGGAAGTGTAGAGAAGCCCCTTCCAGCAGCTTTTCCCATCCCAGCCTTCCTTATTTAATTTAACTGCTGCCAAATCCGGGCTCTTTCCAAAGCCGATCCTCAAGGGATGCAGGCAGTCCTCGGCTTACGGCCGCAGCTGAGCCCAAAATCTCCATTGCTAAGTGAGACCGTTGTTAAGCGAGCCCTGCCCCATTTTTTACGATCTTTCTTGTCTCGGTCGTTAAGTGAATCACTGCAGTTGCTAAGCTAGTCTCCCGGTCGTTAAGGGTGTCTGGCTTCCCCCACTGACTTTGCGGGTCAGGAGGTCGCCAAAGGGGGGGGGGTCACGTGACCTTGCGACCGTCGTAAGTACACGCCAGTTTCCGAGCCCCTGAATTTCGTTCACAAAAGGTCCTGGGGATGCCGCGACGGTCGTTAAGTGGGAAAAACGGTCATAAATCACCGTTGGAACTTTGAACAGTCACTGTCGTAAGTCGAGGACTGCCTATGCAACTCCTCCCCCTCCCCGGCCCACCAGCCCACCCGAGACGCCCCCGGCCTCCCGGCTCACACGTTGACGTCTGCCCCGTTGCTGAGCAGGTAGTGGAGGCACTGGGCGGCCGTGTCCTTGCTCTCCTGGCCCAGCACCAGGTGGATGGGCCTCCAGCCCCGCAGGCTGGCCAGGTTGACGTCCAGGTTGTATTTCTCGATGAGCATCGTCATGCAGTCCAGCCGGCCGTGCAGTGCGGCCGTGTGCAGCGTGGAGAAGCCCTGGCCGAGGGAGGAAGGGAGGGAGGAGAGGTGGATGGACGAGAAGATCTCCACGGTCTCTTCCAGCCCTAGTAGTCTATGATTCTTCCCTCTGACTTGCTTGCTCGCTCACTTACTCAGTCACTCCTTCCTTCCTTCCTTCCTTCCTTCCTTCCTTCCTTCCTTCCTTCCTTCCTTCCTTCCTTCCTTCCTTCCTCCCTCCCTCCCTCCCTTCCTTCCTTCCTTCCAAAAAGATGTTGAGACTCTAGTCCAGTGGTTCTCAACCTGTGGGTCGAGACCCCATCTGGGGTCGAACGACCATTTCACGGGGGTCGCCAAACAACGCAGTCCGCCATTTTTTCCCCCTTTTCCTTAGCTGTGCTACTCCCTTTTATTCTATTGGCTTTCGAAAGCCAATAGAATCGACTCTCCTGAATAGAGTCTAATTCTATTGGCTTTCAAAAGCCAATAGGAATTGTCCAGGCTGTCTCTGCCCTGCTGAGCCCGCCAAAAGTCCCATTCTGCAAACAGTGCTGCACCAGTTGAGTAGTCCTCGACTTACGACCAGTTGAGTAGTCCTCGACTTACGACCGGTTGGGGGTCGTGGCATTAAAAAGGTTGAGAACCACTGCTCTAGAAAGAGTGCAGAGAAGAGCAACTGAGATGATTAAGGGCCTGGAGCAGGGCTCTTCCAACTTGGCCCTTTGATGACTTGTGGACTTCAATTCCCAGAATTCCTCAGCCAGGCACACGTGGGAGTTGAAGTCCACAAGTCATCAAAGGGCCAAGTTGGAAGAGCCCTGGCCTGGAGCCTAAAACATATGAAGAACAGTTGCATGATTTGGGTTTGGCTAGTCCTAGAGAAAAGAAGGGGTGACCCCATAATGGTCTTCCAGCATTTGAGGGGCTGCCCCAAAGAAGAGGAGGGGGTCAACTTATTCTCCAAAGCCCCTGAAGGCAGGACAAGAACCAATGGGTGGAAACTCATCAAGGAGAGAAGCAACCTGGAGCTAAGGAGAAACTTCCTGACAGGGAGGACAATTAACCAGTGGAACCTGCCTCCAGAAGTTGTGGGGGCTCCATCATTGGAGGTTTTTAAAAAGAGACTGGACAGCCATTTGTCTTGAAGGGTAGAGGGTCTACTGCCTGAGCAGGGGGTTGGACTAGAAGACCTCTAAGGTCCCCTGTAGTCCTGGGAGTCTTATGATTCTTCTAGTTTGCTTGCTCCTCCGTCCGTCCATCCATCCATCCATCCAACCATCCATCCATCCATCTATCTATTTATCTTACCCCAGGATGACTCTGGGCAGCTTACAACCTTAAAAGGAAGCCATGCTATTATAGATCAGGGGTTCTCAACCTTGGCAACTTTAAGACTTGTGGACTTCAACTCCCAGAATTCCTCAGCCAGCAAAGCTGGCTGAGGAATTCTGGGAGTTGAAGTCCACAAGTCTTAAAGTTGCCAAGGTTGAGAACCCCTGCTTTAGATGAAAGTTCTATTCCCAATTCGGATCCTCTCCCTCCCCCCAAGGGGTCCAAGCCAGCAGCCAAAGGAGGGGGGGGCTCTTCCTGGCCGGAGAAAACGGGGCACCCCGCTTTCCAAAGGAGCGTTTACGTTAATATCCGCCTGGTCGGGGCTCTCGGCTTTCTGCAGGCTGATCTGGAGCCACTGGGTCTGCCCGATGCTGGCCGCGTAGTGCAAGTCCTGCAGGCGGTTTTGCTTGGTGGGGCTCTGTCTCGAGGGGGGTTTCACGTTGCTAAAACACAAAGCAGAGGGGTTGTTGAGTACCCCCCCCCATCCCCGCCTCTCTTTTTCGTGAAAGGCTGATGGGCTTTGAGCGTGGATGTGGGGGGGGGCAATCTGTGGGGGCTCAATTGGGGGGGGGGCTCTGGAAGGGCTTTTCAAATGACCGGCTTTGATACCAGGCAGGGCTTGGGGGTCATGGGAAAAGTGGCTTACACACACACACACACACACACACACACACCTTCTGAAAGTGGCTTACACACACGTTCTGAAAGTGGCTTACACACACGTTCTGAAAGTGGTTTCCAGACACGCACACACACACACACCCCTTCTGAAAGTGGTTTACACACACACACACACACACACCCCTTCTGAAAGTGGCTTACACACACACACCCCTTCTGAAAGTGGCTTACACATACATTCTGAAAGTGGTTTCCAGACACGCATGCACGCGCGCACACACACACACACCCCTTCTGAAAGTGGCTTACACACACACACACACACACACGTTCTGAAAATGGCTTACACATGTTCTGAAAGTGGTTTCCAGACACGCACGCGCACACACAGACACACACCTTCTGAAAGTGGCTTACACACATACACACATACACACACACACACGTTCTGAAAGTGGCTTACACACACACACACACACACACACACACGTTCTGAAAGTGGCTTACACACACATTCTGAAAGTGGTTTCCAGACACGCACACACACACGCGTGCGCACACACACACACGTTCTGAAAGTGACTTCCAGACACACACACACACACACACACACACACACACACACACGTTCTGACCATTTGCTTAAAGAAGGGAGCCTTTGACGGGAATAAAATTAAGCCTGTTGCTCTAAAGGCCGTGGGGGGGGGTGGATCGGATGACCTCTGAGGTCCCCCTCCCAGCTCCGGGGCGGCTTTGGTGCAATCTGTGAAGCTCCAGCCTCCGTCCGGCTTGGCTGCTTCCCTGGCGGGATCCTTTCCTTGGAGACTGGCACCTCCAGTCTAGCGGAGACCGCAGGGTGGCTGTCCACCACAGTTCCCATCATCCCCAGGAACACAGGGGAAGGAGGGGGCGGCAGTCCAGGAGCGACCCCCGATTTAAGGGAGGGGATCTCCCTCCCTCCCTCCCTCCCTCCCCTCGGAGATTCCCCCCCCTCGGGCGCTGTCCGGGGGCTGAAGGTAGCCTGCGCTGGCCGCGGGAGGCTCCCAGGGTGGCCCGGGACCCTCCCCGCCATCCCCCCCCCCCCACTGGCCTGAAAGAGAGGGCGGAGAGGGCCAGGCTGCGGGAGAAGGCCACGCGGCGCGCTCCCCCGGACTTGGGCCGTCGCCGTCGCGGACGAGGCGCCCTCCGACCCGCCATCGCGGCCAGTGGGGCGCCCGGCAACTGCGGAGCGCGGCCGAGGCGTTGCCGGACAACCGGGGCCGGCCCGGGGGAGGGGGGCGGGCTCAGCCCGCGTGATTGACGGGGTTCTCCCGCGCGGGGGGGGGGAGGAGAGGAAGAGGGAAAGGGAGTCCGGAGAAGAAAGAGAAGGAGGAGGAGGAGGCAAAGGGGAGGGGAAGTAGAGGAGGAAGAGGAAAGAGGAGGAAGAAGTAGGAGGAGAAGGGGAAGGGAGGTGGGAAGGGGAGGAGAAGCAGAGGAGGAAGGGGAGGGAGAGGAAGGAGGGAGAAGGAGAAGGAGGAAGTAGAAGAGGGGGAGGGCGAAGGGCAAGGGAAGTAGAGGAGGAAGGAGAGGGAAGGAGGAAGAAGGAGAAGGAGGAAGAGGGGGAAGAAGAGGGGAAGTAGAGGAAGAAGAGGGAGAGGAAGGAAGAAGAAGTAGGAGGAGGAGGAAGTAGAAGAGAGGGAGGGGGAGGGGAAAGTAGAAGAGGAAGGAGAGAAAGGAAGTAGAAGAGGGGGAGGGGGAAGGGGAGGGGAAGTAGAGGAGGAAGAAGGAGGAGAAGGAAGAAGTAGAAGGGGGGAGGGGAGGGGAAGGGAAGTAGAGGAGGAAGAAGAGGAAGGAGGAAGAAGTAGGAGGAGGAGGAAGTAGAAGAGAGGGAGGGGGAGGGGGAAGTAGAAGAGGAAGGAGAGGGAGAGGAAGTAGAAGAGGGGGAGGAGGAAGGGGAGAGGAAGTAGAGGAGGAGGGAGAGGTAGGAGGAAGAGGAAGGAGGAGGAGGAAAAAGTAGGAGGGGGGAGAGGGGAGGGGAAGAAGAGGGAGAGGGAGGAGGAGGAAGAAGGAGGAAAAAAGTAGAAGAAAGGAGAGGAAGAGGAAGGAGGAGGACGACTCTTTCCGCCTTCCCACGGGAGACACCCAAGGCCAGGTACAGAAGTCCCAGCTTTTGTCCGGAATGCAGTGACCTGCCCGTGAGTTGGATTCACACGACCGTCTCTCCCCCCATTAGCCAAGCCTTGAACTCGCCAAGCTTTGCAGTCCTCCACACGCTGCCTCCTTCGGCGCTCTCGAAGTCCGGGTTCGGGACGTCATGCGAAGGCGGCCACCGCCGATGTGACACTCTTTTTTCCCCCCGGGGCCACTGTCTCCCCAAGCCTCGTGCAAAATGCACCACTGGCTCCCTTCTGCCTGGCACGGCCCGCATCCACCCCAAGAGGGTCGGGGGAACCCGCCAGTTGCTGGCAGGAAGCTGGGCTCGGGGTCGTATCCAGATGGGTGAGGCCCTTTCCGCGCTTGTCCTCCGTAATTTCAACTTTCCTCTTTCATCTTCCAAACTTCCATCCTTTTGCATTCTCTCTCTTTTTTTTTAACCCTTTTTCCAGCCTGTCGAACGTCCCGAGTCGTCGTCACAGTGAGTTGGGGAGCAGATAAATTGAATGAATGAATAAAATAAGAAAGAAATTTTAAAAATGGGCACCTTCCATGCAGCTACGTGCGGGTTCCCCCCCCCCGACCTGGCCCGGCTCAGGCCACCCTCGTAAATCCAGGCCGGTTGCCAAGTGTGCCAATTTTGATCCCATTATGGAGGGACGCTGCGAGAGTCCTGGCTTGTAAGTTGTTCTTTTTATTGCTGTTGTAACTTCAAACGATCACTAAACCAGTGGTTGTCACCTGAGGACTACCCATAATGCAACTGGAGTGGGAAATTGCATCCTAACAGCTGGAAGACTCCCAAGCAGCTGTTCCCCTTTGGGCTGAGCAAGGTCCTCGGTGGATGGAGCCGGTCCTTTTGCTGACCGGAAGGGACGCTGCCTGTGGTTACAGCCAAGCCACCTCCGCAATCTTCGGCCTGGGGTGCACGGGGGCTCCTGCGGTCAGCTGGTCAGCTTCACCTTAAGAGATGAAGAGGAAAGAACCAGGTGAGACGAGGTCAAAGAGATCGGACAGAAACCAGAGAAGCCTGGAGGTGGAAGGAACCTTGGAGGTCATCTAGTCCAACCCCCTGCTCAAGCAGGAGCCCCTATACCAGGGGTCTGCCACCTTGACAACTTGAAGACTTGTGGACTTGTCTAGGCTGGCTGAGGAATTCTGGGAGCTGAAATCCACAAGTCTTCAAGGTGTTAAGGTTGCGGACTTTTGCCCTATACCAGAGGTAGGCAACCTTGGCTCTTTTATGTCTGGTGGACTTCAACTCCCAGAATTCCTCAGCCAGCCATGCTGAGGGGAAAGTATGGTTTCCAAGCTGAACCATGCTGGCTCAGGAATTCTGGGAGTTGAAGTCCACCAGACATAAAAGAGCCAAGCTTGCCTACCACTGGCCTAGGCCCCTTCTTGACTCGTGAACTTCAACTCCCAGAATTCCTGAGCCAGCCTGGCTCAGCTTGGAAACCTCTCCCTTTCCCCTCAGCATGGCTGGCTCAGGGATTCTGGGAGTTGAAGTCCACCAGTCATAAAGCGGCCTAGCCCTAGGCCAGGGGTGGGCAACCTTGGCTCTTTTATGACTGGTGGACTTCAACTCCCAGAATCCCTGAGCCAGCCATGCTGAGGGGAAAGGGAGAGGTTTCCAAGCTGAGCCATGCTGGCTCAGGAATTCTGGGAGTTTAAGTCCATGAATCATAAAGCAGCCTAGGCCTAGGCCAGAGATAGGCAACTTGGCTCTTTTATGACTTGGGGACTTCAACTCCCAGAATTCCTGAGCCAACATGGCTCAGCTTGGAAACTCTCCCTTTCCCCTCAGCATGGCTGGCTCAGGAATTCTGGGAGTTGAAGTCCATGAGTCATAAAAGAGCCAAGGTTGCCTACCCTTGCCCTAGACCAGGGGTAGGCAACCTCGGCTCTTTTATGACTCATGGACTTCAACTCCCAGAATTCCTGAGCCAGCATAGCTGGGCTAGCTAGCTCTCTCCTCCCCTTCCTGCTTCCTGCAGAGACGCAGCAAAGGGAGGAGCTCCGCCCAGTAAGCTTTTCAGCTCCTCGGAGAACACTGTGAGTGCACTCTCTTTTACACACACACACACACACACACACACACACAGACAGACAGAGAGAGAAGCAGGGAAGCGCAACTGCCTCTCTGTCTCTCTCTGCAAATGGCAGAGGAGGCTGGAAGCTACAGGGGAAGGCTCAAAAGAGTCGCATGCGGCTCCGGAGCCGCAGGTTGCCGACCTGTGCCCTAGACCATTTCAGACAGGTGACTGTCGAGTCTCTCCTTTAAAATCTCCAGTGATGAAGCACCCACAACTTCCGGTGGCAAGCAGTTCCACTGGTTAATTGACCTCCCTGTTAGGAAGTTTCTCCTTCATTCTAGGTTGCTTCTCTCCTTGATGAGTTTCCATCCGTTGCTTCTTGTCCTGCCTTCAGGCGCCTTGGAGAATAGCTTGACTGCCTCTTCTTTGGGGCAGCCCCTGAGATACTGGAAGACTGCTATCCTGTTTCCCCCTGGTAGTCCCTCTTTTCATTAAACTAGCGGTAACCGGCTCTTTCTCACATGTTTTAGTCTCCAGGCCTTTAATCCTCTTAGTTGCTCTTCTCTGCACTTTTTCCAGAATCTCAATCTCTTTTTTGGGGGGAATTGTGGCAAACCAGAACTGGACCCAGTGGTCCAAGCGTGGCCTTGTGCAACACAGTCACGAAGCGTGCTTTGAGTTTGGAATAGTTTGCATCCCGTTGGCAGGAGGAAGGGACTGCAGAGTAGGTCAAAAAAGTCAAGATGGCGGCCACAACGGTGACATCAAAGCGCTGCTCCTTTTTTAAACCTGTGTTGTGTGTTCAGAGATGGTGCTTCTGTGGAGACCCCAGTGCCTAGGACAGGGGCGGGCCACTATGGCAACTTTAGGACCTGTGGACTTCAACTCCCAGAATTCCTGAGCCAGCAAAGCTGGCTCAGGAATTCTGGGAGTTGAAGTCCACAGGTCCTAAAATAGTGACTGATCCCTACTGTAGGAATTATCTTCTTCCTGAATATTCTGCAAGGAAGCTCTGAAACGGCCACCCCACACTCGATAACACACGGGACCGTGGATGGATTCACACATGCATCTGTTTTCCCATCCACAGGACACCCAGAAATTGTCTTCTGTGGGACGAGAGACCTCAAACTGAAGTGCGCATGGCAAAAAATCATCCAATCCGTGAGGGTAGTCCAGCACACCGGTTCCTACCTGGTAGACCTTTGCTAGTCTCCGGGGACTCTGACTGGTTGGGCTGGAGGCCCCTTGGGAGCCTCACGGGTGAAGCTGCGTGGTCTTCTCCCCTGGCCCCGGGGACAGGAGGCAGGAGCCCCTGGTCTGCAGCTGGGATGGAGGGCTCGGTCAGGACCGGCGCCTGGTCAACTATACGCCGCCGTCTCTGCAGGAGCTTCTCAAGCTGATGGTCCACCAGTTGCTTCTTCTGGCTGCCCTTACGCCGGCTGGATCGCTTCCGTGGCCTGCTCGTGGCACTCTGCGGAGGAGAACATCGGGAGGGATGGAGCTGGGCGGACCTGGAGACGCGGTTTGGATTCGGGGAAGGCGCCAGGCTTGAAACCTGGAAACCGGGAGTTCTAGTCTTACCTTAGGCATGAAAGCTGGTTGGAAGACTTTGGGCCAATCACCAGGAGACGGTGAGTTCTAGTCCCGCCTTAGCTATAAAAGCCAACAAGGTGACTTTGGGCCAATCACCAGGCGATGGAGAGTTCTAGTCCCGCCTTAGCCATGAAAGCCAACTAGATGACTTTGGGCCAATCACGAGGAGACTGTGAGTTCTAGTCCCGCCTTAGCCATGAAAGCCAACCAGGTGACTTTGGGCCAATCACCAGAAGACAGTGAGTTCTAGTCCCACCTCAGGCAGGAAAGCCAATTGTCTGGCCCAATCACCAGGAGACAGTGAGTTCTAGTCCCACCTTAGCCATGAAAGCCAACGAGGTGACTTTGGGCCAATCACCAGGCGATGGAGAGTTCTAGTCCCGCCTTAGCCATGAAAGCCAACCAGGTGACTTTGGGCCAATCACCAGAAGACAGTGAGTTCTAGTCCCACCTCAGGCAGGAAAGCCAATTGTCTGGCCCAATCACCAGGAGACAGTGAGTTCTAGTCCCACCTTAGCCATGAAAGCCAACGAGGTGACTTTGGGCCAATCACCAGGCGATGCAGAGTTCTAGTCCCGCCTTAGCCATGAAAGCCAACTAGGTGACTTTGGGCCAATCACCAGGCAATGGAGAGTTCTAGTCCCGCCTTAGCCATGAAAGCTAACTAGGTGACTTTGGGCCAATCACCAGGAGACGGTGAGTTCTAGTCCCGCCTTAGCCATGAAAGCTAACTAGGTGACTTTGGGCCAATCACCAGGAGACAGTGAGTTCTAGTCCCACCTTAACCATGAAAGCTAACTAGGTGACTTTGGGCCAATCACCAGGAGACGGTGAGTTCTAGTCCCACCTTAACCATGAAAGCTAACTAGGTGACTTTGGGCCAATCACCAGGAGACGGTGAGTTCTAGTCCTGCCTTAGCCATGAAAGGCAGCTAGGTGACTTTGGGCCAATCACCAGGAGACGGTGATTTCTAGCCCCACCTTAACCATGAAAGCTAACTAGGTGACTTTGGGCCAATCACCAGGAGACGGTGAGTTCTAGCCCCACCTCAGGCAGGAAAGCCAGTTGTCTGGCCCAATCACCAGGAGACGGTGAGTTCTAGTCCCGCCTTAGCCATGAAAGCCAGTTGTGGCTTGACTCTTGCAGCCAATTGGCGCTGGAGGCGGCAATCAATGTCACCACAATGGAGAGGAAGCGTCTGGGCCACTCTTTCCACGGGGATGCACGCTGGCGGACGAGTGAGCAGCTTTTGAGATTCTCCTCATGTATTTTGAGGGGCCGTCCGCCCCTTTCTAGGCTCCCCCAACTGAGGGAGCGGCAAAGGCTCCCGCAGTGCCTGCTGTCCTAGGAGAACGTGGCATGCAACAGTGGCCATGTCCCATGCAGGTAGTCCTCAATTTACAACCTCAAGTGACCCCCCCCCCAAAAAAATTTCTGTTGCTAAGCCAGAGACATTTGTTAAGTGAGCTTTGCCCTATTTTACGACTTTTTTTGGCCCTTAAGAGAACCACTGCGGTCGTTAAGTTAGTGAAACGGTCGTTAAGCGAATCTGGCTTCCCCCCATTGACTTTGCTTGTGGCAGATGGGGAATCGCACGACCTCGGGACATTGCGACCGTCGTTAGTGTGAGTCAGTGGTCCAGCGTCTGAATTTTGATCACGTGACCCTGGGGAGTCGTATGAAAATTGGTCATAAGTGGCTTTTTTCTGCGCCTTTGTAACGTTGGTCACTAAACAAACTGTCGTAAATTGAGGACTCCCTGCGTCAGCTGCTGCCCTCGTGGTCGTGCACACACACAAACCCACAATTGACTCTCACCAGCAGGTCTTGCAGCTCCACGGCCGCGCTCCTCCACTTGTTCGCCGTGGCAGACGGGGGCTAAGAGAAAAATGGGGGGGGTAAATCCAGTTAGCTGGCGCTTCGCTCGGACGCCGTTTGGAAGAGGGACCTCGAGGAGAGCCACCCCTGTTCCACAATCCACGGGAGGTTGCCACATTGTGGCCTTCTCGCAATTCCTCAGCCTTCCCCCCGTGCTGAAGAGGGCGTGAAAACACAGGCAGTCCTCGGCTTACAACGGCTGCAGTTAGTGCCCGTCCAAAGTTACGACGGCCCTGAAAATGGGACCGTTTGGTTCACACAATCCCGTTGCAGCGTCCCCGCGGTCAGGTGATCAAAATCCAAGACGCTTGGCAACGGACTCGGATTTATGACGGGCGTGGCATCCCGGGGTTGTGTGTGGCACGTGATCCCCTTTGGCGAGGGGGGGGAAACGTGATTCCCTTAACAATCGTGTTGCTAAAATTGACAGCCGCAGGGATTCACACAAGAACTGTGGCAAGAAAGGCCGTAAAACGGAGCAAAGCTGCCTTTCTCTCGCTTAGCAATGTGTTAGGCTCAATTGTGGCCGTAAGTCGAGGACTACCTGAATTGGCTGAACCGTGGTGGGATTTTGTGGGCGCCTTGACTGATTCCCCCCTGCCTTTCCCCTCCAGCCTGTGACCCCCTCCCTGGCCTCGCCTTACCTGGGAGGGGGACTCGGCCCCCCGCCTCACTGGCCGCAGCGCCACTCCGCCCTTGATCCGGCCCATCATCTCCTCCAGGGCTTTGGCCACGGCCTCGTCCGAGCGGAGGTCTCCTGCCCACAGGGAGAGGACAAATCAGCCCTGCGATTTATTAGTAAGTCGGTATTTCCTAATATACAGGCTGTCCTCGACTTACGACGGTTCATTTAGTGACTGTTCAAAGTTGCAACGGCACTGGAAAAGGGGATTTAGGGCCCTTTCTCACACTTATGACCATTACAGCATCTCCCATGGTCATGATATCAAAATTCAGACGCTTTGCGACTGACTCGTGTTTATGACGGTCGCAGCGTCCCGGGGGGGGGGTGTCACGTGATCCCTTTTGCGACCTTCTGACAGGCGAAGTTAAATGGGAGTAGCCCGGTTCACTTCACAACCGGGTGACTGATTTAGCTACTGCTGTGATTCACTTAACAACTATGGCAAGGAAGGTCGTAAAAATGGGGCCAAACTGTCTTCAAAACTGTCTTCCTTAGCAACAGAAATTTTTGGCTCATTTGTGACCATAAGTGCAGGACTATCTGTGCTGTCTCAAAACATGGAGGCTTCCTAGTTTTATAATTTTCCTTCTTCCTTCCTTCCTTCCTTCTTCCCTTCTTTCCTCACTCACTTTTTCTTTTTCCTTCCTTCCTTCTTTCCTTCCTTCCTCATTCACTTTTTTGTTTTCCTTCCTTCTTCCCTTTTCCTTTATTTCCCTTCCTTCTTTCCTTCTTTCCTATATTTCTTTCCTTCCTTCTTCACTCACTTTTTCCTTTTCCTTCCTTCCTTCCTTCCTTCCTTCCTCACTCACTTTTTCCTTTTCCTTCCTTCCTTCCTTCTTCCCTTCTTCCCTTCCTTCCTTCCTCATTCACTCTTCCTTCCTTCCTTCTTCCCTTCTTCCCTTCTTTCCTTCCTTCCTCATTCACTTTTCCTTCCTTCCTTCTTCCCTTCTTCCCTTCTTTCCTTCCTTCCTCATTCACTTTTTCCTTTTCCTTCCTTCCTTCCTTCTTCCCTTCTTTCCTTCCTTCCTTCCTCATTCACTTTTTCCTTTTCCTTCCTTGTTCCCTTTCCTTTTTCCTTCGTTCCTCACGTTTTCCTTTTCCTTCTTTCCTTCCTTCCTTCCTCACTCACTTTTTCCTTTTTACCTTCCTTCCTTTCTTCTTTCCTTCCTTCCTTTTTTCCTTCTTCATCCATCCATCCATCCAGGTTATGAGAGCAGAAGAAGGCTCTCCTTGGGGAGACTTTCTGAACAATCCCATCCCCCATCCAGGGGGGAGGGGGTGTTGGGGCCAAGTGCCAGGGGTCCTGGCTTCCCCCTTGCCCACTTACCCCTTTTTGTCTGCTGTGCGCCTTTCCTCTCCCGAAGGGCCATCAGGGGGCTGCAGGGAAAGGGGGAAGGTCAAGCTTTTCCAGATGTTCCCCCCCCCTTCCAGCTGGGGTCCAACTTCCCTGCCCTGCAGCCCCCTCCCCCCCAGAACTCCCCCCCCGGCTTCACCCAGCACTCCTGGCCACCTGCGTCCCAGGGGGGGCAGCACCTGGTGCTTCTAGCTGCTCCCAAAGAAAGGATGGGGCACCACTAGGAAAGCCTCTCGGCAAGCACACTGGGGAGCTACAGTTAGCCTCGACTTACAACCGTCCATTTAATGACCGTTGGAAGATGCAACAGCCCTGAAAAAGGACCAGTTTTCCTACTTCCCACCGTTGCGGCCTGTTTATCGCCACGTGGTCAAAATTCGCATGCTGGGCAATTCTTTGTGACGGTTACACACCTTGGGGGTCAGGCGATCCCCTTTTGCGACCAGCAGAGTCAGTGGGGGAAGCTGGATTCACTTAACAACTGTGTGGCCCACTTAACGACTGCAGGGATCAGCTTGAAAACGGCAGGGAAGGTCGTAAAGTGAGGCAAAACTCACAACTGTCTCGCTTAGCGACAGAAATTTTGGACTCGATTGCGGTCGTAAACTGAGGACTCTACATAGCAAAAGGAAGCAGACCCGGACTGCCCAGAAACCCCCTAGTGCCCCCCCTTCCCGGGGGTGACCAGCTGCCTAGTCCTGGGTGACTCAGGAATCCGGACTGGCTGAAACTGGGAAAACGGACTTTGGCCTAAAATGGGAATATTGGCGGTTCAATTCTTTTAAGATAACTGAATAGCTAAACTACATTACCCATAAGCCATCTCTTAAGGAGACAGACTAGCTAAACTACATTACCCATAAGCCATCTCTTAAGGAGACAGTGCTTAACCCAATAAATGCCAAACATTCAACCATACAGACCCATCTAACTGATTGGTCCAGAACACCCCCCCTTCATTTGGGGGGGGGTCTTTTGGATTGGAGGAAGGGGAAATGGGCTGTTTCAGAGAAGAGACCCCCATCTTGCTTCCCATCAGAACGGGTGCACACACACACACACACACACACACACACACACACTAGCATCACTTCCCCCCCCCCAAACCTCTAAAGGCCTTGATCTTGTCGTATTCAGCTCTTCTGGGATGCCTAGCAACAGTGCATGGTCCTCGGCCTACGACGACAACGGAGCCCCACATTTCCGTCGCTAAGTGAGATATTTGTCAAGCGAGACATTTTGCCCCGTTTTACGACCTTGCTCGCCAGAATTGTTAAGTGAACCCACTGCAGTTGTTAAGTGAGTAACCCGGTTGTTAAGCGGATCCGGCTTCCCCCCCCCCCATTGACTCCGCTTGTCAGAAGGCCACCAAAGGGGATCGATCACATGACTCTCCCCCCCGGGGGACGCTGCGACCGTCGTAAGTAGGAGTCGGTTGCCAAATATCTGAATTTTGACTAAATGACAATGGGGAAAATGTTGCAACAGTCGGCAGGTTGGAAAACGAATTTTAGCCCTTTGTTTCAGTGCCCGTCGTAACTGTGAATGGGCGCTAAGCAAAATGGTTGTAATTCGAGGACCACCTGTAGAACCTGGACAAGGTTGCTGCCTTCCGGGTGGGAGGAAAACGGCCCCTCCGTGTTCCCGGCCAACGTGGCTGAACGGAAGGATGAGAAGCTACCAGCCCCACTTTTGAGGGTTGGGGGGGGGAGTCAGAGACTTACTCGGCCTTTGCAGGGAAGGTGGGAGGGGGCAGAGGGGGTGGCGGGGGGACCGGGACCACCGGGCTCTCCTCTGGGGCGTCGGGGGGCTGAGCCCCCTCCTCCAGGACTTTCACTGCAAGAGAAGGCAAGCGTTTAGGAGGCCAGACCTCGGGCACGTGGCTTTCTGTGGGGTGAGGACCCGACCAGAGTGTGTGTGTGGGGGGGTCTTGCTTCGTTGGCAGCAATTTATTGGGGTCCCCTCGTCCTCCCTTACCAAGTCTCGGATACCAATATTTTTAGGAGAATGTTTTTAGCTTGGTGCTCTCTGAGCTTGGTGGATTTCTTGCAGAGGTTTCATTACTTTAAGGGGGGGGGAGGAGGAGGAGGAGGAGGAGGAGGAGAAGAAGAAGAAGAAGAAGAAGAAGAGGGGAGAAGGAGGAGAAGGAGAAGGAGAAGAGGGAGGAGGAGGAGGAGGAGGAGAAGAAGAAGAAGAAGAAGAAGAAGAAGAAGAAGAAGAAGAAGAAGAAGAAGAAGAAGAAGAAGAAGAAGAAGAAGAAGACGGAGGAGGAGGAGGAGGGGAAGAAGAAGAAGAAGAAAGGAGGAGGAGGAGGAGGAGGAGAAGGAGAAGAGGGAGGAGAAGAAGAAGGAGGAGGAGGAGGAGGAGGAGGAGAAGGAGAAGAGGGAGGAGAAGAAGAAGGAGGAGGAGGAGGAGGAGGAGGAGGAGAAGGAGAAGGAGAAGAGGGAGGAGAAGAAGAAGAAGAAGAAGAAGAAGAAGAAGAGGAGGAGGAGGAAGAAGACAGGAGGAGGAGGAGGAGAAGGAGAAGAGGGAGAAGAAGAAGAAGAAGAAGAAGAAGAGGAGGAGGAGGAGGAGGAAGAAGACGGAGGAGGAGGAGGAGGAGGAGGAGGAAGAAGACTAGAACTCCTTCATGCTCTCTGAGCTTAGTGGCTTTCTTGCAGACATTTCATGACCAAACTAGGTAATAGCATCAGGGCTAGAAGGGAGTAGTGTTTGCAGGGAGGAGGAGGAGGAGGAGGAGAAAGAGGAGGAGGAGGACTGTGGGGTCTTTGGTGTCTCTGAGCTGGGTTGTTTTCTTGCATACATTTCATGACCCAACTAGGTAACATCACCAGTGCTAGAAGGGGGGAGGATGTGGAAAGGAGGAGGGAGAAGGGAAGGAAATGACTTTGGCCTCCTTGGCGCTCTCTGAGCTTGGTGGCTTTCCTTCCGACATTTCATTTCTCAACGATTGCACTGATGAGGTTACCTAGCTGGGTCACGAAATGTCTGCAAAGACACCACCCAGCTCAGAGGGCACCCAGGACCCCCAAAAGTCTCGGAGGGTTATCCAAACTCTTGAGCTGACCTGCAGCGGTTTTCCCCATAACAGGCCAGGCTGAAGTGTCTCTGGCCAGCCTGTGGTCCAGCAAGGGCACTTTGCTCTGGGTGTGCTCCTCTTTCGCATCTCCTTCCCCCCAAATTCCTTGGACTCCACGCCAGACCAGCAAACCTCTGACCTTTTCGCTCCAGGCTGGCGCATTTCTCCTCTGCCCGGAGAAGTCGCTGCTCCAGGTGTGCCTTTCCTTCCTCGGCTGTGGCCAATGTGGCCTGCAGCCTGGCCAGCTCCTCTGGCAGTGGCCGTTCCGCCAGCTGGGTCTCCAGGTCCTTCACCTGCCGGAGTCCAAAGCCCTGCAGCTGAATCCCTGGGGAGAAGATCTCCCAGGACAGGAAGGCTAGGGGTGCCTGGCTGAGGAATTCTGGGAGTTGAAGTCCACAAGTCATCAAAGGGCCAAGTTGGAAGACCCCGGATATAGACTAAGAGGAGTGGACTTCAACTCTCAGAATTCCTCAGCCAGCGTGCCTGGCTGAGGAATTCTGGGAGTTGAAGTCCACAAGTCATCAAAGGGCCAAGTGGGAAGACCCCTGATATAAACTTTAACAGGAGTGGACTTCAACTCCCAAAATTCCTCAGCCAGCGTGCCTGGCTGAGGAATTCTGGGAGTTGAAGTCCACAAGTCATCAAAGGGCCAAGTTGGAAGACCCCGGATATAGACTAAGAGGAGTGGACTTCAACTCTCAGAATTCCTCAGCCAGCGTGCCTGGCTGAGGAATTCTGGGAGTTGAAGTCCACAAGTCATCAAAGGGCCAAGTGGGAAGACACCTGATATAAACTTTAACAGGAGTGGACTTCAACTCCCAAAATTCCTCAGCCAGCGTGCCAGGCTGAGGAATTCTGGGAGTTGAAGTCCACCAGTCACAAAAGAGCCAAGCTTGCCTACCACTGGCCTAGGCCCCTTCTTGACTCATGAACTTCAACTCCCAGAATTCCTGAGCCAGCGTGGCTCAGCTTGGAAACCTCTCCCTTTCCCCTCAGCATGGCTGGCTCAGGAATTCTGGGAGTTGAAGTCCACGAGTCATAAAGCGGCCTAGGCCTAGGCCAGAGATAGGCAACCTTGGCTCTTTTATGACTGGTAGACTTCAACTCCCAGAATTCCTCAGCCAGCCTGGCTCAGCTTGGAAACCTCTCCCTTTCCCCTCAGCGTGGCTGGCTCAGGAATGCTGGGAGTTGAAGTCCACCAGTCATAAAAGAGCCAAGGTTGCCTATCTCTGGCCTAGGGCAAGGGTAGGCAACCTCGGCTCTTTTATGACTCATGGACTTCAACTCCCAGAATTCCTGAGCCAGCTCATAGCTGGGCTAGCTAGCTCTCTCCTCGCCTTCCTGCTTCCTGCAGAGACGCAGCAAAGGGAGGAGCCTCGCCCCAAAAGCTTTTCAGCTCCTCGGAGAACACTGTGAGTGCACTCTCTTTTACACACACACACACAGAGAGAGAGAGAGAGAGAGAGAGAGAGAGAGAGAGAGAGAGAGCGAAGCAGGGAAGCGCAACTGCCTCTCTCTGCAAATGGCAGAGGAGGCTGGGAGCTACAGGGGAAGGCTCAAAAGAGTCGCATGTGGCTCCGGAGCCGCAGGTTGCCGACCTGTGCCCTAGACCATTTCAGACAGGTGACTGTCGAGTCTCTCCTTTAAAATCTCCAGTGATGAAGCACCCACAACTTCCAGTGGCAAGCAGTTCTACTGGTTAATTGACCTCCCTGTTAGGAAGTTTCTCCTTCATTCTAGGTTGCTTCTCTCCTTGATGAGTTTCCATCCGTTGCTTCTTGTCCTGCCTTCAGGCGCCTTGGAGAATAGCTTGACTGCCTCTTCTTTGGGGCAGCCCCTGAGATACTGGAAGACTGCTATCCTGTTTCCCCCTGGTAGTCCCTCTTTTCATTAAACTAGCGGTAACCGGCTCTTTCTCACATGTTTTAGTCTCCAGGCCTTTAATCCTCTTAGTTGCTCTTCTCTGCACTTTTTCCAGAATCTCAGTCGCTTTTTGGGGGGGATTGTGGCAAACCAGAACTGGACCCAGTGGTCCAAGCGTGGCCTTGCACAACACAGTCACGAAGCCTGCTTTGAGTTTAGAATAGTTTGCATCCCGTTGGCAGGAGGAAAGGACTGCAGAGTAGGTCAAAAAAGTCAAGATGGCGGCCACAACGGTGACATCAAAGCGCTGCTCCTTTTTTAAACCTGTGTTGTGTGTTCAGAGATGGTGCTTCTGTGGAGACCCCAATGCCTAAGACGGGCGGGCCACTATGGCAACTTTAGGACCTGTGGACTTCAACTCCCAGAATTCCTGAGCCAGCTTTGTTGAAGTCCACAGGTCCTAAAATATTGACTGATCCCTACTGTAGGAATTATCTTCTTCCTGAATATTCTGCAAGGAAGCTCTGAAACGGCCACCCCACACTCGATAACATACGGGCCCGCGGATGGATTCACACATGCATCTGTTTTCCCATCCACAGGACACCCAGAAATTGTCTTCTGTGGGACGAGAGACCTCAAACTGAAGTGCGCATGGCAAAAAATCATCCAATCCGTGAGGGTAGTCCAGCACACCGGTTCCTACCTGGTAGACCTTTGCTAGTCTCCGGGGACTCTGACTGGTTGGGCTGGAGGCCCCTTGGGAGCCTCACGGGTGAAGCTGCGTGGTCTTCTCCCCTGGCCCCGGGGACAGGAGGCAGGAGCCCCTGGTCTGCAGCTGGGATGGAGGGCTTGGTCATGACCGGCGCCTGGTCAACTATACGCCGCCGTCTCTGCAGGAGCTTCTCAAGCTGATTGTCCACCAGTTGCTTCTTCTGGCTGCCCTTACGCCGGCTGGATCGCTTTCGTGGCCTGGTCGTGGCACTCTGCGGAGGAGAACATCGGGAGGGATGGAGCTGGGCGGACCTGGAGACGTGGTTTGGATTCGGGGAAGGCGCCAGGCTTGAAACCTGGAAACCGGGAGTTCTATCTTACCTTAGGCATGAAAGCTGGTTGGAAGACTTTGGGCCAATCACCAGGAGACGGTGAGTTCTAGTCCCGCCTTAGCTATAAAAGCCAACAAGGTGACTTTGGGCCAATCACCAGGCGATGGAGAGTTCTAGCCTCATCTTAACCATGAAAGCTAACTAGGTGACTTTGGGCCAATCACCAGGAGACAGTGAGTTCTAGTCCCGCCTTAGCCATGAAAGGCAGCTAGGTGACTTTGAGCCAATCACCAGGAGATGGGAGAGTTTTAGTCCCGCCTTAGCCATGAAAGCTAACTAGGTGACTTTGGGCCAATCACCAGGAGATGGTGAGTTCTAGTCCCGCCTTAGCCATGAAAGCCAACTAGGTGACTTTGGCCAATCACCAGGAGACGGTGAGTTCTAGTCCTGCCTTAGCCATGAAAGGCAGCTAGGTGACTTTGGGCCAATCACCAGGAGACGGTGAGTCCCACCTCAGGCAGGAAAGCCAGTTGGCTGACTGGCCCAATCACCAGGAGACAGTGAGTTCTAGTCCCGCCATAGCCATGAAAGGAGGTTGGGAGACTTTGGGCCAATCACCAGGAGACGGTGAGTTCTAGTCCCGCCTTAGCCACGAAAGCCAGTTGTGGCTTGATTCTTGCAGCCAGTTGGCGCCGGAGGCGGCAATCAATGTCACCACGATGGAGAGGAAGCATCTGGGCCACTCTTTCCACGGGGATGCATGCTGGCGGACGAGTGAGCAGCTTTTGAGATTCTCCTAATGTATTTTGAGGGGCCGTCCACCCCTTTCTAGGCTCCCCCAACTGAGGGAGCGGCAAAGGCTTCCGCAGTGCCTGCTGTCCTAGGAGGACGTGGCATGCAACAGTGGCCATGTCCCATGCAGGTAGTCCTCAATTTACAACCTCAAGTGACCCCCCCCCCAAAAAATTTCTGTTGCTAAGCCAGAGACATTCGTTAAGTGAGCTTTGCCCTATTTTACGACTTTTTTGGCCCTTAAGAGAACCACTGCGGTCGTTAAGTTAGTGAAACGGTCGTTAAGCGAATCTGGCTTCCCCCCATTGACTTTGCTTGTGGCAGATGGGGAATCGCACGACCTCGGGACATTGCGACCGTCGTTAGTGTGAGTCAGTGGTCCAGCGTCTGAATTTTGATCACGTGACCCTGGGGAGTCGTGTGAAAATTGGTCATAAGTGGCTTTTTTCTGCGCCTTTGTAACGTTGGTCGCTAAACAAACTGTCGTAAATTGAGGACTCCCTGTGTCAGCTGCTGCCCTCGAGGTCTTGCACACACACAAACCCACAATTGACTCTCACCAGCAGGTCTTGCAGCTCCACGGCCGCGCTCCTCCGCTTGTTCACCGCGGCAGACGGGGGCTAAGAGAAAAATGGGGGGGGGGTAAATCCGGTTAGCTGGCGCTTCGCTCGGACGCCGTTTGGAAGAGGGACCCCGAAGAGACCCACCCCTGTTCCACAATCCACGGGGGGTTGCCACATTGTGGCCTTCTCACAATTCCTCAGCCATCCCCCCATGCCGAAGAGGGCGTGAAAACACAGGCAGTCCTCGGCTTACAACGGCCGCATTTAGTGCCCATCCAAAGTTACGACGGCCCTGAAAATGGGACCGTTTGGTTCACACAATCCCGTTGCAGCGTCCCCGCGGTCAGGTGATCAAAATCCAAGACGCTTGGCAACGGACTCGGATTTATGACGGGCGCGGCATCCCGGGGTTGTGTGTGGCACGTGATCCCCTTTGGCGGCGGGGGGGGGGGGGGAAACGTGATTCCCTTAACAATCGTGTTGCTAAAATTGACAGCCGCAGGGATTCACACAAGAACTGTGGCAAGAAAGGCCGTAAAACGGAGCAAAGCTGCCTTTCTCTCGCTTAGCAATGTGTTAGGCTCAATTGTGGCCGTAAGTCGAGGACTACCTGACTTGGCTGAACCGCGGTGGGATTTTGTGGGCGCCTTGACTGCTTCCCCCCTGCCTTTCCCCTCCAGCCTGTGACCCCCTCCCTGGCCTCGCCTTACCTGGGAGGGGGACTCGGCCCCCCGCCTCACTGGCCGCAGCGCCACTCCGCCCTTGATCCGGCCCATCATCTCCTCCAGGGCTTTGGCCACGGCCTCGTCCGAGCGGAGGTCTCCTGCCCACAGGGAGAGGACAAATCGGCCCTCCGATTTACTAGTAAGTCGGTATTTCCTAATATACAGGCTGTCCTCGACTTACGACGGTTCATTTAGTGACCGTTCAAAGTTGCAACGGCACTGGAAAAGGGGATTTAGGGCCCGTTCTCACACTTATGACCATTACAGCATCTCCCATGGTCATGATATCAAAATTCAGATGCTTGGCGACTGACTCGTGTTTATGACGGTCGCAGCCTCCCTGAGGCGGGGGTGTCACTTGATCCCTTTTGCGACCTTCTGATAGGCGAAGTCAAATGGGAGAAGCCCGGTTCACTTCACAACCGGGTGACTGATTTAGCTACTGCTGTGATTCACTTAACAACTATGGCAAGGAAGGTCGTAAAAATGGGGCCAAACTGTCTTCAAAACTGTCTTCCTTAGCAACAGAAATTTTTGGCTCATTTGTGACCATAAGTGCAGGACTATCTGTGCTGTCTCAAAACATGGAGGCTTCCTAATTTTATAATTTTCCTTCTTCCTTCCTTCCTTCCTTCCTTCCTTCTTCCCTTCTTTCCTCACTCACTTTTTCTTTTTCCTTCCTTCTTCCCTTCTTTCCTTTATTTCTTTCCTTCCTTCTTCACTCACTTTTTCCTTTTCCTTCCTTCCTTCCTTCCTTTTCTTCTTTCCTTCCTTCCTCACTCACTTTTTCCTTTTCCTTCCTTCCTTCCTTCCTTCCTTCCTTCCTTCCTTCCTTCCTTCCTTCTTTTCTTCTTTCCTTCCTTCCTTCCTCACTCACTTTTTCCTTTTCCTTCCTTCCTTCCTTCCTTTCTTCCTTCTTCCCTTCTTCCCTTCCTTCCTTCCTCATTCACTTTTCCTTCCTTCCTTCTTCCCTTCTTTCCTTCCTTCCTCATTCACTTTTTCTTTTTCCTTCCTTCCTTCCTTCCTTCTTTCCTTCCTTCCTCATTCACTTTTTCGTTTTCCTTCCTTCTTCCCTTTTCCTTTATTTCTTTCCTTCCTTCCTTCCTCACTCACTTTTTCCTTTTCCTTCCTTCCTTCCTTCCTTCCTTCCTTCCTTCCTTCCTTCCTTCCTTCCTTCTTTTCTTCTTTCCTTCCTTCCTTCCTCACTCACTTTTTCCTTTTTCTTCCTTCCTTCCTTCCTTTCTTCCTTCTTCCCTTCTTCCCTTCTTTCCTTCCTTCCTCATTCACTTTTCCTTCCTTCCTTCTTCCCTTCTTCCCTTCTTTCCTTCCTTCCTCATTCACTTTTTCCTTTTCCTTCCTTCCTTCCTTCTTCCCTTCTTTCCTTCCTTCCTTCCTCATTCACTTTTTCCTTTTCCTTCCTTGTTCCCTTTCCTTTTTCCTTCGTTCCTCACGTTTTCCTTTTCCTTCTTTCCTTCCTTCCTTCCTCACTCACTTTTTCCTTTTTACCTTCCTTCCTTTCTTCTTTCCTTCCTTCTTTCCTTCCTTCCTTTTTTCCTTCTTCATCCATCCATCCATCCAGGTTATGAGAGCAGAAGAAGGCTCTCCTTGGGGAGACTTTCTGAACAATCCCATCCCCCATCCATGGGGGAGGGGGTGTTGGGGCCAAGTGCCAGGGGTCCTGGCTTCCCCCTTGCCCACTTACCCCTTTTTGTCTGCTGTGCGCCTTTCCTCTCCCGAAGGGCCATCAGGGGGCTGCAGGGAAAGGGGGAAGGTCAAGCTTTTCCAGATGTTCCCCCCCCTTCCAGCTGGGGTCCAACTTCCCTGCCCTGCAGTCCCCTCCCCCCCAGAACTCCCCCCCCCCGGCTTCACCCAGCACTCCTGGCCACCTGCGTCCCAGGGGGGGCAGCACCTGGTGCTTCTGGCTGCTCCCAAAGAAAGGATGGGGCACCACTAGGAAAGCCTCTCAGCAGGCACGCTGGGGAGCTACAGCTAGGCCTCGACTTACAACTGTCCATTTAATGACCGTTGGAAGATGCAACAGCCCTAAAAAAGGACCAGTTTTCCTACTTCCCACCGTTGCGGCCTGTTTACCGCCATGTGGTCAAAATTCGCCTGCTGGGCAATTCTTTGTGACGGTTACACACCTTGGGGGTCAGGCGATCCCCTTTTGCGACCAGCAGAGTCAGTGGGGGAAGCTGGATTCACTTAACAACTGTGTGGCCCACTTAACGACTGCAGGGATCAGCTTGAAAATGGCAGGAAAGGTCATAAAGTGAGGCAAAACTCACTTAACAACTGTCTCGCTTAGCGACGGAAATTTTGGACTCAATTGCGGTCGTAAGCTGAGGACTCTCCGTAGCAAAAGGAAGCAGACCCGGATTGCCCAGAAGCCCCCTAGTGCCCCCCCTCCCCGGGGGTGACCAGCTGCCCAGTCCTGGGTGACTCAGGAATCCGGACTGGCTGAAACTGGGAAAAGGGACTTTGGCCTAAAATGGGAATATTGGTGGTTCAATTCTTTTAAGATAACTGAATAGCTAAACTACATTACCCATAAGCCATCTCTTAAGGAGACAGTGCTTAACCCAATAAATGCCAAACATTCAAACATACAGATCCATCTAACTAATTGGTCCAGAACACCCCCCCTTCATTTGGGGGGGGGGTCTTTTGGATTGGAGGAAGGGGAAATGGGCTGTTTCAGAGAAGAGACCCCCATCTTGCTTCCCATCAGAACGGGTGCACACACACACACACACACACACACACACACACACTAGCATCACTTCCCCCCCCCCAAACCTCTAAAGGCCTTGATCTTGTCGTATTCAGCTCTTCTGGGATGCCTAGCAACAGTGCATGGTCCTCGGCCTACGACGACAACGGAGCCCCACATTTCCGTCGCTAAGTGAGATATTTGTCAAGCGAGACATTTTGCCCCGTTTTACGACCTTGCTCGCCAGAATTGTTAAGTGAACCCACTGCAGTTGTTAAGTGAGTAACCCGGTTGTTAAGCGGATCCGGCTTCCCCCCCCCCCATTGACTCCGCTTGTCAGAAGGCCACCAAAGGGGATCGATCACATGACTCTCCCCCCCGGGGGACGCTGCGACCGTCGTAAGTAGGAGTCGGTTGCCAAATATCTGAATTTTGACTAAATGACAATGGGGAAAATGTTGCAACAGTCGGCAGGTTGGAAAACGAATTTTAGCCCTTTGTTTCAGTGCCCGTCGTAACTGTGAATGGGCGCTAAGCAAAATGGTTGTAATTCGAGGACCACCTGTAGAACCTGGACAAGGTTGCTGCCTTCCGGGTGGGAGGAAAACGGCCCCTCCGTGTTCCCGGCCAACGTGGCTGAACGGAAGGATGAGAAGCTACCAGCCCCACTTTTGAGGGTTGGGGGGGGGAGTCAGAGACTTACTCGGCCTTTGCAGGGAAGGTGGGAGGGGGCAGAGGGGGTGGCGGGGGGACCGGGACCACCGGGCTCTCCTCTGGGGCGTCGGGGGGCTGAGCCCCCTCCTCCAGGGCTTTCACTGCAAGAGAAGGCAAGCGTTTAGGAGGCCAGACCTCGGGCACGTGGCTTTCTGTGGGGTGAGGACCCGACCAGAGTGTGTGTGTGGGGGGGTCTTGCTTCGTTGGCAGCAATTTATTGGGGTCCCCTCGTCCTCCCTTACCAAGTCTCGGATACCAATATTTTTAGGAGAATGTTTTTAGCTTGGTGCTCTCTGAGCTTGGTGGATTTCTTGCAGAGGTTTCATTACTTTAAGGGGGGGGGAGGAGGAGGAGGAGGAGGAGGAGGAGAAGAAGAAGAAGAAGAAGAAGAAGAGGGGAGAAGGAGGAGAAGGAGAAGGAGAAGAGGGAGGAGGAGGAGGAGGAGGAGAAGAAGAAGAAGAAGAAGAAGAAGAAGAAGAAGAAGAAGAAGAAGAAGAAGAAGAAGAAGAAGAAGACGGAGGAGGAGGAGGAGGGGAAGAAGAAGAAGAAGAAAGGAGGAGGAGGAGGAGGAGGAGAAGGAGAAGAGAAGGAGGAGGAGGAGGAGGAGGAGGAGGAGGAGGGAGAAGAGGGAGGAGAAGAAGAAGGAGGAGGAGGAGGAGGAGGAGGAGAAGGAGAAGAGGGAGGAGAAGAAGAAGGAGGAGGAGGAGGAGGAGGAGGAGGAGAAGGAGAAGGAGAAGAGGGAGGAGAAGAAGAAGAAGAAGAAGAAGAAGAAGAAGAGGAGGAGGAGGAAGAAGACAGGAGGAGGAGGAGGAGAAGGAGAAGAGGGAGAAGAAGAAGAAGAAGAAGAAGAAGAGGAGGAGGAGGAGGAGGAAGAAGACGGAGGAGGAGGAGGAGGAGGAGGAGGAAGAAGACTAGAACTCCTTCATGCTCTCTGAGCTTAGTGGCTTTCTTGCAGACATTTCATGACCAAACTAGGTAATAGCATCAGGGCTAGAAGGGAGTAGTGTTTGCAGGGAGGAGGAGGAGGAGGAGGAGAAAGAGGAGGAGGAGGACTGTGGGGTCTTTGGTGTCTCTGAGCTGGGTTGTTTTCTTGCATACATTTCATGACCCAACTAGGTAACATCACCAGTGCTAGAAGGGGGGAGGATGTGGAAAGGAGGAGGGAGAAGGGAAGGAAATGACTTTGGCCTCCTTGGCGCTCTCTGAGCTTGGTGGCTTTCCTTCCGACATTTCATTTCTCAACGATTGCACTGATGAGGTTACCTAGCTGGGTCACGAAATGTCTGCAAAGACACCACCCAGCTCAGAGGGCACCCAGGACCCCCAAAAGTCTCGGAGGGTTATCCAAACTCTTGAGCTGACCTGCAGCGGTTTTCCCCATAACAGGCCAGGCTGAAGTGTCTCTGGCCAGCCTGTGGTCCAGCAAGGGCACTTTGCTCTGGGTGTGCTCCTCTTTCGCATCTCCTTCCCCCCAAAGTCCTTGGACTCCACGCCAGACCAGCAAACCTCTGACCTTTTCGCTCCAGGCTGGCGCATTTCTCCTCTGCCCGGAGAAGTCGCTGCTCCAGGTGTGCCTTTCCTTCCTCGGCTGTGGCCAATGTGGCCTGCAGCCTGGCCAGCTCCTCTGGCAGTGGCCGTTCCGCCAGCTGGGTCTCCAGGTCCTTCACCTGCCGGAGTCCAAAGCCCTGCAGCTGAATCCCTGGGGAGAAGATCTCCCAGGACAGGAAGGCTAGGGGTGCCTGGCTGAGGAATTCTGGGAGTTGAAGTCCACAAGTCATCAAAGGGCCAAGTTGGAAGACCCCGGATATAGACTAAGAGGAGTGGACTTCAACTCTCAGAATTCCTCAGCCAGCGTGCCTGGCTGAGGAATTCTGGGAGTTGAAGTCCACAAGTCATCAAAGGGCCAAGTGGGAAGACCCCTGATATAAACTTTAACAGGAGTGGACTTCAACTCCCAAAATTCCTCAGCCAGCGTGCCTGGCTGAGGAATTCTGGGAGTTGAAGTCCACAAGTCATCAAAGGGCCAAGTTGGAAGACCCCGGATATAGACTAAGAGGAGTGGACTTCAACTCTCAGAATTCCTCAGCCAGCGTGCCTGGCTGAGGAATTCTGGGAGTTGAAGTCCACAAGTCATCAAAGGGCCAAGTGGGAAGACACCTGATATAAACTTTAACAGGAGTGGACTTCAACTCCCAAAATTCCTCAGCCAGCGTGCCAGGCTGAGGAATTCTGGGAGTTGAAGTCCACCAGTCACAAAAGAGCCAAGCTTGCCTACCACTGGCCTAGGCCCCTTCTTGACTCATGAACTTCAACTCCCAGAATTCCTGAGCCAGCGTGGCTCAGCTTGGAAACCTCTCCCTTTCCCCTCAGCATGGCTGGCTCAGGAATTCTGGGAGTTGAAGTCCACGAGTCATAAAGCGGCCTAGGCCTAGGCCAGAGATAGGCAACCTTGGCTCTTTTATGACTGGTAGACTTCAACTCCCAGAATTCCTCAGCCAGCCTGGCTCAGCTTGGAAACCTCTCCCTTTCCCCTCAGCGTGGCTGGCTCAGGAATGCTGGGAGTTGAAGTCCACCAGTCATAAAAGAGCCAAGGTTGCCTATCTCTGGCCTAGGGCAAGGGTAGGCAACCTCGGCTCTTTTATGACTCATGGACTTCAACTCCCAGAATTCCTGAGCCAGCTCATAGCTGGGCTAGCTAGCTCTCTCCTCGCCTTCCTGCTTCCTGCAGAGACGCAGCAAAGGGAGGAGCCTCGCCCCAAAAGCTTTTCAGCTCCTCGGAGAACACTGTGAGTGCACTCTCTTTTACACACACACACACAGAGAGAGAGAGAGAGAGAGAGAGAGAGAGAGAGAGAGAGAGAGCGAAGCAGGGAAGCGCAACTGCCTCTCTCTGCAAATGGCAGAGGAGGCTGGGAGCTACAGGGGAAGGCTCAAAAGAGTCGCATGTGGCTCCGGAGCCGCAGGTTGCCGACCTGTGCCCTAGACCATTTCAGACAGGTGACTGTCGAGTCTCTCCTTTAAAATCTCCAGTGATGAAGCACCCACAACTTCCAGTGGCAAGCAGTTCTACTGGTTAATTGACCTCCCTGTTAGGAAGTTTCTCCTTCATTCTAGGTTGCTTCTCTCCTTGATGAGTTTCCATCCGTTGCTTCTTGTCCTGCCTTCAGGCGCCTTGGAGAATAGCTTGACTGCCTCTTCTTTGGGGCAGCCCCTGAGATACTGGAAGACTGCTATCCTGTTTCCCCCTGGTAGTCCCTCTTTTCATTAAACTAGCGGTAACCGGCTCTTTCTCACATGTTTTAGTCTCCAGGCCTTTAATCCTCTTAGTTGCTCTTCTCTGCACTTTTTCCAGAATCTCAGTCGCTTTTTGGGGGGGATTGTGGCAAACCAGAACTGGACCCAGTGGTCCAAGCGTGGCCTTGCACAACACAGTCACGAAGCCTGCTTTGAGTTTAGAATAGTTTGCATCCCGTTGGCAGGAGGAAAGGACTGCAGAGTAGGTCAAAAAAGTCAAGATGGCGGCCACAACGGTGACATCAAAGCGCTGCTCCTTTTTTAAACCTGTGTTGTGTGTTCAGAGATGGTGCTTCTGTGGAGACCCCAATGCCTAAGACGGGCGGGCCACTATGGCAACTTTAGGACCTGTGGACTTCAACTCCCAGAATTCCTGAGCCAGCTTTGTTGAAGTCCACAGGTCCTAAAATATTGACTGATCCCTACTGTAGGAATTATCTTCTTCCTGAATATTCTGCAAGGAAGCTCTGAAACGGCCACCCCACACTCGATAACATACGGGCCCGCGGATGGATTCACACATGCATCTGTTTTCCCATCCACAGGACACCCAGAAATTGTCTTCTGTGGGACGAGAGACCTCAAACTGAAGTGCGCATGGCAAAAAATCATCCAATCCGTGAGGGTAGTCCAGCACACCGGTTCCTACCTGGTAGACCTTTGCTAGTCTCCGGGGACTCTGACTGGTTGGGCTGGAGGCCCCTTGGGAGCCTCACGGGTGAAGCTGCGTGGTCTTCTCCCCTGGCCCCGGGGACAGGAGGCAGGAGCCCCTGGTCTGCAGCTGGGATGGAGGGCTTGGTCATGACCGGCGCCTGGTCAACTATACGCCGCCGTCTCTGCAGGAGCTTCTCAAGCTGATTGTCCACCAGTTGCTTCTTCTGGCTGCCCTTACGCCGGCTGGATCGCTTTCGTGGCCTGGTCGTGGCACTCTGCGGAGGAGAACATCGGGAGGGATGGAGCTGGGCGGACCTGGAGACGTGGTTTGGATTCGGGGAAGGCGCCAGGCTTGAAACCTGGAAACCGGGAGTTCTATCTTACCTTAGGCATGAAAGCTGGTTGGAAGACTTTGGGCCAATCACCAGGAGACGGTGAGTTCTAGTCCCGCCTTAGCTATAAAAGCCAACAAGGTGACTTTGGGCCAATCACCAGGCGATGGAGAGTTCTAGCCTCATCTTAACCATGAAAGCTAACTAGGTGACTTTGGGCCAATCACCAGGAGACAGTGAGTTCTAGTCCCGCCTTAGCCATGAAAGGCAGCTAGGTGACTTTGAGCCAATCACCAGGAGATGGGAGAGTTTTAGTCCCGCCTTAGCCATGAAAGCTAACTAGGTGACTTTGGGCCAATCACCAGGAGATGGTGAGTTCTAGTCCCGCCTTAGCCATGAAAGCCAACTAGGTGACTTTGGCCAATCACCAGGAGACGGTGAGTTCTAGTCCTGCCTTAGCCATGAAAGGCAGCTAGGTGACTTTGGGCCAATCACCAGGAGACGGTGAGTCCCACCTCAGGCAGGAAAGCCAGTTGGCTGACTGGCCCAATCACCAGGAGACAGTGAGTTCTAGTCCCGCCATAGCCATGAAAGGAGGTTGGGAGACTTTGGGCCAATCACCAGGAGACGGTGAGTTCTAGTCCCGCCTTAGCCACGAAAGCCAGTTGTGGCTTGATTCTTGCAGCCAGTTGGCGCCGGAGGCGGCAATCAATGTCACCACGATGGAGAGGAAGCATCTGGGCCACTCTTTCCACGGGGATGCATGCTGGCGGACGAGTGAGCAGCTTTTGAGATTCTCCTAATGTATTTTGAGGGGCCGTCCACCCCTTTCTAGGCTCCCCCAACTGAGGGAGCGGCAAAGGCTTCCGCAGTGCCTGCTGTCCTAGGAGGACGTGGCATGCAACAGTGGCCATGTCCCATGCAGGTAGTCCTCAATTTACAACCTCAAGTGACCCCCCCCCCAAAAAATTTCTGTTGCTAAGCCAGAGACATTCGTTAAGTGAGCTTTGCCCTATTTTACGACTTTTTTGGCCCTTAAGAGAACCACTGCGGTCGTTAAGTTAGTGAAACGGTCGTTAAGCGAATCTGGCTTCCCCCCATTGACTTTGCTTGTGGCAGATGGGGAATCGCACGACCTCGGGACATTGCGACCGTCGTTAGTGTGAGTCAGTGGTCCAGCGTCTGAATTTTGATCACGTGACCCTGGGGAGTCGTGTGAAAATTGGTCATAAGTGGCTTTTTTCTGCGCCTTTGTAACGTTGGTCGCTAAACAAACTGTCGTAAATTGAGGACTCCCTGTGTCAGCTGCTGCCCTCGAGGTCTTGCACACACACAAACCCACAATTGACTCTCACCAGCAGGTCTTGCAGCTCCACGGCCGCGCTCCTCCGCTTGTTCACCGCGGCAGACGGGGGCTAAGAGAAAAATGGGGGGGGGGTAAATCCGGTTAGCTGGCGCTTCGCTCGGACGCCGTTTGGAAGAGGGACCCCGAAGAGACCCACCCCTGTTCCACAATCCACGGGGGGTTGCCACATTGTGGCCTTCTCACAATTCCTCAGCCATCCCCCCATGCCGAAGAGGGCGTGAAAACACAGGCAGTCCTCGGCTTACAACGGCCGCATTTAGTGCCCATCCAAAGTTACGACGGCCCTGAAAATGGGACCGTTTGGTTCACACAATCCCGTTGCAGCGTCCCCGCGGTCAGGTGATCAAAATCCAAGACGCTTGGCAACGGACTCGGATTTATGACGGGCGCGGCATCCCGGGGTTGTGTGTGGCACGTGATCCCCTTTGGCGGCGGGGGGGGGGGGGGAAACGTGATTCCCTTAACAATCGTGTTGCTAAAATTGACAGCCGCAGGGATTCACACAAGAACTGTGGCAAGAAAGGCCGTAAAACGGAGCAAAGCTGCCTTTCTCTCGCTTAGCAATGTGTTAGGCTCAATTGTGGCCGTAAGTCGAGGACTACCTGACTTGGCTGAACCGCGGTGGGATTTTGTGGGCGCCTTGACTGCTTCCCCCCTGCCTTTCCCCTCCAGCCTGTGACCCCCTCCCTGGCCTCGCCTTACCTGGGAGGGGGACTCGGCCCCCCGCCTCACTGGCCGCAGCGCCACTCCGCCCTTGATCCGGCCCATCATCTCCTCCAGGGCTTTGGCCACGGCCTCGTCCGAGCGGAGGTCTCCTGCCCACAGGGAGAGGACAAATCGGCCCTCCGATTTACTAGTAAGTCGGTATTTCCTAATATACAGGCTGTCCTCGACTTACGACGGTTCATTTAGTGACCGTTCAAAGTTGCAACGGCACTGGAAAAGGGGATTTAGGGCCCGTTCTCACACTTATGACCATTACAGCATCTCCCATGGTCATGATATCAAAATTCAGATGCTTGGCGACTGACTCGTGTTTATGACGGTCGCAGCCTCCCTGAGGCGGGGGTGTCACTTGATCCCTTTTGCGACCTTCTGATAGGCGAAGTCAAATGGGAGAAGCCCGGTTCACTTCACAACCGGGTGACTGATTTAGCTACTGCTGTGATTCACTTAACAACTATGGCAAGGAAGGTCGTAAAAATGGGGCCAAACTGTCTTCAAAACTGTCTTCCTTAGCAACAGAAATTTTTGGCTCATTTGTGACCATAAGTGCAGGACTATCTGTGCTGTCTCAAAACATGGAGGCTTCCTAATTTTATAATTTTCCTTCTTCCTTCCTTCCTTCCTTCCTTCCTTCTTCCCTTCTTTCCTCACTCACTTTTTCTTTTTCCTTCCTTCTTCCCTTCTTTCCTTTATTTCTTTCCTTCCTTCTTCACTCACTTTTTCCTTTTCCTTCCTTCCTTCCTTCCTTTTCTTCTTTCCTTCCTTCCTCACTCACTTTTTCCTTTTCCTTCCTTCCTTCCTTCCTTCCTTCCTTCCTTCCTTCCTTCCTTCCTTCTTTTCTTCTTTCCTTCCTTCCTTCCTCACTCACTTTTTCCTTTTCCTTCCTTCCTTCCTTCCTTTCTTCCTTCTTCCCTTCTTCCCTTCCTTCCTTCCTCATTCACTTTTCCTTCCTTCCTTCTTCCCTTCTTTCCTTCCTTCCTCATTCACTTTTTCTTTTTCCTTCCTTCCTTCCTTCCTTCTTTCCTTCCTTCCTCATTCACTTTTTCGTTTTCCTTCCTTCTTCCCTTTTCCTTTATTTCTTTCCTTCCTTCCTTCCTCACTCACTTTTTCCTTTTCCTTCCTTCCTTCCTTCCTTCCTTCCTTCCTTCCTTCCTTCCTTCCTTCCTTCTTTTCTTCTTTCCTTCCTTCCTTCCTCACTCACTTTTTCCTTTTTCTTCCTTCCTTCCTTCCTTTCTTCCTTCTTCCCTTCTTCCCTTCTTTCCTTCCTTCCTCATTCACTTTTCCTTCCTTCCTTCTTCCCTTCTTCCCTTCTTTCCTTCCTTCCTCATTCACTTTTTCCTTTTCCTTCCTTCCTTCCTTCTTCCCTTCTTTCCTTCCTTCCTTCCTCATTCACTTTTTCCTTTTCCTTCCTTGTTCCCTTTCCTTTTTCCTTCCTTCCTCACGTTTTCCTTTTCCTTCTTTCCTTCCTTCCTTCCTCACTCACTTTTTCCTTTTTACCTTCCTTCCTTTCTTCTTTCCTTCCTTCCTTTTTTCCTTCTTCATCCATCCATCCATCCAGGTTATGAGAGCAGAAGAAGGCTCTCCTTGGGGAGACTTTCTGAACAATCCCATCCCCCATCCATGGGGGAGGGGGTGTTGGGGCCAAGTGCCAGGGGTCCTGGCTTCCCCCTTGCCCACTTACCCCTTTTTGTCTGCTGTGCGCCTTTCCTCTCCCGAAGGGCCATCAGGGGGCTGCAGGGAAAGGGGGAAGGTCAAGCTTTTCCAGATGTTCCCCCCCCTTCCAGCTGGGGTCCAACTTCCCTGCCCTGCAGTCCCCTCCCCCCCAGAACTCCCCCCCCCCGGCTTCACCCAGCACTCCTGGCCACCTGCGTCCCAGGGGGGGCAGCACCTGGTGCTTCTGGCTGCTCCCAAAGAAAGGATGGGGCACCACTAGGAAAGCCTCTCAGCAGGCACGCTGGGGAGCTACAGCTAGGCCTCGACTTACAACTGTCCATTTAATGACCGTTGGAAGATGCAACAGCCCTAAAAAAGGACCAGTTTTCCTACTTCCCACCGTTGCGGCCTGTTTACCGCCATGTGGTCAAAATTCGCCTGCTGGGCAATTCTTTGTGACGGTTACACACCTTGGGGGTCAGGCGATCCCCTTTTGCGACCAGCAGAGTCAGTGGGGGACGCTGGATTCACTTAACAACTGTGTGGCCCACTTAACGACTGCAGGGATCAGCTTGAAAATGGCAGGAAAGGTCATAAAGTGAGGCAAAACTCACTTAACAACTGTCTCGCTTAGCGACGGAAATTTTGGACTCAATTGCGGTCGTAAGCTGAGGACTCTCCGTAGCAAAAGGAAGCAGACCCGGATTGCCCAGAAGCCCCCTAGTGCCCCCCCTCCCCGGGGGTGACCAGCTGCCCAGTCCTGGGTGACTCAGGAATCCGGACTGGCTGAAACTGGGAAAAGGGACTTTGGCCTAAAATGGGAATATTGGTGGTTCAATTCTTTTAAGATAACTGAATAGCTAAACTACATTACCCATAAGCCATCTCTTAAGGAGACAGTGCTTAACCCAATAAATGCCAAACATTCAAACATACAGATCCATCTAACTAATTGGTCCAGAACACCCCCCCTTCATTTGGGGGGGGGGTCTTTTGGATTGGAGGAAGGGGAAATGGGCTGTTTCAGAGAAGAGACCCCCATCTTGCTTCCCATCAGAACGGGTGCACACACACACACACACACACACACACACACACACTAGCATCACTTCCCCCCCCCCAAACCTCTAAAGGCCTTGATCTTGTCGTATTCAGCTCTTCTGGGATGCCTAGCAACAGTGCATGGTCCTCGGCCTACGACGACAACGGAGCCCCACATTTCCGTCGCTAAGTGAGATATTTGTCAAGCGAGACATTTTGCCCCGTTTTACGACCTTGCTCGCCAGAATTGTTAAGTGAACCCACTGCAGTTGTTAAGTGAGTAACCCGGTTGTTAAGCGGATCCGGCTTCCCCCCCCCCCCATTGACTCCGCTTGTCAGAAGGCCACCAAAGGGGATCGATCACATGACTCTCCCCCCCGGGGGACGCTGCGACCGTCGTAAGTAGGAGTCGGTTGCCAAATATCTGAATTTTGACTAAATGACAATGGGGAAAATGTTGCAACAGTCGGCAGGTTGGAAAACGAATTTTAGCCCTTTGTTTCAGTGCCCGTCGTAACTGTGAATGGGCGCTAAGCAAAATGGTTGTAATTCGAGGACCACCTGTAGAACCTGGACAAGGTTGCTGCCTTCCGGGTGGGAGGAAAACGGCCCCTCCGTGTTCCCGGCCAACGTGGCTGAACGGAAGGATGAGAAGCTACCAGCCCCACTTTTGAGGGTTGGGGGGGGGAGTCAGAGACTTACTCGGCCTTTGCAGGGAAGGTGGGAGGGGGCAGAGGGGGTGGCGGGGGGACCGGGACCACCGGGCTCTCCTCTGGGGCGTCGGGGGGCTGAGCCCCCTCCTCCAGGACTTTCACTGCAAGAGAAGGCAAGCGTTTAGGAGGCCAGACCTCGGGCACGTGGCTTTCTGTGGGGTGAGGACCCGACCAGAGTGTGTGTGTGGGGGGGGTCTTGCTTCGTTGGCAGCAATTTATTGGGGTCCCCTCGTCCTCCCTTACCAAGTCTCGGATACCAATATTTTTAGGAGAATGTTTTTAGCTTGGTGCTCTCTGAGCTTGGTGGATTTCTTGCAGAGGTTTCATTACTTTACGGGGGGGGGGAGGAGGAGGAGGAGGAGGAGGAGGAGAAGAAGAAGAAGAAGAAGAAGAAGAGGGGAGAAGGAGGAGAAGGAGAAGGAGAAGAGGGAGGAGGAGGAGGAGGAGGAGAAGAAGAAGAAGAAGAAGAAGAAGAAGAAGAAGAAGAAGAAGAAGAAGAAGAAGAAGATGATGATGATGACGGAGGAGGAGGAGGAGGGGAAGAAGAAGAAGAAGAAAGGAGGAGGAGGAGGAGAAGGAGAAGGAGAAGAGGGAGGAGAAGAAGAAGGAAGAAGAAGAAGAAGAAGAAGAAGAAGAAGAAGAAGAAGAAGAAGAAGAAGAAGATGATGATGACGGAGGAGGAGGAGGAGGGGAAGAAGAAGAAGAAGAAAGGAGGAGGAGGAGGAGAAGGAGAAGGAGAAGAGGGAGGAGAAGAAGAAGGAGGAGGAGGAGGAGGAGGAGGAGGAGAAGGAGAAGAGGGAGGAGAAGAAGAAGGAGGAGGAGGAGGAGGAGGAGGAGAAGGAGAAGAGGGAGGAGAAGAAGAAGGAGGAGGAGGAGGAGGAGGAGGAGGAGAAGGAGAAGGAGAAGAGGGAGGAGAAGAAGAAGAAGAAGAAGAAGAAGAAGAAGAAGAGGAGGAGGAGGAAGAAGACAGGAGGAGGAGGAGGAGAAGGAGAAGAGGGAGAAGAAGAAGAAGAAGAAGAGGAGGAGGAGGAGGAGGAAGAAGACGGAGGAGGAGGAGGAGAAGGAGAAGAGGGAGAAGAAGAAGAAGAAGAAGAAGAGGAGGAGGAGGAGGAGGAGGAAGAAGACGGAGGAGGAGGAGGAGGAGGAGGAGGAAGAAGACTAGAACTCCTTCATGCTCTCTGAGCTTGGTGGATTTCTTGCAGAGGTTTCATTACTTTAAGGGGGGGGGAGGAGGAGGAGGAGGGGAAGAAGAAGAAGAAGAAGAAGAAGAAGAAGAAGAAGAGGAGGAGGAGGAGGAGAAGAAGGAAAGAGGGGAAAAAGAAGGAAGAAGAAAAAGGAAGAAGAAGAAGAGGAGGAGGAGGAGAGGAAGAAGAGGGAAAAAAGAAGGAAGAAGGAAGAAGAAGAAGAAGAAGAAGAAGAAGAAGAAGAAGAAGAAGAAGAAGAAGAAGAAGAAGAAGAAGAAGAAGAAGAAGAGGAGGAGGAGGAGGAGAGGAAGAAGGAAAGGGGAAGAAGAAGGAAGAGGAAAAATGAAGAGGAAGAGAGGAAGAAGGAAAGAGGAAAAAAGGAAGAAGAAGAAGAAGAAGAAGAGGAGGAGGAGGAGGAGGAGGAGAGGAAGAAGGAAAGAAGGAAAAAAGGAAGAAGAAGAAGAAGAAGAAGAAGAAGAAGAAGAAGAAGAAGAAGAAGAAGAAGAAGAAGAAGAAGAAGAAGAAGGGGAGGAGGAGGAGGAGGAGGAAGAAGACTAGAACTCCTTCATGCTCTCTGAGCTTAGTGGCTTTCTTGCAGACGTTTCATGACCAAACTAGGTAATAGCATCAGGGCTAGAAGGTTTGCAGAGAGGAGGAGGAGGAGGAGGAGGGGAAGGAGGGGAGGAGAAGGGGAGGAGCAGGAGGAAGAGGAGGAGGAGAAAGAAGAGGAGGAGGGCTTTGGGGCCTTTGGTGTCTCTCAGCTGGGTGGTTTCCTTGCAGACATTTCATGACCCAGCTAGGTAACATCACTAGTGCTAGAAGGGTGGGGGTTGCAGAGAGGAGGAAGAGGAGGAGGAGGACTTTGGGGTCTTTGGTGTCTCTGAGCTGGGTTGTTTTCTTGCAGACATTTCATGACCCAACAAGGTAACACCATCAGTGCTAGAAGGGGGGGGGGATGTGGAAAGGAGGAGGGAGAGGGGAAGAAAATGACTTTGACCTCCTTGGTGCTCTCTCTGACATTTCATTTCTCAAGGATTGCACTGATGAGGTTACCTAGCTGGGTCACGAAATGTCTACAAAGAAACCACCCAGCTCAGAGGGCACCCGGACCCCCAAAAGTCTCGGACCAGTCAAGGGGGTTATCCAAACTCTTGAGCTGACCTGCAGCGGTGTTTCCCACAACAGGCCAGGCTGAAGTGTCTCTGGCCAGCCTGTGGTCCAGCAAGGGCACTTTGCTCTGGGTGTGCTCCTCTTTCGCATCTCCTTCCCCCCAAATTCCTTGGACTCCACGCCAGACCAGCAAACCTCTGACCTTTTCGCTCCAGGCTGGCGCATTTCTCCTCTGCCCGGAGAAGTCGCTGCTCCAGGTGTGCCTTTCCTTTCTCGGCTGTGGCCAACGTGGCCTGCAGCCTGGCCAGCTCCTCTGGCAGTGGCCGTTCCGCCAGCTGGGTCTCCAGGTCCTTCACCTGCCGGAGTCCAAAGCCCTGCAGCTGAATCCCTGGGGAGAAGGTCCCCCAGGACAGGAAGACTAGGGGTGTCCATCTAGTCCTGGGGCCTTCCAACTTAGCCCTTTGATGACTTGTGGACTTCAACTCCCAGAATTGAGCGTGCCTGGCTGAGGAATTCTGGGAGTTGAAGTCCACAAGTCATCAAAGGGCCAAGTTGGAAGACCCCGGATATAGACTAAGAGGAGTGGACTTCAACTCCCAAAATTCCTCAGCCAGCGTGCCTGACTGAGGAATTCTGGGAGTTGAAGTCCACAAGACATCAAAGGACCAAGTGGGAAGACCCCGGATATAGACTAAGAGGAGTGGACTTCAACTCCCAGAATTCCTCAGCCAGCGTGCCTGGCTGAGGAATTCTGGGAGTTGAAGTCCACAAGTCATCAAAGGGCCAAGTTGGACGACCCCTGATCTAATAGGACCAGGAACAAGGGCCTTCTCGTTGGTGGCCCCCTCTTTATGGAGCTTCATCCCCCTTCAGGTGCAATTGGCCCCCACTTGGCCCTGAAGATATGGTTTCCTCAGCAGCCCTGTGGACCACGAAGAGATGGAGCCTGACAAGTGCTTGATGTGGTTGTCGTACTGAGGATGGGGCTGTTTGGTGGTTGTTGTGGGTTTTTAATGTTGTAAGCCGGGGGGTCTCCAATCTTGGCAACTTTAAGGCTTGTGGACTTCAGCTCCCAGAATTCCCCAGGCAACTTGGCAACTTTAAGGCTTGTGGACTTCAACTCCCAGAATTCCTCAGCCAACATGGCAACTTTAAGGCTTGTGGACTTCAACTCCCAGAATTCCCAGTTGCAAAAGTTGTAAGTCAGTGTTGAATTGGGTGGCCAGGTAGATTTCTTTCATTAATAAATAAATAAATCTGGCCCCCCTCCCCGATTCTAGAGCAGGCTGGGAGAAAACCACAGAGCCAGGATTTGCCAATGAAGACTCAAGGCAGCTTGTCATTCCAAGGGGCTAGTCCCTGCTGCCTACTTGGGTCCGGTTGGCCTTCAAACCCCATTGCCACCCGTGCCGAGTCTTGCTCCGTCTTCTCCCCTCTCCCACTTAGCAGAGTTGGGGGGGGGCCCTTCTGCTCCCTGGGGGCTTTCCGGCTGCAGGTGAGAGCTCGGCTTTTGAAGGGAGAGGAGAGGGGGACCCCTGACCTCCCGAAGCTCACTTTGGCCTCGTGCTCCATCTTCGTTTCCTCCAGCCGCCGGGTCATCTGGGCCACGTCCTCCAAGGCCAGGAGAAGCTGGGCCTCCGCTCCCACGTTCTGCATCAGGATCAGGCTCTGACGGTTGGCCTCCTTCTGCTTCAGCAGCATCTGTGGAGGGAGGAAAGCCCGGTGAGGGGTCCCGGGTGCTCTCTGAGCTGGGGGGGGGGCGTTTCTTGCAGACGTTTCATGACCCAACTGGGGAACATCATCAGTGCTAGGGCGGTTTGTGGAGAGGAGGAGGAGGAGGACTGTGGGGTCCTTGGTGCTCTCTGAGCTGGGTGGTTTTCTTGCAGACGTTTCATGACCCAACTAGGGAACATCATCAGTGCTAGAAGGGAGTGGAATTTGCAGAGAGGAGGAGGAGGAGGAGGAGGAGGAGGAGGAGGAGGACTGTGAGGCCCTTGGTCCTCTCTGAGCTTGGTTGTTTCATTGCAGACATTTCATGACCCAACTAGGGAACTTCATCAGTGCTAGAAGGGAGTGGAGTTTGCAGAGAGGAGGAGGAGGAAGAGGAGGAGGAGGACGACGATGATGACTGTGGGGTCCTTGGTTCCCTCTAAGCTGGGTTGTTTCCTTGCAGACATTTCATTACCCAACTAGGGAACTTCATCAGTGTTAGAAGGGAGTGGAGTTTGCAGAGAGGAGGAGGAGGAGGAGGAGGAGGAGGAGGAGGAGGAGGAGGAGGAGGAGGACTGTGGGGTCCTTGGTGCTTTCTGAGCTGGGTGGTTTTCTTGCAGACGTTTCATGACCCAACTAGGGAACATCATCAGTGCTAGAAGGGAGTGGAGTTTGCAGGGAGGAGGAGGAAGAGGAGGAGGATGACTGTGAAGCCTTTTGTCCTCTCTGAGCTTGGTTGTTTCATTGCAGACATTTCATGACCCAACTAGGGAACGTCATCAGTGCTTGAAGAGTGGGGCCTGCTCTCAATTTACTGCATATTCAAGTAACTCGCCCTGTCAGTTTTGGTGACAGTGATGTTGGAGGTTCTTTGGTTGGGCTGACCAATTTGTTCCACTGCTTAATTAATGATGATTATTAATTAATTATCACTGTCAGAAAATTCCTCCTTTAGTTCCAGGTTGCTTCTCTCCTTGATGAGTTTCGCGCTTTGGAGAAGAGCTTGACCCTTCCTCTTTTTTTTATGGCAGCCCCTCAAATATTGGATGACTGCTCTCGTGTACTCCCCTACTCACCCGGCTGTTTGGGTCCTTGAGAGTTTTCAGACACCCACAAATTCCTCTCCCAGAGTCTAAACCGGGGTGGTGGTGGTGGTGGTGGTAGGCAACCTTGGCTCTTTTATGACTGGTGGACTTCAACTCCCAGAATTCCTGAGCCAGCATGGGGGAACTATGGCCCCTTCATGACTTGGGGACTTCAACTCCCAGAATTCCTGAGCCAGCATGGCTCAGCTTGGAAATCTCTCCCTTTCCCCTCAGCGTGGCTGGCTCAGGAATTCTGGGAGTTGAAGTCCACGAGTCATAAAAGAGCCACGGTTGCCTACCCCTGGCCTAGGCCTAGGCCCCTTTCTGACTCGCGGACTTCAACTCCCAGAATTCCTGAGCCAGCCACGCTGAGGAGAAAGGGAGAGGTTTCAAGCTGAGCCAGGCTGGCTCAGGAATTCTGGGAGTTGAAGACCACGAGTCATAAAAGAGCCAAGGTTGCCTACCTCTGGCCTAGGCCTAGGCCTCTTTATGACTCGTGGACTTCAACTCCCAGAATTCCTGAGCCAGCATGAGGGAAACTTTAGCCCCTTCATGACTCGTGGACTTCAACTCCCAGAATTCATGAGCCAGACTGGCTCAGCTTGGAAATCTCCGTTTCTCCTCAGCATGGCTGGCTCAGGAATTCTGGGAGTTGAAGTCCACCAGTCATAAAAGAGCGAAGGTTGCCCACCCCTGGCCTAAACAGAGACGTGCCCAGCCAGAACTGGTGCGCCCCACCTCACCTGACGGGCAAAGATTTCTGCTTGCTGCCTCAGTTTCTCCTCCATGTCCAACTGCCGCGACATCCGGCCATACTGTTCGGTGACCAAACGGGATGCTGGAGGGGTTACAGAAGAAACAGGCATTGGGTCTGGGTCTACCCGGGTCAGATCCAACCCAAAGGAACCCTTTGGATTTTGACAAGAGAATTTCTTTAATAAGATAGGCGCTTCGTGAATTTTTCCACTGTACTTTCATCCGTCCCTTCCCACAGAAAGGAATTCTTTCAGAATAAGCTTTTATCAATAATCTTCACTTCCCCAACAGTGATGGAGGAGGCCTAATGCCTACTCGTGTTTTTACTATTAGCTATTACAGTATTATAATCACCAGGAGACGGTGAGTTCTGGTCCTGCCTTAGACACAGATATGAAAACCAGCTGGATGACTTTGGGCCAATCGCCAGGAGACGGTGAGTTCTAGTCCTGCCTTAGACACAGATATGAAAACTAGCTGGATGACTTTGGGTCAATCACCAGGAGACGGTGAGTTCTAGTCCTGCTTTAGACGCAGATATGAAAGCCAGCTGGATGACTTTGGGCCAATCGCCAGGAGACGGTGAGTTCTAGTCCTGCCTTAGACACAGATATGAAAACTAGCTGGATGACTTTGGGTCAATCACCAGGAGACGGTGAGTTCTAGTCCTGCTTTAGACGCAGATATGAAAGCCAGCTGGATGACTTTGGGCCAATCGCCAGGAGACGGTGAGTTCTAGTCCTGCCTTAGACACAGATATGAAAACTAGCTGGATGACTTGGGCCAATCACCAGGAGATGGTGAGTTCTAGTCCTGCTTTAGACGCAGATATGAAAGCCAGCTGGATGACTTTGGGCACCAGGAGACGGTGAGTTCTAGTCCTGCTTTAGACACAGATATGAAAACTAGCTGGATGACTTTGGGTCAATCACCAGGAGACGGTGAGTTCTAGTCCTGCTTTAGACGCAGATATGAAAACTAGCTGGATGACTTTGGGCCAATCGCCAGGAGACGGTGAGTTCTAGTCCTGCTTTAGACACAGATATGAAAGCCAGCTGGATGACTTTGGGCACCAGGAGATGGTGAGTTCTAGTCCTGCTTTAGACACAGATATGAAAACTAGCTGGATGACTTTGGGTCAATCACCAGGAGACGGTGAGTTCTAGTCCTGCCTTAGACACAGATATGAAAACTAGCTGGATGACTTGGGCCAATCACCAGGAGATGGTGAGTTCTAGTCCTGCCTTAGACGCAGATATGAAAGCCAGCTGGATGACTTTGGGCCAATCGCCAGGAGACGGTGAGTTCTAGTCCTGCCTTAGACACAGATATGAAAACTAGCTGGATGACTTTGGGTACCAATCACCAGGAGACGGTGAGTTCTAGTCCTGCTTTAGACGCAGATATGAAAGCCAGCTGGATGACTTTGGGCCAATTGCCAGGAGACGGTGAGTTCTAGTCCTGCCTTAGACACAGATATGAAAACTAGCTGGATGACTTGGGCCAATCACCAGGAGATGGTGAGTTCTAGTCCTGCCTTAGACGCAGATATGAAAGCCAGCTGGATGACTTTGGGCACCAGGAGATGGTGAGTTCTAGTGCCACCTTAGGCATAGTTACGAAAGCCAGCTGGGTGACTTTGGGCCAGCCACCAGGAGACGGTGAGTTCTAGTCCAGCCTTCGACCCTGAAAGCCGAGTGAAGAACAGAATTGCTTTGCAGGATCAGATCCAGAGCCACCTAAGCCGTACCCTCCTGTGTCTCCCAGGCCTGGGAAATGATGGCTTGGTGGCTAGAGGGGTCCATCCTGTTACCACCTTACTGGTAAGCCCCCTTTCCCAGCCCTCCATGCTTTAATTCCCAGTTCTAAGATTAGTGGTCAAGGTTTGCCAAAGTGAGACTCACCTGTCTTTAGAGCAAAGAAGGCTGAACAGTTCTGTGGAAAACCAGGAAGTTAAATGAAGGGAAGAGGAAGAGAAAAGGAAGGAAAGGGAAAGGAAAAGGAAAAGAAAGGAAAGGAAGGTGGGAGGGGAGGGAAGGAAAGAAGGAAAGGGAAGGAAAGGAAAGACGGGAAGGAAGGGGAAGGGAAGGAAAGGAAAAGAAAGGAAGGTGGGAGTGAAGGGAAGAAGGAAAGGGAAGGGGAAGGGAAAAGAAAGGAAAGGAAGGTGGGAGGGAAGGGAAGAAGGAAAGGGAAGGGAAAAGAAAGGAAAGGAAGGTGGGAGGGAAGGGAAGGGAAGAAGGAAAGGGAAGGGGAAGAGAAGGGAAAAGAAAGGAAAGGAAGGTGGGAGTGAAGGGAAGAAGGAAAGGGAAGGGAAAAGAAAGGAAAGGAAGGTGGGAGGGAAGGGAAGGGAAGAAGGAAAGGGAAGGGGAAGAGAAGGGAAAAGAAAGGAAAGGAAGGTGGGAGGGAAGGGAAGAAGGAAAGGGAAGGGAAAAGAAAGGAAAGGAAGGTGGGAGGGAAGGAAAGGGAAGGAGAAGGGAAGGGAAAAGAAAGGAAAGGAAGGTGGGAGGGAAGGGAAGAAGGAAAGGGAAGGGAAAAGAAAGGAAAGGAAGGTGGGAGGGAAGGAAAGGGAAGGAGAAGGGAAGGGAAAAGAAAGGAAAGGAAGGTGGGAGGGAAGGGAAGGGAAGAAGGAAAGGGAAGGGGAAGAGAAGGGAAAAGAAAGGAAAGGAAGGTGGGAGTGAAGGGAAGAAGGAAAGGGAAGGGAAAAGAAAGGAAAGGAAGGTGGGAGGGAAGGGAAGGGAAGAAGGAAAGGGAAGGGGAAGAGAAGGGAAAAGAAAGGAAAGGAAGGTGGGAGTGAAGGGAAGAAGGAAAGGGAAGGGAAAAGAAAGGAAAGGAAGGTGGGAGGGAAGGGAAGGGAAGAAGGAAAGGGAAGGGGAAGAAAGGAAAAGAAAGGAAAGGAAGGTGGGAGTGAAGGGAAGAAGGAAAGGGAAGGGAAAAGAAAGGAAAGGAAGGTGGGAGGGAAGGGAAGGGAAGAAGGAAAGGGAAGGGGAAGAGAAGGGAAAAGAAAGGAAAGGAAGGTGGGAGTGAAGGGAAGAAGGAAAGGGAAGGGAAAAGAAAGGAAAGGAAGGTGGGAGGGAAGGAAAGGGAAGGAGAAGGGAAGGGAAAAGAAAGGAAAGGAAGGTGGGAGGGAAGGGAAGAAGGAAAGGGAAGGGAAAAGAAAGGAAAGGAAGGTGGGAGGGAAGGGAAGGAAAGGGAAGGGGAAGGGAAGGGAAAAGAAAGGAAAGGAAAGTGGGAGGGAAGGGAAGAAGGAAAGGAAAGGAAAGGAAAGAAGGGAAAGGAAGGAAAGGGAAGGGAAGGGAAGAAGGAAAGGAAAGAAAAGAAGGAAAGGGAAGGGGAAGGGAAGGGAAGAAGGAAAGGGAAGGGAAGGAAGGTGGGAGGGAAGGGGAAGGGAAGGAGCACAAAATCCACCCCACACCAACCTTTCCCAGGGACCCAGCTTTCTATATATAGATTCATCTCCTTCCCTGTCTCTGGGAATGTGTAAGTGGGGGACAAACAGGTAGAAAGCTGAGTCCCAAACTCACCTTGTTTGACCCTCTTCAGCATCTTCCGATTGTGTTCCTTCAAAACCTTCAGAGACTGCTTCTCGGCACACTCCTCTTCTAGCTTTGTTCAAAAAAAAAAAAAAAAAAGGAGGGAAGGAAGGAAGGAAGCCAGAAAAAAAAAGACAAACGATATTCTTTTCATAGTTTTCCGCTCAGAAAATGTATAGAACGTTAAGAAATTATAAAAGTTTTTTTTTTAAAAAAAGGAGGCCTCGTTCACCGGAAGGAAATTGCCGGTGTTCCCCACCCGCGTTAAATCTGTTTGAGCAGCGAATGGGGTAACGGGTCAAAACTTTGCTTCTGTTGAAGGAACATCTGAGATGGGACCCCTGGTCTCCTGGGGCTTCTAGAACTTTCCTTTGGCTCCCCCCCCCTTAAATCTCTAGGCCAGGGTTTCTCCACCTGGCTGGGGAATTCTGGGAGCTGAAGTCCACCCATCTTACAGGAGACAAGGTTGAGAAACACCACCGCAGGCCCTGATCCATCATACCTGATGCTGGAGCTTTCCCACAAGAGCCAGGAGCTCCTTCACCTGCGTGGTCAATTCCTTCTTCTCCTCCAGCAGCCCTGACACCTTGAGTTGGAGGTCTGGAGCAAAGGAAGACCCTGTTATCTTGTAGAAGCATCTGGGACCTGGGGGGGGGGCAACCACTCAAGGAGTCCCTCTTGGAGGTCAAGAGGATGCTAGACTGGTGGACCTCATTTCCAAGGATCTCCTCTTCTCGTTTGGAAGAATAAAGCAGCTTTTTTAAAAAAAAAAAATGGGGAGGGCCTGGTGTGGATTGCGAGGGGCTGGAGTGAAGCAGAGCTAAGAAAAACACCACACCAAGCTCTGGAAGAAAAAGGAAAGGGAAAGAAAAGAAGAAAAAGAAAGAATGAAAGAGAAAGAGAAAGAAAGAAAAAGAAACGGAGAGAGGGAGGGAAAGAAAGGAAGGGAGAGGGAGAGAAAGAAAAAAGGAAGAAGGAGAGAGAAAAAGAAAAGGAGAGAAAGAAAGAAGGTAGGAAGGGAGAGAGGAAAGAAGGAAGAATGAAGGAATGAAGAAAGGAAAGAGACAAGGAACGAATGAAAGGGAGGGAGGATAGAAAAAGGGAAGAGAGAAAAGGTAGAAAGGGAGAGGGAGGAAAGGAAAAGCAGGAAGGAAGAAAGAGACAAGAAGGAAGGAATGAAACGGAGGGAGGATAGAAAAAGAGAAGAGGAGAAAAGGTAGAAAGGAAAGAAGCAGGAAGGAAGGAAGAAAGACAAGAAGGAAGGAATGAAAGGGAGGGAGGATAGAAAAAGGGAAGAGAGGAGAAAAGGTAGAAAGGGAGAAGGAGGAAGGAAGGCATGAAGAAGAAAGGAAGGAGAGACAAGAAGGAAGGAATGAAGGGAGGGAGGGAGAAAGGAAAGAAGGGAGGGAGGAAGAAAAAATAAAGGAAATGGCGAAAGAAGGAATGGCTGTGGTCCTAAACCTATTATTCAGTTTACCTTTACTTTTTATTTCTACATCGGTAGACTTCGCTTCCCCCCCCTTCCTCGCAGCACATCCACTCTCCCTTCCAGGGGTCTTTTCACCTGGGCAGAAGAGAGGAGGAGGAGGACCCCCTGGCTCACCTTTGACCTGCTGAAGGCACCTGCCCATCGGATCCAGCGCAGAGTCAGGAGCGGCGCCTTCTTCACCGTCGCTCAAGCCCACCAGATCTTCCTGCTGGAGGGCCAGCCTGGGCAGCAGCGCCAGGCTGATCCGCTGCAGCTTCTTGTTCTCCCTGCTCACCTGTGGAAGTCAAGAGGAGGTGGCAGAGTTGCGTAGAGGGGGTCTTCCCCGGCCCTCAGTTGGAGGGGACCCCTCCTCACCTGGATGGCAAAGGCCTCCGCCTGCTCTCGGCAGGCCTTCTCAATGGCATACTCCATTTCCATGGTGGACAACTCAGCTAAGAGGGCTTGAGAAGCTGGGAGTGGAAAGAGCGAGACGAGGGGGGGGGGTTAGAGCAACAGCCCCCCAAACTAGGAACCCTCATGGGGGGGCCCCAAGCTGTTCCACTGGTTAATTGTCCTCACTGTTAGGAAATTTCTCCTTAGTTCTAGGTTGCTTCTCTCTTTGATCAGTTTCCAACCATTGTTTCTTGTCCTGCCTTCAGGTGCTTTGGAGAGTAAATTGACCCCCATCTTCTTTGGGGGAGCCCCTTAGATACTGGAATGCTGCTATCATGTCCCCCCCCCCTATTCTTTTCTTTAGACTGGTCCAGTGATGGCGAACTTTTGAGAGACCGAGTGCCCAAATTGCAACCCGAAACCCATTTATTTATCGCAAAGTGCTAACACGGCAATTTAATCTGAATACTGAGGTTTTAGTTTAGAAAAAAAAACAACAACTCATACATTAACACCTTTTGCCTTAACAAGAAAAACACAATAACAAAGCTTTCAAGGATACAAACAACTTTTTACTGAAAGGTAAAAGTTTGCATTTGGCATGCTTTTGAACAATGAATGTGATTTTGGCTGTTGTAGGCATGCTGATCATTTGTCTAACCTTGGCTCTTACTTTGTAAGTTTGAGAGCAACACATGCACCACTCAGGTCACGTGTTAGTCTGTTTCTGGTGTCAGGTTTGATATACTGTAATTCAAAGCTGAAAACAGTGCACTTGCCCCGGAGGCTTGTTTTGGCTTGAGAAATGGCTTTTTCCTGTGAAAACTTAGCCAAAGAGCGAGGCTTGCGTGCCATTAGAGAAGGCTCCGAGTGCTCCCTCTGGCACGCGGGCCATAGGTTCGCCACCACTGCACTAGCCAAACCCAAGTCCTGCAGCCTTATTTTGTACGTTTTAGTCTCCAGGCCTTGGATCATGTCACCCCTGGTCCTTTTTGTTAAACTAGGCCAGGGGTAGGCAACCTTGGCTCTTTTATGACTGGTGGACTTCAACTCCCAGAATTCCTGAGCCAGCCATGCTGAGGGGGGAGAGGTTTCTAAGCTGAGCCATGCTGGCTCAGGAATTCTGGGAGTTGAAGTCCAGTCAGAAAGCAGCCTAGACCTAGGCCAGAGGTAGGCAACCTTGGCTCTTCTATGACTTGTGGACTTCAACTCCCAGAATTCCTCAGCCAGCCTGGCTCAGCTTGGAAACCTCCCTTTCCCCTCAGCATGGCTGGCTCAGGAATTCTGGGAGTTGAAGTCCAGGAGTCATAAAAGAGCCAAGGTTGCCTACCCCTGAACTAGACATACCCAAGTTGGTATCCGCCATGGGCCTGAATTTTTAGATGGGGAGAAATGACCCCCCTCTTTTTGAACTGCTCATTTCTCCTCCACCTGGACCCAGAAGCTTTCTTTCTTCCACCCCAAAACCTGAATCAGCAGCATTGCACGTCCTTCCGCTTAAAGAAGCAGAAAAGCAAAGGGCGCACTCTGTGTCTACGCCTGGACACGTACCTTGCTCAATTTCTGCCATTTTTTCTTTGGTTTCTGCCATTTCCTGGGAAAGGTCCGTCTCCTGTAAAAATGAACCGGACTTCACATTGGTCTGCTACTGTATTGGGTTTTTTATTTTGTTTAAATTCTGGGAGTTGAAGATCAACAGGTCTAGACCAGGGGTAGGCAACCTTGGCTCTTTTATGACTCATGGACTTCAACTCCCAGAATTCCTGAGCCAGCCATGCTGAGGGGAAAGGGAGAGGTTTCCAAGCTGAGCCATGCTGGTTCAGGAATTCTGGGAGTTGAAGCCCACGAGTCATAAAGCGGCCTAGGCCTAGGCCAGAGGTAGGCAACCTTGGCTCTTTTATGACTGGTGGACTTCAATTCCCAGAATTCCTGAGCCAGCCACGCTGAGGGGAAAGGGAGAGGTTTCCAAGCTGAGTCATGCTGGCTCAGGAATTCTGGGAATTGAAGCCCATCAGTGATAAAGTGGCCTAGGCTAGGCCAGAGGTAGGCAACCTTGGCTCTTTTATGACTGGTGGACTTCAACTCCCAGAATTCCTGAGCCAGCCATGCTGAGGGGAATGGGAGAGTTTCCAAGCTGAGCCAGGCTGGCTCAGGAATTCTGGGAGTTGAAATCCACCAGTCATGAAGGGGCCAAAGTTTCCCCCATGCTGGCTCAGGAATTCTGGGAGTTGAAGTCCACGAGTAGTTGATTTGAAGAATGATCCTCAAAAAAGTCCGTGGAGATTCTCCATCCTCCAGGACCTGGTTGTCCCAAAGCTGTTTTTCCAGGAGGCAACTGGGCTTCCATGTTTTTCTTTGAAGATGTTTCGCTTCTCATCCCAGAAGCTTCTTCAGTTCTGACTGGACAAGAAAGTCCAGTTGCCTCCTGAAAAAGCCCCTTGGGGACATCCTCAAAGAAGCCAGATTAGGTCGTGCGCTCTGTCTGATGTGGCCTGTTCTGAAGATGGGACTGAGTTGCAGCTTCTGGAGAGCCACCTACCTGGTCATCTTCCTCTTCCTCCCAGTCTGAATCGCTCTCCGATTCCCAAATGACTGCAGGGAAATTCAAAGAAAGTTTAGTCACAATACAGCTAAAAGGGACCTTGGAGGTCTTCTAGTCCAGCCCCCTGCTCAAGCAGGAGACCCTATACCATTTGAGACAAGTGGCTGTCCAGCCTCGCCTTAAAAATTTCCAGTGTTGGAGCGTTCACAACTTCTGGTGGCAAGTTGTTCCACTGGTTAGTTGTCCTCACTGTTAGGAAGTTTCTCCTTAGTTCCAGGTTGCTTCTCTCCTTGGTTAGTTTCCATCCATTTAGGGTTTTTTTTCCTCCACCTCCTCCTCCTCCTCCTCTTCCTCCTCCTCTTCCTCCTCTTCCTCCTCCTCCTCCACACAAACCCTTCCAGCACAGACGATTTATCCTACTCCTATCACGAAATGTCTCCGAGGAAACCGCCAGCTCAGGGACCACCCAGGACCCCACAGTTCACAATTCACCCCTGAGCCTCAACGATTCTCTTCCATTTCTCTTCCATTTGCTGTCGCGCTTAGGATCCTTTGTGGTCTTGTGACCGCAATTTTTCTGTCCTCGGGACTGTCATTCTGGGAGTGACTTCCTGTTCTCTTTTGCAGATGAGCAAATGCGCAAGAGGAAGAGACGGGGTCACCAGCCGTCCGTGCCCCATGTAAAGCAGGGCTTTTCAACCTTTTCACCCATTGTGCCACTTTTAGGATAGGGCAACATCCGAGTACACCAGTCGCCTAGCAAGGTGTCAAAAACTTGATGACCCCCCCCCCAAAAAAACGAAAAAAGTGATAAAGTACAGGTAGTCCTTGACTTACAACAGTTCGCTTAGTGACTGTTCAAACTTGCAATGGCACTGAAAAAGGTGCCCCCCAAGCCACAGCCGAGCAAGACACCCGCCTGCCCACCTGCCCGCGCTCTTCTGTCCGAGGTTTTCATTGTTGTGAGCATTTCTGTTGAGGATTGGCAGCGGGGGTGGGATGGGGGATGTTTGGTTTTTGTTACCCCCGTCTGCTGGGTGGTTGCAGCAGGTTTTGGTCCCTTCACATGACCCTGGGACACTGTGACCGTCATAAATACAAATCAGTGGCCAAGCATCTGAATGGAAATCACAAGACCCTGGAGAGGCTGCAACATTCCAGCTGATCGGTGCTTCTTCTGGGCTCAGCAGAAGCACCAGGATCAGTGCTGAGGTCCAGCTGGAGTCTGGCGCTGATCCTGGCGCTTCCGCTGAGCCCTGACAGCCCTGCAGCTCCAGCCGTCTCTCGCTCAGGCTTGTGTGGTGCTGCCACCGGTTCAGCTCATTCCCCTCCCCTGCTACCACTTTTCTAGGATGGTCGCGTACCCCCTGCCAGGTGCCAATGTACCACAGGTGATACCCGTACCACTGGTTGAAAAGCCCTGACATAAAGGATCCCATCCAGCAGATACAAGCATCCTTATTGAATAGAATAGGAGCTGGAAGGGGCCTTGGAGGTCTTCTAGTCCAGCCCCCACTCAAGCAGGAGAACCTATACCATCTCAGACAAGTGACTGTCTAGTCTCTTCTTTAAAATCTCCAGTGGTGGAGCGCCCACGATTTCTGGAGACAATTTCTTTTCCAAAGGAAGGAAGGAAGGAAGGAAGGAAGGAAGGAAGGAAGGAATAGAGAATAGAATAGAGGTGGAAGGGACCTTGGAGGTCTTCTAGTCCAGCCCCCCTGCTCGAGCAGGAGAACCTATATACCATCTCAGACAAGTGACTGTCCAGCCTCTTCTTAAAAACCTCCAGTGATGGAGCGCCCACAACTTCTGGTGGCCAACTGTTCCACTGGTTATGTTAGCCACGTCATTCCCTTTAGAAGCTGGGCAGAACTAGAGTGTCATTCTGACTGGTTAAAAAAAACCCAATCAGCTCCTTCTAGATTGACCCAAAAGAGCAGTTTAGTGACTTTAATGGAAAAGGATGGAAAATGAACCAACTCTGTCCATCGCTGGAGGTTTTGAAGAAAAGACTGGACAGCCGTTTGTCTGGAACGATGTAGAGTCTCATGCTTGAGCAGGGGGTTGGACTAGAAGACCTCTAAGGTCCCCTCTATTCTCTTATAGCCTTAATGGCAGCGTGAAGGCCTCGGTTGTTCTGCACAGTTGGCCCCTGTCTGAGCAGGGGGTTGGACCAGATGACCTCCAAGGTCCCTTCCAACTTTATTATTATTATTATGATTATTATTATTATTATTATTTACAATTAGTCATTTAGTGACCGTTCTAAGTTACGACAGCCCTGACCGAGGACCGTTTCTCACACTTACAACCGCGGTAACCTCCCCAGAGTCACATGACCCAAACTGAGATGCTTGGTTCCTATTTATGATGGTCGCAGCTTCCCGGAGGTCACTTTGCCGCGTCCTTCTGACCGGCAAAAGTCAACAGGGGGACTAGACCCATTTAACAACCGTGTTACTAACTTAACAAGTGCAGGGACCCACGTAACAACCGTGGCAAGGAAAGTCGCGAAACGGGGCAAAACTCACAATCATCTTGCTTAGCGACAGAAATTTTTCGGCTTGGTTTTGGTCATAAGCCGGAGGCTCTCTGTCACTGTCCCTTCCTTCCAAAGCTACTTTGCTTTTCTAGAGCAGCCCCCTTACCTCCAAATGGGGTGAAATCAGCCTCTGGACCTTCCATGGGGCAGAGAGACCAGCGGGATCCCTCTCTGCGTCTTCTGTCTTCTGTCAGAGTGTCTCCACCTCTCTCTCTGTCTCTGTCTCTCTCTGTGTGTGTCTCTGTCTCTTTCTCTCTGTGTCTCTCTTTCTCTCTCTCTCTCTTTCTCTGTCTCTTTTTCTCTTTCTGTCTCTGTCTCTCTCTGTGTTTCTTTCTCTCTGTCTCTGTATCTCTCTCTCTCTATCTCCCCCTCTCTTTCTCTTTCTCTTTCTGTTTCTCTTTCTTTCTCTCTGTCTCTGTGTGTCTCTGTCTCTCTCTTTCGTCTCTCTGTCTCTTTCTCCCTCTGCCTCTTTCTCTCTTTTTCTCTCTCTCTCTCTGTCTCTCTCTCTCTCTGTGTCTCTATCCCCCCTCTCTTACTCTCTGTCTCTCTCTGTCTTTGTCTCTGTCTCTGTCTCTCTATCCCTCTCTCTCTGTGTCTTTCTTTCTCTCTATCCCCCCTCTCTCTTTCTCTCTGTCTCTCTTTATGTCTTTTTCTCTCTCTGTGTGTCTCTTTCTGTCTCTCTTTCTCTCTGCCTCTTTCTCTTTTTCTCTCTCTGTCTCTCTCTCTGTCTCTATCCCCCCTCTCTCTTTCTCTCTCTGTCTTTCTCTCTGTCTGTCTCTGTCTGTCTCTGTCTCTCTATCGCTCTCTCTCTGTCTGTCTCTCTTTCTGTCTTTTTCTTTCTCTCTGTCTCTGTATCTCTCTGTGTCTCTCTGTCTCTTTCTCTGCCTCTTTCTCTGTCTCTCTTTCTCTATTTCTTTCTCTCTCTTACTCTTTCTTTCTCTCTCTCATTCTCTCTCTCTCTCTCTCTGTGTCTCTGCAGGATGATCCTCCCTGGCCTTCATCCATCAGAAGTGAAAGCTGAGCTCTTCCTGCCAAGAAGGTCACATGCTGGACGGATCTGGCCTTCACCACACATGCTTTGCAGAAGTGAAACTGCCCCCTCCGCAGCCGCCCCCTTCCAAGGAAGAGCAGAATCATCCTTGTGTGGCTTGACGTTCTCCAGCTGAAGGTGGTCACTTAAGGACCTTTCCTTGGGCAGCTGGTTGCCCACGGGGAGACCAGTCTCCCGGTGAGATGGGCCATAGAGACGCGCCTGATGTTCTTCTGAAAGAGGTCCTCATCTTGACCCATTGGCCTGCCCCCTTCATGTTGGTTTTGGGTTACCAGGAGGGCCCCCCACTAGAGAGAATTCCACAGTCAGCTCCCCCCCCCCAAACTCTTGATTTTTCTCCACTGTTCTAGCAGCCAAGAAGCTTTGATGGTCCTGCCACCATCGATGGCCAAAGACAAGAGACAAGCAAAGCTCAACGGTGGACCAGGGATGTCCCCAATGTACGGAGAAAAGAACCAAGATGGTGGCCATGATTGTAAAAGAGAAGCATTTCTCTTACACATATACACAAAGATGAGGGACATAAACATCTGTGGTCTCGGTGATGGACCATGAGCTTCGGGGAGAAAGTCTATGCTTGGAAGGGGTCCAAGGCAGCTTCCTCTGCCCCCCTCCCCCCACCATATTAATTGTGTGAATTAACTTTAGTTCCACCAGGAGAAAATCTAGGTTGCCAAGCATCTCATACAATCAAGCCATCAGGATAGAGCTGGAGGGCACCTTGGAGGTCATCTAGTCCAACCCCCTGCTCAGGCAGGAAACCCTGTACCATTTCAGATAAATAGCTGTCCGATTTCTTCTTAAAAACCTCCAGTGTTGGAGCATTCACAACTTCTGGAGGCAAGTAGTTCCACTGGTTAATTGTTCTCACTGTCAGGAAATTCCTCCTCAGTTCTAGGTTGCTTCTCTCCTTGATGAGTTTCCATCCGTTGCTTCTTGTCCTGCCTTCAGGACAATATTTTATTCTTTGTAGAAATTTAACAACGTTTCATTTAAAAACAGCCTCTTTTTCCCCCGCTGAAATGCAGAAAGTCCTCAACTTACTCCCACACGTGAGCCCAAAACATATGTTGCTAAGTGAAACATTTGTTAAATGAATTTTGCCTTTTCTGCCACAGTTGTGACGTGAATCGCTGCAGTTGTGAAGTTACTAACCCAGTTGTTAGAATCTATCTTCCCCATGGACTTTCAGAAAGTCGCAAAAGGGGATCACGCAATCCCAGGACAACCCTGCAACCGTCGTAAACACGAGTCAGTTGCCAAGCAACTGATTTTTGATCACATGACCATGGGCAGGGGTAGGCCACCTGGGCTCTTTTATGACTCGTGGACTTCAACTCCCAGAATTCCTGAGCCAGCCATGCTGAGGGGAAAGGGAGAGGTTTCCAAGCTAAGCCAGGCTGGCTCAGGAATTCTGGAAGTTGTCCACGAGTCAGAAAGCAGCCTAGGCCTAGGCCAGAGGTAGGAAACCTTGGCTCTTTTATGACGTGTGGTCTTCAACTCCCAGAATTCCTGAGCCAGCATGGGGGAACTATGGCCCCTTCATGACTGGTGGACTTCAACTCCCAGAATTCCTGAGCCAGCCTGGCTCAGCTTGGAAACCTCTCCCTTTCCCCTCAGCATGGCTGGCTCAGGAATTCTGGGAGTTGAAGTCAATGAGTCAGAAAGCAGCCTAGGCCTAGGCCAGAGATAGGCGACCTTGGCTCTTTTGTGACTCGTGGAGTTCAACTCCCAGAATTCCTGGGCCAGCATGAGGGAACTATGGCCCCCTCATGACTCCTGGACTTCAACTCCCAGAATTCCTAGGCCAGCCATGCTGAGGGGAAAGGGAGAGGTTTCCAAGTTAAGCCATGCTGGCTCAGGAATTCTGGGAGTTGAAGTCCACGAGTCATAAAGCGGCCTAGGCCTAGGCCAGGGGTGGGCAACCTTGGCTCTTTTATGACTGGTAGACTTCAACTCCCAGAATTCCTGAGCCAGCCATGCTGAGAGGAAAGGGAGAGGTTTCCAAGCTGAGCCATGCTGGCTCAGGAATTCTGGGAGTTGAAGTCCAAGAGTCATGAAGGGGTCATAGTTCACCCATCCTGGCTGAGGAATTCTGGGAGTTGAAGTCCATGAGTCATAAAAGAGCCCAGGTTGCCTACCCCTGACCATGGGGATACTGCCACGGCCGTAAGTGTGAAAACAGTCATAAGTCACTCTTTTTAGTGCCCATTGTCATGTTGAACGGTCACTAAATGAAGTGTTACAAGTTTAGGAATTTGCCAAGCATGCGACAGTGTGGGAACGAAAGTATGTTTTGTGACAGTCTGGCAAGGAAAGATCCCAGATCTTTGTTCCTTTTTATTTGGAATCAGGACATTTTGTACTACGCGTCGTTCCCCCGCCGGAAAAGTGAGTGGTTGGTGTTTTGGGGAGAGCTGCCAAGCAGAAAATAAATATGTGGGACTCGGGGATCTTCGCAAAACGGAGTTTGCATCGGATAGCCTTCTCCTCATCTGCTGACCACGTCTGAGCACAGCTCTCTCCTGCATCAGGGTTTGGGCAGACCAGGATTCAGAGGGCCGTGTCGGAGCTGAGGTTCCCTTTAGCCTCACGGGGGTAATACTCGGCCAAGATGCTTTCTGGGATCCGTTTCAGCAGCTCTTTGGGGAAGATCCGCAGGAGCTGCCAGCCGATATCCAGCGACTCAAAGATGGTCCTGTTCTCATAGGCCCCTGGGAGAAGCATGCCACGAATTCATTACAGCGTGGGAAGTTTGAGATCAAAATAGCCACAGAAATAACCCTTAGACTTGTATACCGCTTCGTACTGCTTTGCAGCCCTCTCTGAGCAGATTACAGAGTTAGCACATTTGCCCCCAACAATCTGACCTGGAGCTGGTCAGGATTGAACTCCCGGCAGTGGACAGAGTCAGCCTGCACGGCTAATCTATCATCTATGAGAGAGAGAGAGAGAGAGATGGACGGACAGATAGATGGATAGACATAGATAGATAGATAGATAGATAGATAGATAGATAGATAGGTAGGTAGATAGATAAATAGATATTGATGATAGATAGAAATAGATAGATAGATAGATAGATAGATAGATAGATAGATAGATAGATATAGATGATAGATAGATAGATATTGAGATAGATGATAGATAGATTAGATAGATAGATAGATAGACGCAGATAGATATTGATGATAGATAGATAGATAGATAGATATTGAGATAGATATAGATAGATAAATAGAGATAGAGATAGATAGATAGAATAGATGATAGAGATAGATAGATAGATATAGATGATAGATAGATATTGAGATAGATATAGATAGATAGAGATAGATAGATAGATAGATAGATAGATATACGCAGATAGATAGATAGATAGAGATAGATAGATGATAGCACTAGCCATAGCCCTTAATACTTATACACTGCTTCACAGCGCGTTTACAGCCCTCTCTAAGCGGTTTACAGAGTCACCCTGTGGCCCCCAACAATCTGAGTCCTCATTTTACCGATCTCAGAAGGACGGAAGGCTGAGTTGACCTTGAGCCAGTCAGGATCGAACTCCCGGCAGTGGGCAGAGTCAGCCTACAATGCTGCGTCCTGTTCTAATTCTAATTCTAACAGAGTTGGACCTTGGGGGTCTTCTAGTCCCACCTCCTGCTCAGGCAGGAGACTCTAAATAAACCGTTCCAGACAAATCTCTTAAAAGCCTCCAGTGGTGGAGCGCCCACGATTTCTGGTGGCAAGCTGTTCCACTGGTTGATTGTCCTCACAGTTAGGAAGCTTCTCCTTAGTTCCAGGTTGCTTCTCTCCTTGATGAGTCTCCATCCGTTGCTTCTCGTCCTGCCCTCTGGTGCTTTGGAGAAGAGCTTGACCCCTTCCTCTTCTTTTGGGGCAGCCCCTCAAATACTACAAGGCCGCTATCGTCTCCCCCCTGGTCTTTCTCTTTATTAGACCAGACGTACCTGCAACGCCGTGGCCTTGGCCCGCTCCCACGTACCTTGAGCAATGAACTGCTTCTCAAACTTCTGCAGAAACTCCAAGAAGAGAAGGTCATCGGCTGACAGGGCCTCTTCCCCCACCACGGCCTTCATGGCCTGGACGTCTTTGCCAATGGCGTAGCAGGCATACTGGACGCAAAGCAAGACGGTCACTCAGAACCAAGATCATGTCAAGAAACGGGGGGCCCCAGAAGCCCCTCCGGAGAGGGCTGCCCGCCGGACGTGTCCCCCCCCCCAAA